AAACACACAAAATAAATGCAATGTAAAATAATTTTCAATTTTCGGCGGGCGCGTGCGCGATGAAAATTCATTTTTTTTTTTTTCAACATCACACTTTTTCCAAACGATCTTGGTCGATTATGTTTTATCTTATAAAAGCTACACGGGATACGGCCATTTTAAAGTTGGTTAAAATTGTTAGTTTTTTTTTTTTGTTTATCGATTTTTCAAATAATTTAAAACACGTTACATTGGTAAATGTGTAATTTTATGATTATGTTTACGAATCGTTTTTTTTTTTTCATCGTTAAACAGTAGTCAATTTTTTTCACTTTTAAGGTCGTGCGTTTAAAATGTTTAAAAAGAATTGTTAAAAAAAAAAAATTTGGTATTGACATTAAAATGGTATTAAAATCAAAGTTGCTTGAAAAAAATACTATATTCGAATCTATAGTGTTGTTATTAGTAGCATAAAAAATAATTTGTATTACTCACTAAAAGGGTTAACAATTTAAAATGTATTCTTCAGTGTATTATACTCAAAAAAGGAAATTCAAATCCACAGTTATCACGACCGAAATATTTAGTATTACCTGGAAACACGAACACGCAGTAAATCTATAGTATTTCCCTCGTAAAAACCAAATTATTTAATTACGAAATCGTATTTAATTTTCTTGGGTAGGTACCTCCAATACAATAAAATAAGAATTTATCATTTACTCCGACAAAATGTGTAAACGGCTGTATTTGAATTTCAAATTATTGTAATTTTTCTTTCCAGATATAAAACATATGATCAAGTAATCGTTAATAATTTATTGTTAGTAGTGGTTTTAGTCTGGTATTTAAGCAAGCCACTGTAGAAATGATATACTCAATACAATATTATTACTTCGTTATTTAAATAAATGTGTAATAATAATACATTGGAACTTAATAATTATGAACCATTAAAAAAATCGAATCAAATGAACTCTGTGCAAATTGGAACAGGCATCTAAATATCTAATCGATCGGCAAATCAATAGGTAATAATTACATTTTTTTCAAACCTTACAAACGAGTTCCGGAAAAGTGGTTTCGTAAACTATTATGAATGATACTTGCATTATTATTATTCATTAGGTTTGGCCGGTTTACAAATTTATACGAGCATAATCTTCAGGTCGTATACCTTATTTAAATTTCTAGTTTCAAGTTTTTGTACTTCGTTGTACGGTCTTTGGATGCAAAACTACGTATACGTTTATAAAATTGTATTATTTTATTGATAATCATATCACTTGTATCACGAGCGCCAATTTATTACAATAAATTTTAGATAAAAATAAATGCTCATTCTGTATACTGAAATCGCATATGAATATAAATATCGGAAAATTAATTAAATCTATTTTTAAAATTCATATGCTAAATATATTGTATATTTCAAGTTATGTACATAACGATTGGACGGTTCTACAGGTGCAACATATTATGACATGCTTAATAGCACGATGGATACATGTTGGCATGTTTCGTCGAAATCCATTGTTATTGCGAAGTGATAACTTTTATTATACATTCATGTTGATAGCCTGTAACCGAACGTTGATTATTTTTATCGCTATAGCTGACCCGGCAGTGCTTTACCACAATTGCTAGATAATAATGTAAATAACGGTAATAATAATAATTATAGCATTGTCTATAAATCAATGATAACAGTAATAATAATAGTTTATTTTTATCCATGTAACCAAGGTAATATAACCCATGAATAAACGAAAATAAATAAATAAATAAACATTTAGAAAATATCTGAAAACCCCTATTTTTACCATCCACTGTTCGTTCCGGAACGGCTTCGGTATTAAACAGCAAAACGACGATCGCGAAATATTAACAGAGGGTCGCTATTATTTAAACGTTAAAGTAAAAAGTTGTATGGATACACTACACCCATACGTATATTTCTCGTAAAATTATTTTGCACCGTCAGTGACCGTGTGATGTTGCACCTTGTTGTTATGACGTAAACAACGGTATAGTGCGTTATATCTTATACACGGGTATCCTGCAGTGGCGTAGCAAGGATTTATCGATATAGGGGAGGGGTTAGGTGGATCTAAGGAGGTTTAGGGGTCACAACGTCCAACCCCTCCATTGCTATGCCACCATATATATATCGCACTGAATTCAACAGCGAATTCAACACTGTTCGTCCAAATATTGTACAAGATTATTGACACACTGATCGAAATTCAAATAAAAAGTCATAGTTATGGAAACACTCCTAGCACCAAATCGAAAGAAAACAAAAATCAGGAGTTCGTTGGGGTCATCATTGATGAGTTTGTATCTAATTTTTAAAAAAAAAAAGGGTTATAGTATAGACAAACACAATAATAATAATAATTGAGAGGTTCGTTTTTATATCTGAGACGTCTCGCGCTATACGCACGGTTCAAACATGTTGGTTTTGTACAAAGCTTTGAATATTTTACGAAGTTAAATTAGACAAACATTAGACTCGGTCTTTTCAACATAATTGCAATGATTTGGAAACACAAAAGAGTCCATTCTTATGTAATTCTTTTCGAAACAAATAAGTACGTTTTTAAACAAATATATTGTGTAAAACCTTACAAATAAATACAAATTGATATCGATAACGTCCGTTAGTAATGAAATTGTACCGAACACAATAACATAAAACCAGTATTATTTATTATATTCTGTATGAATTTTATAAAATCATTTTTTAAACGTTTTAACGTTAATTTAATTGCGTGTACACTGTACACGATACAGGTAATGTTTATAATTTACAAATATTATTTGAAAATCAAAAAAACTATATTGATTTCCGTCATATTCAATCTGAAAATGAATGTTAAACCATACGTTAAGGAATTAAACTAGATTAAAAATACATTTTGTATAATTAATATTTATTTTATAAAATTATTTATTTATTGGGCGATTTCTCGCGATATTACAATCGATGTGTTTATTCGTCGTTTTTTCGTTTTCATTTGTAATTTTTTTTTGCGATAACAAAACGAGTGTATTAGAACACAATTCGTATATAATATTATCATGCAAATTGATTATAATCGAAACTTGTTGCATTGTTATTATCGTTTTTTACAGCCGATACATCGTGCGGACATTGTCGCTATCTCTTGTAGTACTCAAATAATGTACACGTACACCTACACATGCGTGAAAACAAACGCGATGTAGAAAAAAAAAAACATCTTTGGCGAGAACTGCGGCGGTGTTTTATCGAAACAAGTACCTATATATATATACAAGTAAATATCTACACAACACCAATACAATAATATTATTATTATGGTCGTATACGGCAATACGGTCCAGAAACAGCGTCACGACGACGAACGAAAGTCGGACGGCTGCATCCGAGTTTCGTCTCAAACATAAACGGTTTAATTTAAAGGTATAACAATTCCGTCCCGGGGTTTTTAAATGGTATAAACTAAATACTATAGCCCGTTTACATTTTGCATTATTCATGAAAGTATATATATATATATATTGCGTGTTCAATCTTTAATCAATCGGTTAAAACTAGTTGGTCTAGATTCATATAAAATGTACGACTACGATATAAAAAAAAAAAAAAATGTAGGTGTTATTCAGAAATGAAGAAAATATTGATATCATAAACTCTTCGATCGTTATTTATGCGTGCCCGTGCTGATAAAATAACAATTTATATCGGAAATGGACAGTAAGTACGTACAGTGGAAAAGTTAAAATTAAAATTGTTAAAAATAAATTTGAATTTTGTTTTCACAAAGAATTGAAAAATAATATTGAACGCTTGAAGTGCATTAGTATGGTGAAGTTTACTAGTAGACTGGTTGTAAACTTTTTTATTAAGGACGGAACTAGTATAAAAAACAAACGGACATACAACGCACGACGGGTGGGCCACTGTTGTAGGTAAGAAGTTGGGAAGGTGGAAATTCAACGTATATCTATATACGCAACGAATAATTATTGTTAACGAAAAACGATTCCGAGCGGAGCTCGGTTGTGCATGTTTTAGATGGTCGTAATATTAACGATTCGAAAACAATACGTTTCGTACATTTTCTCGTTTTTCCCATTTATTACGAAAACCCCCGGGAAAGTCGTAAAATAAAGTACAGTACCGCCCCGTTTAGATTTTCTTTCAGAAAAGCTGCTACACTTGACAATCGGAGCGGGCTGGTAGAACAGTGTCGTTCCGCGTTCAGAGCAAAAACAAAATAAATAAACGTTGTTGTACGACCAATGCATTCGTCGCTCCGCACCGAAACCCAAACTCGGATGCGGCCGACGGCGCAGGGACCGTCGGGTTGGCGGACTTTCCGTGCAACAATAACACGGCATGTACCCATCCGGTATACCAATGCCGTTAACGATATTAAAATAGGTATTCCGGATCGGGTATTTCGACCGGCATAAATAATGGCCCACTACGACCGGGTACGTTGTTATTGTTATTATTATTATTATTTTTTTTTTTTTCATAACGCTAGTGCGTTATTGTGTCGCGCGCGTCCGCTTCTACTTTATCTCCCGGTTTATTACCGCGGCCGCCGCCGTCTATCGTTACGATACAGGTAGGTAGGTGGGTACCTATAAAAATACAGGTCCCCGTCGTCGGGTTCTCTGTCGCTCGTTCGGGCCGCGCGGTGGTTCCGACCGTCGCGTCTCGTCTCGCCGCCGCGGCAAGGGCGAAGTGTGTCAACACCGTGCAAACGGGGCGTGGGTCTCCACCCGTCGCCCCTTCCACCCACCCCGTCGCGTATATTGTATAGTATTATTATTGCGCGCGCGCCTTACACACACACACACACGCACACGCACGTCGACCGTAAGCATAATACTAACACACGGGTACACGGAATATTATTATTATTATTATAGCCGTGCGCGTCCTATCAGCTGTTCGGCTTTCCTGGCCCGACGACGACGCCGGCGGCGTCGTCGTCGGCCGCAAACTGGTTTTCGTCCGTGGCCGCCGCCGCCGCCGCGGTCTCTCTCCGACAATATAATTTTCCCTTCGGCGCGCGTCCGCGGACTAACCGCCCGGACCCGACCGCGGCAGTCGGCAGTGGTCCGCGGCGTTTGACGGTTGAAAGTTTTCCGTGCGTCGTCCGCGTGTCTTATCGTCGTCACAATTTCATTACTATCGTTGTTATCGCGTGTTGTTTACACCGCCGCCGGATCCCGCGGTCGTTTTACGGGCCTTACTATTCGCGCCCGCACGTCATCCCTGCATATAATAGGCCCGACCGGGCGCGTTCTCCCGGACCGCCGCGCGGTCCCGACAACATGTGAACCCGGACCGTCTGCTCGGCGGCAAGCGGATCATCATCACCCGTCACGACGAGGATTTATCGCCACGCGCGTTGCCGCCGAACCCGTTTGAACTTGTGCTGCTGCGCAACTCGGTAACCGCGCGATTCACGTTGTAGATAACATGTAACTATATTATTATTATTTTTGGTCGACCGCCCGACATTGCGCGTGTCAGGTGCAGGGCCGGATCGAGGGGGGGCCAGGGGCTTTGGGGGCTATATAGCCCCGGGTCGCATGTTGAAAGGGGGGGCCACACAATGTGTGTTTTTGCTGATGTCTTTTTTTTTCTTTTCTCTTACTTATTGGTCTTTAGCCCCGGACCCCAATAACTGACAATCCGGCCCTGCGTAGATGGGAAAAAAGCGCGCTCGACATCAGCGGCCGGTGTCCCCAAAACCCGGCTGCGAGGGTGTCAATCCCCACCGGCCGTTTTAAAACATAAACGATTCGACGTTGCAATACTCAAACAAATTCGACCGAGTATACGAAACGATTTGTAGGTACTACACGATTATGAATTTTTCAAAAAAAAAAAAAAGAACTCAAGAATAAGGTTTACACGATAACATAACAGGTGTATTTATATTTTGAAGTCGTTTATTATGTATAATTATATCGTTTGTTGTGTTTTGCACCCCCCCCCACCCCCCACCTCAGCTGCCAATGGACTAATCCGCGAGTACCTACGCCACTGTCTAATTTATTATGCTATCTACACGTTTTCAATGCGAGTGCATATCGATAAAAAATTTACACAGACTGTTCATAATACTATTAAAAAACTACGAGGAGAAACATATGTAATTATTTTTTCTGGAATGCGGTTTATGATGAATTCTTACGCTCCTATTATAGCAGGTACTACTAAACATCTCGGTGCATTTGCTTTCTAAAGATCTTCTCGAGAAAACTATGTTCGTTTAATACAATAATAAAACATTTTATATTGTAATTTATTAAGGAATATGGATTTGTTAGTTAATTTGTAGGTATTATTTTTATTTCTAATCAAAAAAAAAAGCTTTGTTAATAATTCGATAAGTGGTACGTAAATAATATTGTGCAAATATACTCGTACTTTCTTTATAACTATAATAATATCAATAGGACATTCGTTTTTTTCCCATATACGTATTCAAATTTAAATAATTTATCATTTCATTGAAGCATTTTTACGTGACCCAATCGTTCTGGTTTTCATGAACACATTGCACGATCCTACAATATAATAGTAGCTAATACGTCTAGGTAACCGGTTCTGTATTTTAGATAAAAAAAAAAAAACCGTGCGTACAGAATATCCACTCTTAAGTGTTTCAAATTTAAATATTTACCGTGAGAAATATGATGGAGATATATTATGTAGATTTATATACAATCATTGGTGTCCGCAATATAAAAATCGAAACAATTTTCAAAAAAAAAAAAAAACTGTACATTTAAATACCCGTACCTATATCTTGAATATTAATTCGCATTTAATTAACTTGGTTTTTCGTATATGCAGTTCTCCGTGTTGTGAATTGGAAGTTGATGTGTGATAAAAGGGTGTGGTATATAAACTCGAGAGTTTGGGGGGAGGGAATTTTTTCTGAATTGTCTAAAATCGACAATAAATCCCCAAGAAACTTTGATTGGTGTCCAGAAAAGAAATCGAAATAGTTTATTGATTCTATGACAAACAATTATTATTATAATAGTATAATATATTGTTTGAAAAAAAAAAAATCGGTTTCAAGCCGAATTGCGACAGGTGTTATGATCCAACGGTTTTCGATTCGTCTAGAGGTATGTAATGTATATATAATGTACAATTTATGTAAAAACAAAAATAAAAAACTGCCGAGACCACACGAATATTACGCGTATAACGTATATTGTGTACTCGCCTTGAACGTATTTTGACGGTTAAAAAACGGACAAACTGGGAGACACGTGTTCGGATTAACTACCTAGCCGCGCGGACTCTCCATCCGATAAACTGTTTCCTGCAATTATGCTGTACTTCGTTATTATTATTTATTTACTTTTTTTTTTTTTTATCGTGCCCACGTTTATTATAGGTATTATTATTATTATTGTGTTAATGACATCATTGTTCCACGTGTGCGGCCCGTCCGATATTACGAATAACACTGCGCACGACATTACCCCGGCCGGATTTCGGTCAGACTCTGAAGTCTGAGGGGGCTATACACTCTTGGCGCCAGGCCCTTTTGCCCGAAACATTTTTTTTTTTTTTTTTCATTCAATGTATATTTTTATTATTGACGGAGGTGGTCATAACATTAACAGTATATGACAGTGTACCAAAAAGTAATACGTAAGGACCTCGGCGGCGAATTATTGCCGAAAAGCGATGTTCGGAATAAAAAAAGCGCTTCTTTGTAACACCAATAGCTTCTTCGCTATATTTAGAATCCAAAAAAAAAAAAAATAAATAAATAACGAAACATTGTAGCCTCCTTCGTCTTGCGACAAGCGGGGCTACAGTTTCACCCTAAACCCAAAAGAGTTCAGAATGTTAATGAATTATAATCACGGCCTCTGCAGATAGTTGTGCTTTCACATTAGTTAAAAGTATAATTTTTTGATCCAAAGGAATACTGTCCCCCTCCCCCCAGAAGATGAATGAAATCCGCCACTGCCCACGTATCTAGTTAGGTATATTTTCGGTAATAAATTACACTTATTCAACTCTGTACTTATAGGCACCTACCTGGCTGGTGTTCATCGATTTTTACGAAGAATTTCGAATCCTTATACATTAATCGTTGGTTTCGTGGATAATATTTTATCGGGTTAGAAAGAAAACAGATGAAAAAAAAAAAAACGACCATAGATTTTGTACGGAACACCCAACTTCGCCAACTGGTATAGCCGGTATTTCGATACATATAGGTAGGTAGGTATTATATACGTGCTTAGCAATCGTTTTTTATCGTCGGTTATAAAAACTGATTACTTTAGCACATTTATGGGCTTACTGCTTAGCATTGTTTTTCTTTTTTTTTACAACTTAGAAAAAAACTACAAACTCTTGGTAATAACAATAATAATATTACGAAAATAGTCATCGCGCGAAATGTGCCGACCACGTCAGTTTTATATTGAGTTCCTTAATCCTCGAGAGCGATACATTATATTTTATTATATATACAGACACAGTGATATACACATACCTATTTTTGTACTCGAGGTTTGGCTTAGTAATACGATATTCCGAATTCGGCCTATACGAAACCCGAGCGAAACCTAATCTAAATTTGATATTATTAGGATTGTATTCGGTTTTGATTCCGTTAAATAGGTTAACGGGTTTTCTCCAGTTTAATGGTTCGTATATTAATCGCAGCGATGGCAAAGTGTTATGGTAGTATTATAGGTGTCTGCAAAAACTATACGATAATATTTTAACCGACTTTCTTTGAAATTTTCCCTTTTTTTTTTAGTTTCATTTTAGATTAACAATGTAACGAAAAATCTAATACTAAGGACATGTTTTTCTTCCTAGGAAAACGTGTTTCATGTATGTTGAAAATCGCGGATTTTTCGCCCGATTTGAACAAAAAATGTTTTAGATTAAAAACAGTTTTTTTTTTTTTTCTAAAAGTTCAAAAACCAACAACAATTGAGACGATACATCGGTTTTGATTTCATTCATTTCTGGAATACCTTGGTTAAAAAGAGAAAAAACACGACTAATAACCTTATTTTTAGTATACGGAGTTCAGCTTGCAATCGTTTTTTGATGGCAATAATTTATCGTTACTTTCAATATACTTACTTATATTAATTATATAAAGGAAATTTTTACCTTTCAAATTTTTCACCTACAATAACAGTGGAAACAGTTTACAACAGTGGCCCATCCAGGGTGTGAAGTGTGTCCGGTTGTTTTTGATAGTTATTATCCTGGTCATTATTATACTCATTGAGTACCTATATAATGCATAATATTATGTATACCTACTCATAAAAAAAAAAAAGTTATTTTTAATCGAAAATTTTTTTTTCACATAATAAGCACAACGTGTTTTAGTTTAATTTTAATACCATATTATAGTTCATCTCTTATACGTGCTTATTCTATTGTTATGGGTGAACAACGTAAATTATGATTAGTTGTATTATTATTGGACACGATTATTATTTGTTTGCAATTATTATACCTACCTACTTCAGCAGTTCAACAATGGTTTTTTAATAATTACTATAAACCGTTAAAACAAAAAAACAAATAAACACGCTGCTAAAGTAAATATGGCCATTTATACACGAGCCGATTATTTTGATATTTTTGGAATGAAAAATGAACTTTAATTGTGATTAATTGATTACGCTGAACACATGGATGAAATTAACCGTTTTTTATATTATATAATTTGGTTTTCACCGAGGTTGTCACAGACAAATCAGTCCCCTTTTTAATAGACAAAATACCGGACAACAACAATTTACTGCGATAGGGATAAAGATGAACCCGGAAAATACCAAATAATTTAGCTTAGTTAAAATATAAATAGCAAACTAAAAATTTTCATTGAAAAAAATATACAATATACCTATTTTCTATGTTTAAAATTAAATAAATTAATGCCAATTATCCATTAAAAAAAATGATGCATCGAGTTCAAAATGTGTGTATTCGATTTGTACTTATAGGTACCTATTGTTAAGCACTCGGATGTTTCTATCATAATAAAAAGTTTGGAACATTTTTAGGCATTGTTAAGCAGTTTGATTCGTCATCAGCATACGTGATGACTGATGATAAACAAAATCTTTACGTCAAGTCATTAAAGAAATATGAAACATAATATTCTTTAAATCTAAACAATTGTGCAAATCATAATATCCTTAGATAGTTAGATAGGTATTTTATTCGCTTTAAACCGTTGATACGTTTTAACGTGACTCCGTTTGTGTCTATAAATCATTAGCAAAGAAAATATGGTTTAAAATAAAATTTAATTCAATAATTCATTGTAAATCGCATATAACACCAACAAATTTTTTTTAAAAAAATGGACTTATCTAATTATATTTTGTTTCTAGTGTAATAATAATATTATACTTATAGTTGTAGAAATGATAAAAGCAATAATTCTAGTTTGCGTCCCACGAAACTTATAGTTATAAAAAAATTGTCTATACAATATTATGTATTATATATCTATCAATAATACACTATACCTACCTGTTTCATTTTTGTTAAAAAATCTAACCTTAAAATAATAACGCTTTCAATAATACATTATATTAGCCACCTACTTGACTAACACTTAAGAAACTAAAAAAATACGAAAGTCTTTATTGTTTTTGCCAGTTGGCCAGCTCATTTTATAATCAATATGTAATTTAACATCAAATAAAACCTTTAACAATGTTGGGTTTAAATTTGAATGCTACTATAAAACTGTACCTTTACATATTATTCGCTAAAATGTAATAATGCTATGTTAAAATACATAACTAATGTTTATTATTGTATAACTTTAAATATTAGCACGTTAAATTAACACAGATGATGTATTGAAAAAAAAGAACTGTGCAAATAAGTACAAATATATAAGCGTTACCCAAGGTTTGGGCCGTTTCTTTGTTTTATTTCATATTTCAAGATACAATATATTTATATTCATACATTATAGATTCTGAGTGGAGTGAAGAAGCTTACGATTTTACAAAGATGTTTATTTTTTATTATTTTTTTTTTATCTATGGACAACTAATTTATAAAATAAATCTTGCTCGGATTTTTAAGTTTAGCGCCTTTTCTCAAAGAAAATCGGACTGGGGAGGTACTTTAAGGAGGTCATTTTTCGATTGTTTCAGGATTTTTCTCATCGAATGTGATAAACTAAGGAAAACGGGAAAATGTATGAAATATACTAATAAAATATTATGGTTTTTTTTTTCTTTGGACAACTTTTCTACCAAACATTTTTTTTTAGCTTTTTCCGACTTTCTTCAACTACACTGCGTACTTACTCAAATAATTGCAACAAAATCATTTTATTCACGAAATATAGTCTAAAAATGTATTATATAGATTTAATAAATTAAAATAATAATACAATTGTAAAATGTTTAGTGTACCTACCTACCAGAGTAAAAGTTTTGTTATTGATCGTTTTTTTGTATGAATAATAATTCAAGTTCAAAACGATATAAACAACTCAAGGGCATTAGAGGGAAAGAGTTGTTTTCAAAGTAACTTTCAGGATAAATATAATAAACAGTTCATAATAAGATATACGTGCATATTGTAATAAATATGTAGTCCTTGAAAATAAAAAGTAAAAAAAAAGTGAAACTTTAGATAGTTGCTATACACAAAGTAACAAAAATAATCGTTTGGTTTAATATTATAATGGTTTTTAGATTTTGAGCGCTATATTAGTTTTACTATGATGTGTTTTATCTTTTCTATGTGTAAATTTTTCTACATTCCACCAATCTTCATGTGTAGCATATTTTCTGAATGCAAATTTTGTCGAGTTGGTTCATTAGTGAGGTCGTCTTCCGATTTTTCTTGTAGTTTTCTTGATAATTGATGGGAAATACCAAGGAAAACGTAGACAAAATAGGAACATTAACGCAATAAATTGTATAAATTATAAACTATTGCTTGTTAAATCGAATTTATTAATATATTTTTCAGTGTTTGTCTTATATAATATTGCACGTGCGTTGTTTATTAATGCGACTTCATATTCATTTTATTCTTACCATAACTATATTATTATAATATTATTAAGACCACGCTGTATCGCAGGTGGCACCCTATACAATACATATGCCAGACAATTCACCTGTTCAACGAAAAATAAACGGTCTCTATTTGAATTTTAAATGGAACGAGAAAGAGTTTAGCCGTTTGTTATTATTAGTGTTTATTGCAGGTTGACTGCGGGTTAGTGTTGTTATTATGGTTCGAATTAAATGTATTTCGATAATGATTTTTGGACTAAAACCGTTTAATAAATTCAACCTATTTATAGAAAATTCAACCAATTACCTGTCTATTTTGTACGCGATATTATTTTTATAACCTGGACGACTAATTCAAGTTCCAATTGACGATTGATTCGGTACTCGCTTGTATATTTTGTTATTAATACGCCGTGATTACGTGTCTCTATGCGGTTACTGTATGACTAGTATCTAATACGTTTATTTACACTTTGTATAATAATATTATCATAATAGGTGTCGTTAAATGCTATTATAATGTTCCAGTTTCCGGTTTCAAAAAAACCAGTTTCCATCCGGATTCTCTGTATCCGGACGATGCCGGGATTATTACCCGAATTTATTTTTGATGCGAAGGATTATATTATTTTCGATTTAACTTATTGGTTTTTTCTTTTCTTTTTTTCTAGTCGCGAGAAGTGTTTACGGCGTTGAATGCGGCGATATGGAGGCGGCAGACATTTTACCGATTCTACAGGAGCGCGTTGCTACCGTACCCGGAGGCCGAGACCTGGACGGCAGACCATTGGTCGTGGTTGGCGTGCAGCCCTGGATCAACGGCCATTTGGACACTACGCTAAGATACTATTCGTCCCTGTTCAGGTACTACGTTATACATTATACACACTGCATTACTGCAGTGGTTTAAGTGGGAAAAACTTCGAGGGGAGGACTATACTTACCAACAGTCGGCGGGCGTCCCCGAGAACTGACTTGACCCCATCAAACTTTAGGAAACCAATCGTGGAGACAAGACGTCAAAAATATTATTCTCCCACGCACATTTGCTCATACAAATTGCACGCTAATAGCGTTTGCAAATAAACGGCACATCTCTCCCCAAACTATCCTGCACATAATACGCCTGATCAATAAAAATAAAGTAGAACGTGTAGTCTGCAGACTATATATAGTACGTATTCAAAAATGCGTAACTACCTTAACTACTAAGTATAGACTATTAGTACATCATATTGTATCACCATAAGCAGCTATAATATGTATCAGTATTACCTAGGTAGAATTCATAAAATAAATCTCAAATTTCGAGTGTGGGGGGATTATTACCCTTCATATTTTTAAAAATATCGTACGTAATATGATCAGTAGTGCTGAAGTCCTAAAAATGTAGTCGGATGAAATATATTTCAAGAGGCCCCATCACTAAATACAGTTAAATTTGTATCCAAAATAATGAGTAGAATAGGTTTTTATTTCTGTAATGAAGTAGTCAATATTCATTAATTTTGCAACCAAGCTTTCTCTCAAAATGAAGGGACCATTTGCTTATATGCTAAATTTAAAAAAAAATGTCTGGCCATGGCTTGACCTTAACATCGAGTTCGGTGCCATTTAATATGATTATAAGCTACACAATTTTAGTTGGCTCAGTTTGATATTGAATCAATAGAAAAAGGCAAACAAATGTATATTGTAATACAGTTTATAAAATTATTATATTGCTACGGTAATAAAATAAATTAATAACCGGCCGCGTAATTAGTATACATTGGTAAACTAGATTTGAAGGTTTTAGAGAGATTTAAAAAAAACGAAACGAACAAAACTTAAAAGGATTGAAAATGAAGTAGGTAATCATAACGATATTTTCAAGTATACAAGTATTCTAGAAAATAAAATATTTTTATTTTGTCATTTTGATAACATTAATATAATTAACTTTATTACCTCTGAGTAAATTTTCTTTTTCTAATACGTTTGAGAAATCAAGAAGCCATAATATTTATCTAACGTACCCGAGACCATAAAAGGTTAAATAATCCATTAAAAAAAAAACTTCACTGCCAACATTGGAATACGATATAAATATGATTTATATAATTTATTTATTAAAAAAAAAAGCTGGTTTATTTCCAAAAACACAACCTAACGTTAACAGAATTAATTGTTTGAAAATAAAGAAAATATTTTAAAATAATAGTTTGATCCTTGGTAGGAAAGTATATAGGTAGGTTGATCACGATTCATAGGATTCATTCACCGACTTTCAGACGAATAACTAATAGCTTTAGACAGTGACGTGCCCAGGAATGGGTGGGGATTTACAGTATTAATAATAATTATTATTAATACGCATTTCAAGGTAGAATCTTTTTCTATATCTAACTCGACAACGGGAGTTCAAAAACCGGATACAAAAAAGCCAATTGCTGGTCAATAAATCAAGTTTTTCCTTGTAATTTTTGAAATGATATAATATATACATTTCAAGATTTAAATTACTAAATGTCTACTTCCCCTCTTCCTTTTCACGCCACTTTCTTTAACGGGTCATTGGCCATTGTCAATAGTTTGATCCGTGTTTTAAATACTTCGCACGTGGGTGCAGTCACTGTTGTAGGTGGGAAGTTGGGCAGATAGGATACAGACGAGAATTTAATGTATATCTAAGTAACGATAAACCATTGCTAACGAAAAACGATTCTGAGTGGAGTTCATTTGATAGTGTTGCTTTGTTAACAATATATATGTCATATTATAGTAAAATAAAATGGCAAAATAAAGTTATTTAACATAAACATGTAATTTCTGCATAATATCTGGATTTCAAAAAGCTATGTTTTTTCGAAACTTAGAAAAAAAAAATGAAAAATTAGATTTGTTCCACTTAACTTTTTACTCAAACAATTTTCGTCAAAATGTAGTATTGAAATCCCTTTATAAAAAAAAATACTGCATTAAACTCAATTTTTTTTTTTTACTACAAAGTAGGATTTAATGAACCTCCTGTTAAATTTGTAACCATTTCTGTTAAATCTTAACAATTTTACCACAGAGTACCTACCGATTAAAAATTATGTACAAAACTCGCAAAATTAAAATGTCTATAAATAGCTCAAAAATGCCTTACATTTTTTGAAAATTTTACTACGTCTAGAAAAAACAAATATAAGTTTTCTATCCAAATTTCAAGTCTACCAATATTTTTAACTGAATTACAACAAATAACAAAATTGATAAAATAATAAAAGCATTAATTTCGTATATTTCCCGTTTTTTTTTTTACGTTTTATCCTGGTTTTTCTCAGATATTATGAAAACCGCTTAGAAAATCAAAAAATGACCTCTTAAAAGTACCATCTGGACATCATTCTCTTTTAGAAATAGTGCCGCGCGTATATATCTGAGCAAGATTTATGGTCGAACTTTTGAATACAATTTAAAAAAAAATTAATATCATAGTAAAACCAATACATTCTTCGTTACACTCAGAATCTAAAATTTTTACACGCTATATTTTATCAAAATGCATATTTCTGAGTATTTGTTCATAATATAAATGTGTTTTTCAAACAATTTATAATTTGAATTCAAACTACAACCTCATTGTGGAGAGAAAGTTACCGGGTTTTTGGTGTATATGCACGCGGTGACATTAACTTGAACAATATTTACAGCGGGTAAAGGTTACACACTTCCGCAATCGTCGTGAATAAATTCCATTTAATGCAACGATGATCACTTTTAGTCTCATATGTTTTGTGAATAGAATAAAATAAAACATAATTTCCGGAGTAAAGTATAATCATAAAAGCAGTCTCACGTATTTTGTATTTAACGTGGCATTGTTTTTGTTTTTAAGACATATTTTATCGTAAATTAACCTACCTATGTTAGTTGTAAAAAAAAAAAAAAAAAAAATACATCCAATAACCCCATTACATATTATCATAGCTATTATAATATTATATCCGTATATTTTACAATTTTATAATTTAAACGAGTGTCGTAATGATAGACGACAATTTATTATTATAATGCCAGTATAGTTTTGTTGAAAGTAAAACTAAATTTCGAAAGATCATATCAAACGAATAAATTATAAATCTATTTGGGCACGAGTACAATTGAATATGTATTGGTACTTACGTAATTCAATTATGAATTCATTTATTTTTTTACAGCGGTTATTTATATTGTTCGTACTGCATGAACGTGAGGTATACCTATAATGTTTGTAACTTTAAAATTATTTAATAATTCAAAAATGATAAGTTGAAGATACAGACCCGTTACAAAATTGAAAGTATTTTCGAACTGTCCAATGAGGCAGGAACAAATAGATTTTTTTTAGATCAAGTCAGTCTCGTAGAAACAATAAGAAAGAAAGTGGAACTTTTCAAAAGTAAAACATATTAATTCTGTAATTATAATTTATGGTTGTACAAAAATACAAGGAGTACGACGGAAATAAAAACACTTCCATGTTACAAACCTATTGTAACTGACTTTCTTTGGTTATATACGATTAGGTTTTGAAAGTATATCACATGTAATTTGTTTTTTTATTATTAAATGGGTACCATATTATGATTGATTTAAAACTATAATTTAAAACCAAATGTAATACATTACTTTTTCTATTAGATTTATGAATTGTGTTTGAAGTTTCAACAAAATTGCTATTCTCTTCAATCAAATAAAATTATTAATATCTTTTTAATACCATAAAATTCTAAAGTACTTACTTAATTATAACATATACAATTTCGTAAAAATCTGTCTTGTCTGATAAGAAAAAAAAACCCAGAATATTTCAATAGTCTGTTGACCTACAATATAAATTTAAGACAGTAGCCCACCTGGCGAGAAAATAACAACACTTTTTCTTTGTTTTCAATTTATATAATTTAAATCTTTGGATATAATAGGGTTTTATAATGTATTCTTTGATGCTGTTTTCATTTTAATATTATAATAATGCAGGTATCTATGTGCAATAACCTCTTACATTATTATGTGTTATAATAATACACCTGAATTCATTAATATTTAAAGACACACCTTTAAAAAAAAAAATTGAATTTAATAAGAAAAAAACAGTTGTAAAGTATTTATTGGAAGAATTAAATTTATAAAGCATATATAGGGTTTTATTTTTTTTACGGATTATTATTATATAGGTACATTGCAGACCAGGAATAACGATAAAATTGTATTGATGTTTAATAAAACTCGCTCATATATTTTATTCTCAGAGTTATTTAATATATTCAAACAACATTAAGACTAAGCTTACGCAAACATAATTGTCACGATTATGCCGGACACGTCCGAGGTTTTTAAAATGTCCTAAATATTGTATTAAATTACAATAGGATAAATTTTGATTTTATAGACTAACGATTATCTATTAATAATATATGGATTATATATGTTTAAATTTAAAAATAAAAATGTAAAATAATTTGTTTTCTTCACTTGCCTACCTACAAAATATTAATCGACAGATAGGTACCTTAAATTGATAGATTAATACCTACTTCAATTTTGATTAAGCTAATGAAAGTTCAATATTGTTATTGCATAAAAAATATTAAATAATTTCTCGAGTTAACTTAATTTCTTTTTACACACCAAAGAGTATTAAACCAAAATAAACTAATAAAAATTAGTTTACATAAGGAATAAATTTTATTTAAAAAAAACAAGAGTGTGCCACGGTTGTAGGTGAGAAGTTGGTAAGGGGAAATTGAATTTAAATCTGTACACAACGATTAATCATTGCTAACGAAAAACGATTCTGAGCGGAGTTCGGTTATACATGTTTTTTGAAATATTGTTTTGTTTTCTTATACATATATACGATTTGAAAATTATACAATTCGTAAATTTTCTCGTTTTTTCCCGGTTTTTGCGCTCAGAATCTAAAATAACATAGTATCTATAAAAAATGAAATATGTACTTACCTAATGTTAATATAATTTTTTTCTATGCATAATTTATAGTCCGGAAACGAGACAGACGGGTTTGTGCGTCGTACTCGATGCTCAGCGGAGTACGTGGAAGATGACCAAAAGCGTTATGCACAAAGTGTTTGAAATCTTAGACGTGAACATTGCGGCAATGCTAATCGTCAAATTGGACGTGTTTTGGGATAAGCAGCGTGTCGAAAACTGTACAAAATCTAGAACTGAAGGAGAGGTATAAATTAAATAATATTGTTCTATGTTTAATGAGTAATCAAAATTAATTTCACTGATTATATGGGAATATATTATACATTAAGGTTACCCAATTTTAAAATTCACGTATAGTCCAAATTATGCAACCGATGACTTATGTTAGACCACTTTGTAAATTTAAAAATATCATATCAAAAGTGAAACATTGTAGTTTGCGTATTGTTTCAATGCAAATTTAAATCAATAAGCCTAGTTCGTTATAAAATGAAAAAGTGTACAGTTTGGTCCAACATAAGCGATTCTCCTCTATTTGTTCGTCCGCGTGCTTATACCTAATATGTGTCTACACAGCCCATTTTCGTGCCGTTGTCGAGAATTCATAAGTATGTGTCGCAAGATCAATTGCCAGTGGATTTAGGCGGACTTTGGACCTACAACCACGACCAATGGATCCACAACCGCGTAGTGAGTAAAAAACGCATAATAACATTATTATAATATGTAAACCTAACCATTATGTCGGCAATGATTTTTCGGACGTCTATTATGTTATAGAGGGTCGAAGAGTTCATCAAAAGTTCGGAAAACGCCGTGTCCGATATGGAGAAACTGAGGCAGCACCTGACGAACAATCAAGACTTACTCAAACACAGCACGGCCGACATTGTGCTGACCGTGTCCGGCGAGAAGTTCAACGTCGTCATAGATCACGTGAAAAAAGTGTCTCAAGCCGGACAGATGGTGTGCCAGCGGATCGACAAAATGTACGCGGATCAAGGTCAACCGTTCCCGCAGGATGTTCTGGACACCAAAGAAGCACTCGACCGGTACACGAGAATCGTTCACGATAAAATGATGGTGGTCGTCGATTGTTGGAACGGCGTACAGAAAAAAGTCGACAGTATTAAGGTATAATAATTTTATTTATGTTGTATTATTACTTTTTTTTTTTTTGACGTTAATTTATTCATTTTTTGTTTTAAATTTAGGAGATGCGATATTTAGAACAAGGCATCAAACACGTGGTCAATTGGATTCTGGGGCCGGGCGAGGAGATGTTAAACGGTAAACAACAAGTAGGCTACGATATTGTTTCTGCCGAAGAATACAAACGAAATCACGAAGCGTTTGAACTTCAATGCCGGGTAAGAGCCCATCAATACTATTTTTCATCGAAAACTTCTCGATATTATGTTATAAAATGATTAAGTATATAATTGATATTGTTCATAAAAAAAAGGATACATATGGTCATTATGCCGAATTACTGCATAAAATCAATAATCTCTTCGTTTCGAACTCTCAATGTTACAAAGATCTGTTGTCCCAGCGAGATTTCATGGATTTTGTGTGCCGAAGTTTTGCAACACGGTTGGAACGAAGAAGAAATTTACTAATAACTTCCGCCCGATTTTTTCGATTGGTCGCAGAGGTTAAATTTTATTTTAAATATGCTATTAGTTAGTTTTGCAGTTCTTATAATATTAGATGAACTTTTTTGTGTAGTATTTTCAAACTACAAGTGACGTTTACGAAACATTGGTAATGGGTACTGATATCGAAGCTTTAGAGTCGGCCGACAGCACTTTGTTACAGTTAAAAGACCAGCAAGAAAATATTGGTAGGTATCTTGTTTGAACTATTTATTTTTTGTTTTTTATTAAAATTAATTTAATTTAATTTTGCAATATTTTTTCAGAAAAAATCGAAAGAGATCTAGTAAAAGAAGGTGAAAAATTATCTGACATGTTATCGATGCCTGTTAAAAATGCTATGGGTGTCGTATTAAGCGTTGATTATGAAGCAGATATTGTAAACGTATCTGAAATTTTAGAAATGACGAAGGCTAGGTGTCAATTGTTTTGTGATAGTGTGGAACTGCAAAGATTGACGTTGCAACAGGTTTCATATGTACTAAACTACGAAACTGATGCTTCACAAGTAATATACATGTTTTAGTTGAATTACATAGTAAAGTAAAGAAATTAAAAATGTGAAAGTTGATAGATTTTAAAAAATCAAAAAATGTATGTGTAACATTGTTTATGTTTGTTTTGTTTTTTAGATTTATTATTAATAGTATTATTTGTATAGGCAATCCAGTGGTTAGAAGACTTGTATCATGTTCTGCTCAAATCACATTATCATGTAGGATCAAATGCAGAAGAAATACAAGCTCAAAAAGAAGAACACCAATCATTCCAAGAAACTGCAAAAGTAATGCATTAATTAATGATATTTCCAAAATCTCACTCAATTTAAATCCATTGATGAAATTATATTTGTTTAGGGTACGTATGATTATGGTTGCCAGTTGTTAAATGCCGCACTAGCCTTACGGCAATCTTGTAAATTGACTGAAACAAGAAACTCTACATTAGCCAATAGTCTGTGGCAATCTTGGAAACAGCTCGATGACATAAGTCAAGAGCAATTAACCCGATTACGAGTGTCTACCGTTTATCATAGAAATGTTGATAAGGTATAAAAACCAATGTACCAAAAATTATAAATAAAAAATGTGTCGTATTAATCTGATGATTATTTTGTTGTACATAGTATTGTGGACAACTTAGAGAATTAATGGAAACTGTGCAAACTATTCAGGACGAAAACAATAATAATACCACAAAGCACAAAGGTCGATTGCGTAAATGTCTGGTGTCTCGAGAAAAAATTCTGTTGGAAGTTGGACGGACTGTTCGTCTCGGGCGCATGCTCAAAACTAGGCTTCGTGAACCTCTTTGCGTTCAACAAAAGTGAATTAATATACTTTAAAACAAGATTTGAACAATTGTGTATCCGAAAACGTTTTGATATTCTACTAATGTGCATAATTTGCTGTTTCAGGAATGAAGATGTACGATACCTTAATGAGAGCGCTGTGGATTCGGTTTGTCAAAAATTATCTGTAGTCACTGAACTAGCTGAACAGTTAGACTTCACTTTGTCTGGATTAGCCCAGAGTACCATTACACACGTGCTAGATGATTCCAGTGGAAATGTTACTCAGGCGAGTTTCTCAATTTTTTTTTCTTTTGAATATAAAATGATTTAAATCTTTCCAATATTAACTGAATTGTGTATTATTGTACTGCAGGAGTGGTACATAAATTTGAACAAATCGAATGATAATAAAGACTCATCGTCATCAGTGGTAATTAAAATGGAAGAGAATAACAATTGTAGTAGTCGATCGGATGCTGAAGACTTTGTGACGGCTTCCGATTGTACCGGTACACCACCGTCCAGGTCGTCTTCTTATCATACTCCGTCTGAAGGAGAAGCTACTTCCAATTCCCCGTGGTGGGAACTTGATACTACCATCGATGCGGAAACCACTATGGACAGCTCAAAGTGTTTGCAACTGACTGATGAATCTCAACAGGTAATTAAGGATATTAAAAATATGTTTGCCTAATTAATTTTGTATTAAATTGTTATTTCTTATAAATTTATAGGATATTGAAGTGAAAACGGAACATGAAGAAAATGATTCATCAGAATTGTCCATTACAAGCGATCAACTTCACAAGTCTGACGATTTCGATTGTAAAGATGAGAGCTTGCAGTCGATCTCAAATGAACAAGTGAGCAGTGGGGAAGAAAAAGATGAAATTGTTATTTTACAAGGTCCCAATTACGAGCCTGAAACCAATAATAATGATTGTACATTTTATAAACAGAGCATAACCAAACAGGCTTTAGCTGGTGTGTTCTAAAGGACTTTTATATGATTTATGTTTTAATCTTATATTTTTAACGCACCAACAAGACTGGTACGAGACATAAATGTCTTATTTTTAATTATGTTTAAGATAGAATATTATTACAATTGTATTTTATATTTTTATGTAAATTTTTTTTTTGTTATTTAGTTTAACGAATCAAGTATATACTACCATAACGAGTCAATGCAAAGTTGTTTAATACTATATTAAATTGATTTTTATCAATTAATATTATTTTTGTGTATCTTCCTATATATTAAGTATTTTTGTATTTCATGATTATTATTTCAATAAATATAAATATGTGTTAAATAATTTATTTCAACTGTAGAAATCAATATAAATCAATTATACAATTCATTATGTATTTTCTTATTTTGTATTTATTTATAAAAAATGGCTAGTTCGACAATAATAGGTATCAAAATCGATTATTAATTAGTTATTAGTTATTAATAAAAATTAATAGATAATTAGGTAATAATAATAATATATTATAATTACGTAAATTAATGTAATTTTACAAATTTATAGCCAAAAGTATAATAAATATATTTGGTAACTACTAGTTTTGGCTAGGAGGCCATCATCAGGTTTCATAGGTGTATCAAGTATTTGTAACAATTTATTAATAAATAACAATAATGTATGTATATAAAATATAATATGAATCATTTTAATTTATATTTATACCAAACTCAGGTGTGGAGATGATCCAATAACAAAATTTTTGAAAATGAAATATTATTCCATAATCATTTTTACATTCACCATTATACTACTATGAACAACTTTTGTGATTAGGGGACATAGATACTACTTTAATTAAATTTGTCAGTATCTTAGGGATTTTAAGAAAGAAACTGTTTTTATAAAATGCATAGGTACCATTTTTTCTGAAAGAAAATTTTGTCTAGTTGGTATGTAATAAAGTTGTTTTGATTTTCAAACCAGTTTTCATAATAATTTGAGAACACCAACAAAAACTTAATAAACACGGGAAAGTTTACTGCACCAATGGATTTGTTATTACTGATTTCAGTTTTTTGTTGTAAATAAGCTAAAAGTTATTATAGAAAGCAGAAATTTTCATAGAATACTTAAATTAGTATTTACTAGACGTGGTTAAATTCTCGCGAAATTTGAGCAATTTATAGGCATTTTTAAAAGTTTTTATTTGGTTAGTACCAATTAGTTACTATGTGGATAAAACAGTTTAATCAAAACAGAAATACTTGAAAATTTAACACGAGGATTATTATAAGTTGTACTTATTGGTTAAACAAATAAAAGTTGAGTGTAAAGCAGTAGTGTATTTTTCATATTCTTGAATCTTTGAATCTTCATCTTTGATGAAAATCATAAAAATATGTAATTTCAAAATATGTATAACTGAACTTCTCTCTAAATGGTATTTCATTAACAATGGTTTATCGTTACTTATAGATAAAAATTATTTAATTTATGTGTACTACCTTCCCTAATTCTCACCTACAACAGTGTAGCATTCATCAGCATGATGGTCAGCTCTTTTCATTTTAATGCGTCCAAAACATTTAAATATTGACACTACTCAATATCGGGCAAGTAATACACTTCATGATATAAAATCTTGTATTTAATTTTAGAGCATTTTTGAGAATTAAAACAAATTATTATATCTATAAAGAAACGAAAAAACTCAAAAATTTAAAATTATTCAAATAATTCAAAAATCGATAGAATGTTTTGAAAACTGCAACACTCCTGTAAAAACGTCTCCATACAATTTTAATTACCTACCTACAAGTATCTGTATGCTTCATATGCTCAGAATTTAAAAGTTAAATATTTTAGAGTGCCTATCTACTTCAACATTTGTACTATAGTTCTATTGAAAAAGTATGCCTACTTACCTACAATTAGGGTTATAGTAATTAGTAGGGGCGTAGGTATAGATTATTTATGGGAGGGGGGGTTGACTTTCAATTATTTATAATACACTGACAAAAAAAAAAATTCTACCAAAATTGGGTATATTTTTATTATTACCTATTTATTTACTAATTGGGATTTTGATAATGGGTACCTAGGTAGAGACCTACACATATAGGTAGGCATATTATTTATAAATTATTATAATTTGCATAAACTTCAAGAAATATACGAGAAATAATTTTAATAATAGTTAACTCAAGTGACTGTAAAAATGATCATTTTGATTTTGATTTTTATTTACATAGGTAGTAAAAAAAAATTTAAAACGTCTTAGGTATTCATTTTGTACTTAGTTATACACTTAATAAGTATTAAATGTTTGTTTGTTGTTTTTAAAATTTATTGGTTTACTCACCAAGTTGTTATTCTTTTTTTTTTTTAAACAAGATTTGAATATTTTAAAATTGTATAAAAAATGTTCAAACATAACACACTTTTAATGAAAATTATATTTTTAATAATACAAAAAAAAGCGCTACAATATATAATGATCACTGTATTTGACAATATGTAGTCGACGAATGACAATATCATAAAATAGATGGCGCTGTTAGTATGATGGCCTATAATTTTTGCCGCATTGCGTTCGTGACCGCTAATCAACAGTAGTTGATAACACATATTTTTTGGTTATGGTGTTATCATTTCCATTGAGCCACTTACTCTTTAGTTTTTTGAAAGTGTGAGACACGTCGATAAATTCGAGATTTGTTCGTGCGTTCGTCTTGAGTTTGACAAAATGGTTCTCGATTTAGATTTGTTCCGAACTGAAAAAGGCGGTAATCCGGATAAGATACGTGAAAATCAGAAGAAACGTTTCAAAGACCCGAATTTAGTTGACCAAGTCGTCGAAGCAGATGTTAAATGGCGGCAATTGCGCTTCAAAGCGGACAATCTAAACAAATTGAAAAATCTTTGTAGCAAAACCATTGGCGAAAAAATCAAATCCAAAGAATCGCAGGCTGACAAGAGCAACGACATTGAAGCCGATTTTGATTTAGACAAGGTAACTGCTGATGTATTGAAACCGTTGTCGGTTGAACAGATTAAAAAAGTTCGTGTACTCATTGACAGTACACTAATCCAAAATGATAAGGATTTACTAAATATCGAAAAAACAAGAACTGAATCGTTTAAAGAAATAAGTAATTTTTTACATGACTCTGTTCCAATCAGTAATGATGAAGACCAGAATGCAATTGTTGCTACTGTTGGTGATTGTACGATAAAAAAAAAATACTCTCATGTTGATCTTATTCATATGATTGATGGTGTAGATTCCGATGCAGGAGCTACGATATCTGGTGCCCGTGGATACTATCTTAAGGGTCCAGGTGTGTTTCTACAATCTGCGCTTGTTCAAGAAGCACTACGTCGATGGGATGACAAAGGATACAAACCATTGTACACTCCATTTTTCATGCGTAAAGAAATCATGCAAGAAGTTGCTCAACTTGCACAGTTTGATGAAGAACTGTACAAGGTAATTGGAAAAGGTAGTGAGAAAGTTGGTGATAATGATTTAGATGAGAAATATTTGATTGCCACTTCTGAACAACCTATAGCAGCTCTTCATCGTGACCAATGGCTACCGGAAGCTAGTCTTCCTATCCGGTATGTGGGTGTTTCTACTTGTTTCCGACAGGAAGTCGGTTCTCACGGAAGGGACACAAGAGGAATATTCAGGGTACACCAATTTGAAAAAGTCGAACAGTTTGTTTTGACCTCTCCATTTGATAATAAATCTTGGGTTATGTTTGATGAAATGATTAATAACTCTAGACAATTCTATGATGATTTAGGTATTTCTTACAGGGTTGTCAATATTGTATCCGGTGCATTAAATCATGCTGCTGCTAAGAAACTTGATTTGGAAGCGTGGTTCCCTGGATCAGGAGCATTTCGTGAGTTAGTATCTTGTAGTAATTGTTTAGACTACCAATCAAGGAGATTACTAGTAAGATACGGCCAAACCAAAAAAATGAATGAAAAAGTTGATTATGTACATATGTTAAACGCTACTGCATGTGCTACTACTAGGGTAATTTGTGCTATTTTGGAGACGTATCAGACCGATACAGGAATCAAAGTACCTGAAGTGTTGAAGAAATACTTACCAACCAGATATCAAGATGAAATTCCTTTTGTGAAATCGGCGCCCATTGACGAAGAAGAAACAAAGAAACAAAAAAAGCAGAAAGAAGGAATGAAAAATAAAAAATAAAATATTTGAATTCCTGTAAGCACATATATATTTTTACCATCATTTATATATAAAAATATTTGCTTTTTTTTTCTAAAACGTTGTTTTCTTTGTATATCATATTTTAAATATAGTATACTGAATTTACCCAAACAGGCTAATTATTAAGCTTTATGCTCAAATAATTTAAACAAAAAAACCAATTATTGTCTTATTTACAGCTTTTTACTGTCAATAAATTGAACCTGTAATGTAGGTAATACTTACATTTTGTATTTTTGTATAAGTATTTTATTTAATTATTTGAACTGTATGCATACAATTCTAGATAAAAATCAAATTAATTAAATTTAAAATTTCATAATGATCATAAACAATTAAAATAATGTATTTCAGTTTTTTTATATGGTGATAGAAGTTTATTTCAGAATATTAATCTGATCATTTTTGTTTTAAATAATATTGTAAACATAATTTTTTTAAAACTATTGATCAAAAAAATAAATAGAATAAAATAGATGTTTAAAACATTTCTAGATTTTGAGTGGAACGAAGAATGTATTGGTTTTACAATGATGTTTATTTTTTTTTACTTGAACACTTTCTACCAGAAAGCATACTTTGTCAAGTATAGTACCTTTTCAGAAAGAAAGTTTTCTCTGGGTGGTGAACATAGTCATTTTTTGAAATTCTCATTAATATTCGAAATTATTACAACAATGATTGTTTAAAAGAAATTGAAAAATTAAAAATAAGTTTGCGTTGACGACCGTTTTTATTTATTTTTTGTTATTACTAAGTTTTTAATATTTTAATATTTTTTAAACAATCATTGTTGTAATAATTTTATCATAATATGATATATATCATATATTGTATTGTTGAAAAAGTAATACTATCTACTGAACTCCGATCAGAATCGTTTTTTCATTAGCAATAGTTAATCGTTGCTTACATATATACATTCAATTCCCATCTGTATCCTACCTTCCCAACTTTCCACCTACAACAGTGGCTGCATCCATGTGTGAAGTATGTCCGTCCCGTTTTTTTTTAAATATTAAACGATTATTAGTTTTCTATGATACTATACAATATTTATAAAACCCTATTAGGTGCCAATAAGTAAAATAATTTTTCTAAAAAACTATAAATACTGTTTGATAATCAATATATCAACATAATAATATAATAAATGAAAACGTTATTTAAAATTACATTACCTAATATACTTATAATATATTAATATTATTATGATGATATCTTGTGTAAAAACTGTCTAATACATGGAATCATAATGTAATAATATTTACCGATCACATAATTATTTCATTGTGCAATTCAGTATGATATACATATTTGTTAGGACTTATTCGAGTATATTATAATTTTTAATGCACCAAAAATTAAATTGTTTAAGGGTTATTATTACCCAAGTTTATATAATATGTAATAATATTGTCATAAAAAATAATGTAATATTAATACATAGTACAGATAATAATTTAAAATATTTACATTCGCAATCTTAATATTATCCTTTAAGCAGGTATGATATGTTAAAAAAATTAATTCAGTAAACATATTAAATATGTAGAAATCTTTAATATTAGAATATTCATCTGCAGAAACCATTATTTATTTTAAATATTGATTTTTTTTAAATTTATTTACTATAATAATAGTTAGAAGTGTTAAAACTCTATGCATTTTACACATTTTTCACTACTTTTGTTTGGATATTTATTTGTATAATGCTTATGCCTATCTACATCGGGATACATAATCAATAATTATTTTCTTTAAATACTTTAATTTCATTATGTTATGGCGTCGGTCTAAATGAGCCTCTCCCCTTAAGGATGTTATTTTATTCCACATATATATCACATTAACTTATTAAACTATTATTTTGTACAGATTGCAAATTTTAATCAAATTATCTCATTATTAATAGGTAGGTATTATAGTTTAATATGACAATATACTGATATTATAAAAATTAAAATATATTAAGGTATTAAGGTATCTACCTATTCAAATAATGTTATTCTACTTTTATGCTACAAATATTAATTGTTCATTGTTTTCTAAAAAAAAAATAATAATCAAGACTCTTACATTGTTTATTGTATTTGATAATTTTAACTGCAGTGAAGGTGTGGAATTCATACAAACACTTAAATGTTTATAGCAATATCATTATGATTCAGTAAGATATAGATTTACTGTCACATTATAGTGTTTGAAAATAGGTTCAAAAAACTTATCCATACTTACACTAACCACTCGTCTCCCCGCCTCCCCCAAATTTCAGAAAGTCTTTATTGATATTAATTATTGTTAAAGTTACAATTTTTTTTTAATATTTACTTAATTTTCCTTACATTGTAGTGTGACACGATATAAATAATCAGACTTCTCGAAAAAAATTCTTAGATACGCTTCTGGTACCTATATAAATTATATATATATATATATATATATAAAAAAAATACTACTTACCAACTATTAATAATATTAATGTGTTTTTGTTATGTACCTACCTACCGAAACTATACCTATAATTTTAAGTAACTACTTATCTTTATATTTTTATTTTTATCATAATAACAATACGGTTATCGGTGACATTTTCATGCGATAAAATCACCGACTCACATGAATCGTGATTTAATCAAGTTTGTTTCAAAGTTTATCAATTTTGTGGCTGGATTCAGTATCACAACGTTTCCATCTTACTACATAGGTAAGTTATTTTGTCATGGTAAGTAACAAGGCATTTAATAAAATTATAGTTCTAATAAATCATGACATTATATAAATGTTTAAGATATAAACCATAGATTCAATAGATCCGCGGTAGAAACAGTCGAAAATTTATTTAAAATGCGAACCAGTGGCGATTAGGGAACTAAAATAATTTCAGTAGGGGCTATAACCCCTATAATCTCATAGAAAACAAAGCCCATGATTATAATATAGGTATTCTACTTCCCAATTTCTCTGCAGTTCCCACTTCTAATAGTGGCACACCAGTCAGCAGTAGATAGGCACCTATTGTTTGTATAAACTAATAAAATATTTTTTACTACATGGTAATGAATCCTCGACAAGACACTCAAAATTTTTAATTTTTTTTTTTTTTGGAAAATGTATGAAATAAGTACTTGGCTCTAAAATGTTACATAATAGGTTTTTTTTGGGATTGAAATTATAGGTACCCATTTTGATTTTCAAATAGCAATCTATGTTATAAATCTCAAGTATGCTGTGTTAATTAAAATACATTTTTGTGTTTTCATTTTTATTTTCCGCCAATCTATTTAAACTACTTAAACTTTGCGCGTCCAAAGATAAGGGTGAACAATTATAATGAAAATTTAAAATTTTAGAGCAGCTTGTTTCCTAAATTGTCTAAAAAAAAAATTAATATTTTCCAAAATAGTGAGTATACTATTTACATAAAAAGATCGTTGGTATATGTGTTATGATTTTTCTCTTGTAGTAAATATAGAATTTAAATTGTGGCGTTTGGGTTGAAATTGGAGTTGAAGCTTCATAAATTTTAATATTTAAATAGGTAGAAAAATATTTCTAGCGTTGGACCTACACGTATAGCATTCGAAAAAATGTTTTAAAAACTTTTCATATACCTAAAAAAGGTATAGCCATGTCAGCCACATAGCTTTAATCCTTTAAATTAAACTCCAGTTTCAATCAAAACGTCACAATGTTCTGAGTAGGTAAAGTAATTTTGCTAGTAGTGCGTTAGTAAGACGGAGACAACACAGGCGGATATGTGACATATTTTTAACCAAATAATTGTAAATGTACCCACGCATTTCACATATTTTATAATTATTCTTTGTGATAATTACGACTGCAGCGCAACTTTGTGTCACTCAGTTTCCTAAATTGTAAATGCTCATCAAGAGTGGCAGTAAAATTGTATCAAATGAGTACGTTTGACGAACAATTACCCTCAAGTACGATACATTGAATTGTTATTATATTCGATTTCGGATATTATACTGCAGTAGCAGGCACGTAATTAAGTGGTTGCCTGGGTTGGCCCGGCCACCCAAAATATTTATAGGCCACCTCATCATATTGTTGAAATACCCAAGACCCAACTAATTGAATAAAAACATTTAAACTAGCTAATATAATATATTTAACAGAGAAAGACTTAGGGATAGGTACCTATGTTTCTTCATAATCTTAAATTCGAATGAAAAAAATAGCACTTTACCTCAACTCAGAATCTAAAATAATACAAACAATATAAACGTACTTATAAATTAAATTAGTGCCTAGTTGTGGTTGGGGTATGGGAAGTAAATGTTTGCCATTCGAGAAAAATGATAATTAGGCCATCCTAATTGTGTAATCCTAGTTACGTGCCTAAGCAGGTAAATCCAGTGGTTATATAGATTTTAAAGTGTAGACGTTTTTCTGTTTTATCATTATTTAATAATGTTGGATCAATGAAAATCGAATTTGTTAAAAAATTTCTATTGAAATAATTTACAATTTTAATCTATGCAGTACGGTTTATTTTTTCGTAATACCTACCTAAACGGTTTAGTACCTATACTTTAATTTTAAAATTTGCAACCCGCTATTATATAATAGAATAATAATATGAATTATAATGAAGGTATGATGTGATGTAAGAGCAACTATTTAGGTGGGAAGAGTTTAAAATAAATAATTTTGGCACTGTGTCGTTGGACGACACTTATCTTTTTATAAAATAACAATATTTAAAAGAAAAAAAAAATGTTTCATAGATGTGTCTCCACCACCATCGTCTACAGCAGTGTGTAGTGTTATTTGAACGTGTCTACCTATTTCGTCGTTTTATTGTTATTTTTATTGCAAAGTTGAACCCTATATAAATAGGTATCTAATTTTAAATTTTGTTGCTTTATCAATAAATTTGTAGTGTTGTTACGAGTGTTACGACTGTGACAAAATATTTACCTACACAATATTATATCGAGGATAATATTGATTGAGTTATATTATTATATACCTAACTACCAATCGATTGCATTATTCGTATTACCATATAGATATGCGTCTTGTTCTTTAGTAAAAAATGTAAATTGATTTATCATTTCCCGTTGACAGCAATAATTTCACCTGGTACCTATCTACCGTAAAAGGGTAATTATATCCCACGTTCGACTGCTGATGTGCACGATAATATTACCTTGTAAGTACGCCTAATATTTTTATCGACAGTTTTTGCTGTTTTTTTTTTATTTTCATTAATCCTTAAGACACCGGCATAGACAAGAGATTGGTCATTTTACAGTGTTAGGTATTTAATATTTAGACGTTTTTTTTGTGAAAATTGGTTGAATTTTGAGATCATTTCTTAGTTATGAAAATATTATACATTTAATCACACGTAGTTATAATGCAAATCCGATAACGTGAGCACACGAAATATGCTGTATTTTTGAAACTATCTGAATAATATTGTTATTAATATTAAAAACTCGATCGATTTGAAATAATTATTTTTTCGAATTTTTTTATTTACATTTCTCGTGGAGCATGTATAATAGTCTCTTTTATGATAAATTATTGTCAGAAGTAAAATAATGAATTATATTTAATGTTTTCAATGTTTTCGTACATCATTTGCAGTTCATTGTTGTATTGGTGCATTTGAACAAAATCTAACTAGATGGCTATTCTATTATATTTTTCCTAAAAAGTGTACGTTTTAAATTTTTAATTAATAATATTTATTATGGTCTTTCTGAGTCGAAGGAATGTTAACCTGTTTAAACGTTAATTTAATTATTATGAATTCGCAAGTATGGAAAATATAGTAAACAGACGACGTACCTACCTATTGTTTTAATTTATGATCTAACTGCAGTAGGATCCTACATAAGTACAAATACAAGGTTATTAATATAAATACTACCTACCTATACGTACAATCGCAGCGCAACAATTAATTTATAATTTCTAAAGGTTACAAAAAATGTAATAAATAATGTTTATAATAATAATATTAATATGAGTTTACGATTTCTGATCATTCTCAATGTCTGCTCCTCATTACTATAAAATATTACGTCATAATGATTCAGATATTATAGCTGGCAGGTAGTATCAGGTATACCTACCAATGGTTACTACTTAGATATTAAAAAACTAAATATAATAATAAAGTGAATTATATATCGGCCTGAGGTCATACTTATAAATAATTTTATCAATATTTATGTTACCTATTGGTTGAATTCAAATGGTGGAGTGCACCGGTATACTGCACAGTATTTTATATAAATAATTTACAATATTTTAGGTTTTAGTACTCCACGAATATTTAAAATTTCAAAATATATTGTTCTTTATAATTTTACTATCGACATCAAAAGTTTTACCTAGTTAAGTATTGGTATATATTTTTTTTATTTAAAAATTAGGTATCTATATTATTCATTTTTAACTTGTACAGTAAAAAAAAACATTAGGCATAGTGGATAAAGCTTGTGCAGCAGTTGTGTATCAACATTACTAAAACACATTATGGTCACTTAGTTCTTATAGTTACTAGGAAATTTCATAAACAAGTATATTATCTATATTTGTGACATCATTTTTCTATAATCTATATGTTATTCTTACCTCACGTGTAAACATCATGAATACTGGTTCCATTAATTTTTAGGGTTCCTAACAATTATTGGATTACAGTGATGTATGCGCAGTAGTTTTATTCTTTACCCAGTTAATATATAACCACTATTATATAAAATTCATAAAAAAAATATTGTAACACAAAAACGATTTATAAGTATAACATCTATGAGTATTTAAAATAATATAAGAGTAGGTAATGATAAAAATTGTTTTATAATCAGAATTGTTTAACTGCCTACCTAGGTATATCGGTGGCGGATCCAGGGAGATATAAGGGCGTTTGCTTCCATCCCAAACACTGTATAGTGTAGTAGGCAATTTTTTTAAAATAAATATATACCAATTTCAATTGTTGTAAATGGTTTTGCTCACTCCTAAATTAAAGTCTGGATCAACCGCTGACCAATAGAGTAATTTTATTTCATTTTTAAATAATAATAAAGACGGTGTTTGAAACAAAATACACATAATTTATACAGTGCTACAATTAAAGATTTAGGGACCCGTGTGCGGTAATTATATTGGGTCCTCTTCCAAGATTAGTCCATATTTGTGCAAGTGTTTTAGACATTTTTAGGTTTTCAAACAGATTTCAGACTTTTGTTTTTGTAAATAATAAACATTTCTATATCGATCAATGCCGTCGTCAAGGCTGATATTTTCTAGTAATTTATTATTTTTTAGTACTTACTGTTTTCTTCAATGACTGTGTTCATACCCCCCCTAACCAAATTTATCTAAGCGCCGGGGTCTTATACGCTCTGCAAACCATCCGGGTTTTACGGCACTACTAATGTACCCACCCTAATAATAAAGTAGGTACCTGATATATATATATTGCTGCAGTGATAATTCAATTTCGCGTCCATTAGGGAAAGACAGTCGCAAGACAGTTCACAAAAACCATCGAAATTATTTCGAATATAAGTATTAGCGCATATTAACTATTTAGATAAACGAATAAACGGATATACGCATTTTTAATTTTTTTTTTTTTTATCTACCATAATAATAATAATAGTGTACGGGCTATACCGGGACTGGCCCAGGATCCTGCTTTTTTTTTTTTATAGGACTCGACATGTGGCTCGTATATGTGCGCGAATATCCGAAATATTGTGCGCTATAAATAATTCGAACACGGCCGTAGGGGCTTTCTGTTCGATCTCGCGCTGCGCCGGGGCAATCTGCCAAAGGAAAGAGAGCAAGAATCTCGTACTTAATGGCGTTTTTCGGGATGAAATATACCGAAATCACCGTGCATTATGTTATTATAATGCTCAAACACGATGATGTTCGACTATTTTTGTTTTCGTTCGAAGTTTACGCCGGTCGATTATTTGTACTGGAATCCGTGGTGTACAATAACCTTATGGGTACGCGTGGGTCGATACGTGAGCTGCAATATATTTATACGAACGTAATATTGCATTAGGTGTTGCGGGGCGAATGATTTTAATTGAAATCCTGCGAATGATATCCGTTATTTTAATCAAATATATAACATTATGTGGAATAAATTATACGCGGAAACACGATTCGAAATGAAAACCTCACAAAAACATATTATATTTTGTACATAACTTTATTCAGATTTGAGTATATATAATAATAATAATTGAACGCAGATGGTCGGGCAATTATAGAGTTTACACGCATAGTCGGTCGCCCAGCAAATACTCGTAAGTCGATTTCAACATCATAAGTTATAAAAGAAACGAAACACTTCGGTTGACTTAAAAATTAATAAACCAAAAAAAAAGAAAAGAAATCATAATTTCGATTCACGAGATTTCGCATGGGTAACCGTCGACGTGTAAACAACGAGATATTATAATTTATTAACAGTATACGCCTAATAATTAATAATACCAAAGCGTTTGTCACGTAGTATGTCACATTTTTGAAAACAATTACCGAACATTTATCATTATTTTTTTATTTTTAAGAGCAATATGGAGAGCGATGATGATTATTATACAGTTTCCGAGTGTTTAAGTTCAAAAGTCTCTTCGTACGACTCGTGCACGCCTGTTGCTTCTGACCAGGACGAAGAGGTATGTAATAAATTAATATATTTTACATCCATTGACTTTTTTCTTTCAGTAAGCAGCTTTTGCATAAGCTGATCTGTTTTACTCTAAATATACCATTGATATGCATAGTGAAAATCGCTCAGAAACTAAAAGTTAATAATAAATAAAAAAGCGCGTCACGGTAAAACTAATACGCTCAGACGGCCGTTTTAAGAAGACAGCAGGCAAAAAGTTATACTGACCACCTCCGTTCTTTTTACGAAACAAACTCCCATTTACAACGCTCTAAATAAATATTACATTATTATATGGCGATTCGATAAAAACAAAAAAAATATGGCTCGGATACTCGTCATGGATCCACGCGACGACCGCTACCTTTGACTGCAGTGGTTTCAATTCTCCAAAAGACAAAGAACTTATAAAAATAATTATTATTTAAATTTTGGATTCTGAGTAGAGTGAGGAATGTATTGGTTTTATAATGATGTTTATTTATTATTTTATGTGAACACTCTTTCTACCAGAAAGCATACTCCGATTGATGTATAGAAGTTCCGAGCTTTTAATAACTCTCCGTATTACAGAGAATGAGAGTTTACGAGTTTCTGAGTTGATAAGAACCGTAATGCCGGATGTAAAAATGAGTAAAACAAATATGCTGTGGATATACTTGGGCTTAATGATAAATTTACGGAAACAATTTTTTTTATCAATTTTACATAATTATTAACTAATATGCAATAAAAACAGATTATATTTGTTATATAAATCTTGCCATTTTTGAGGGATAAGACACCTAAATTGCGTTTATAGGTACTATATATATATAGGTACACAACGTTAGGTTCGTGTTGTTTTATTCAACCGTTCCGTTTCGATATTGTAAATTTTGGTATTATTTTCCTACCGGATTTTCGGCGATTTAATTTTATTAATTTTAGTTATTTTAGATTCTGAGTGGAACGAGGAATTTATTGGTTTCACAATGATGTTTATTTTTTTGTTAAATTTAACATTTTTTTTTATGTGAACACTTTTTCTACCATAAAGCGTACTCCGATTGTCAAGTATAGACTTATTTAGACTACTAGTATAGACTATATTCACTTTTTCTGAAAGAAAATTTTCTCTGGATGGTTAGAGAAGTCATTTTTTGAAATTCTCATTAATATTCGAAATTATGAGGAACCCTTGGTCTTTAGTTTAAAAAAAATTGAAAGATTAAAAATAAGTTTGCCGTTGACGACCGTTTTTATTTATTTTTTGTTATTACTAAGTTTTTAATATTTTAATATTTTTTAAACAATCATTGTTGTAATAATTTTATCATAATATGATATATATCATATATTGTATTGTTGAAAAAGTAACACTATCAACTGAACTCCGATCAGAATCGTTTTTTCGTAAGCAATGGTTAATCGTTGCTTACAGATATACATTAAATTCCCATCTGTATCCTACCTTCCCAACTTTCCACCTACAACAGTGGCTGCATCCATGTGTGAAGTATGTCCGTCCCGTTTTTTTTTTTAAATATTAAACGATTATTAGTTTTCTATGATACTATACAATATTTATAAAACCCTATTAGGTGCCAATAAGTTCAATAATTTTTCTAAAAAACTATAAATACTGTTTGATAATCAATATATCAACATAATAATATAATAAATGAAAACGTTATTTAAAATTACATTACCTAATATACTTATAATATATTAATATTATTATGATGATATCTTGTGTAAAAACTGTCTAATACATGGAATCATAATGTAATAATATTTACCGATCACATAATTATTTCATTGTGCAATTCAGTATGATATACATATTTGTTAGGACTTATTCGAGTATATTATAATTTTTAATGCACCAAAAATTAAATTGTTTAAGGGTTATTATTACCCAAGTTTATATAATATGTAATAATATTGTCATAAAAAATAATGTAATATTAATACATAGTACAGATAATAATTTAAAATATTTACATTCGCAATCTTAATATTATCCTTTAAGCAGGTATGATATGTTAAAAAAATTAATTCAGTAAACATATTAAATATGTAGAAATCTTTAATATTAGAATATTCATCTGCAGAAACCATTATTTATTTTAAATATTGATTTTTTTAAAATTTATTTACTATAATAACAGTTAGAAGTGTTAAAACTATATACATTTTTTACTACTTTTGTTTGGATATTTATTTGTATAATGCTTATGCCTATCTACATCGGGATACATAATCAATAATTATTTTCTTTAAATACTTTCATTTCATTATGTTATGGCGTCGGNAAAACAAAAAAAAAAAAAAAAAAAAAAAAAAAAAAAATATATATATATATATATATATATATATATAGGTATTATTATTAAGTTTTTATTATTTTATTCTTTTTTAAACAAACATTGTTATCATGTAAACGCACATTGCTGTAATCATTTTTTAACCATATATTGTATTGTTGAAAAAGCAACAATATCAACTGAACTTCGCTCAGAATCGTTTTTTTCGTAGGAATGGTTTATCATTCGGATGAATATACATTAAATGCCCGTCCGTATCCTATATTCCCAACCTCCCACTTACAACAGTGTCTGAACCCGCGTGCGAAGTATGCACGTGCTTTTTATACATTTTTTTATTTTTCGTACCCGGAGAAAATACCGTCGTTTAATGTTTTTTCGATTCGAATTTGTTTCGCAGTGCTACGACAATGCGGACACCGTCGTCCGGCGGGAAGTGTCGCAGACCAGACGGTTGATGCTCTCGCCCGTCCGAGGATGCGCGGAAACCACCGAATCCGTCTACAAAGATATTGTTACGCCGGCGCCGCCGCGATCCACGGACAAACGGCCTGAAGTGAGCGAGCAATTTATTTTTAAAATCCCGCGGCCACCGGCAGCACGCCGCCGCAGACCGTAAACAGTGAATACCGAATAAGCGTTTATACGAGAAATATATTTTATTAGTAGGTTTTTTTTTTTTTTTTTTTTTTTCGTCGTTTTTAATTACGTCGTTCATTTTTACGTCTTTGCGCGACTGCGCGACTATATTAGTAGGTGTTGCGCGGTATAGTACTATACGGCGATAGTTCCTTTCGATAATAACTGCGAGACGAATATTTTTCCCGCTCCAAATAGAAATAATCATAGTGATTATTATTGAATCGCGCCAAATATTATTATCGCTGTAGAATATTATTATGTTTTCGGTATCGAAATCATGGATTTACGCAAGAGCAAATGCGCTCTAATTTAGTTAAGTTCACAGTGCAGCGAGGGCGCGTAAAATGTTGGAAAATATTAATTGTTCGGAGTCGTATTTAATCCGAAACAAATTTTTTCGGGAAAACTTATTTCGGCGAAAAACAATATTTCGCCAAAATACATTTCCAACAAAACACTGTTTCGAGCGAAAAAGTAACCGTCGAAATAGGGTTTCTTATTTCGACGAATTATTTTCGAAAAAATACTTTAGGCAAACATTTTTTCCCACAAAATATGGCATCCTCCTCCTATTTATATTACAATATATCCATTTTTTAGTGAAAATATTATTATGTCTATTATTATACACATATTACACATCGATTAACGTGAAATATATTATCATACTCGTAGTAAAAACGAAATAATTTTAATAACAGCCCGAAGCACGGAGTGATTGAATGCATGGACAATATATAGACGTGCAAGAGACAGTTGGCCAAAATAAGGCCGTGTCGTTTTATCTGAATACGAACGTGGTCTTGTTCCAATACCCTCATTATACACCGTGTCGAAAAAATAGTCGTTTTAATTATTAAAATTGTTGTATTTATAAAACGCTAAAGTAATTTTTATAGAAAAAATATACTGACGTCATAATGTATATTACGGTATAATAGGTTATAATTATGTATTCGTTTAGTAAATACATATTTTAATTACACTTTAGAGCACGCGATAGTCCTCGTCAGTTTTTTTTCCCAGTATACACGAGTACATGAGTAATACGACGGATTTTTTTAGAGCTGTTAGTTTACATTTTTAAACATTTTTTTTCGTTTAATCCGCTTTTTTTTTGACAAAAAGAAAAAAATAAATAACTTCTATATTTATTCACTTTTTGAGATTTTAAATATCGCCATTTTGTAAACTATATTACTTATTCTAAAGATTTTAATGTTAACATCGCACGCGTACATTTATAATATATTCGATTCATAGTCGTTTTAATTTTTAACGTTTTCGATTTATAACACAATATAAATCGAGTTATTATTTCTACGCGGCAATATCTCGTTTTTTGCACCTTTTCTCTATAGATCTTAAAACGGCTATTACCCTAAGAAACAATAATTTATTGATCAGATATGAATGTATAATAGGTACATTAAAATTTTTAGAATAACATTCATTTTATAAAATGGTTATTGTGAAAAATTTGTAAAGTGAATAAGTAAAATTTCTTTTTAGTGATTAGGGGATGAAAATAAAATATAATTTTTTTCTGAATTATAGATATCAAAGAAAAACAGATTGACAAAACATAATACATTGACGGCTCTAGAAAAATCTGTCGAACACCTAACCTGGTGGTAAACACACTGTATAACCGTGTGTCAGAGTTCAAAAAAGTTACGTTTTATAATACGAGTAATACGGTCATATAGAACCAAAGATCGGTCGCGTTAAAGTGCGAATGCAATACTAATCTGTTTCGGTGCAACACGGTCGTTTCAAGTCAGAGTTTTTGCGATTTTCGATAAAAAGCATTTGTCGCCCATGTCGGTATAAGAAAATCCGTAATTTAATATTCTAATTTGCTCGGGAGTTGTATAAAATGAGGCGCCTAGAATACAAAGGATATAAATGACATTTTATTGATCTCGAGAAAATCAAGTTTAAAATTATTAGTATTTAATAAAACTATTATAGTAAATCATCATTGCTGTTCTTGTATTCGAATAATGTGAAAAAGTTGTTGACACTTGGCAGTAAAGAGAGACATATTTGTGGGTGTTAACAGCTGTTGTGGACACAGGCACGTAACTAAGATTACACAATTAGGGTGGCCTAATTATCGCTAACATTTTTCTTGTGTGGCCAACATTTACTTTTCCTCCCTCTCACTAGGCACTAGTTTAATATATAGGTATGTTTATATTGTTTATAATATAATTTTAGATTCTGGGCTGAGCGATGATGCTATTTTTTCATTCAAATTTGAGATTATGAAGATCGTAGCACATGACGAATAATTCACTTATATTTCTCTATATCTAAAATAAAACGGGGAAATATGTGTAGTTTAGCTGTGCACACTTAATTCAGATTTTTTAAAAATTTCACTTATACCCCTTGTGTTCTAGGATATACACTCTGCCCGCGGACAGGTTATACGGCGGGAATATTAATTCACTCGATGGCACCAACCCGTAAGTCCCCCCCCCCCCCGATGGCGTTTTTTATTGTGAAGTCGGACAAGGATTTCGTTATTTATGTCTTTGCGAAAATAATCCACGACCTGAATAATCGAGGGACGTTCGCTCGAGTCGAACGGCCCGCTTCGTAACGTTTGCGTCCCCCTAATCTCCGTTCATGCTTCGTGCCGTACAATATCAAAATAAAGGTAGACATTACCTTTAAACGAACAGACTTTATAGTATTATACTACAATATAGGCACGTGTATTGACGTTGAAATCAAAAAAAAAAAAACGAAATATTATACAATCAAAATTAATGTTTTTTTTTATATATATATGTATTTAGTATTGTTCGCGTTCGTAATATTATTCTTGTAGGCTGGGGCATGACTCCCGGGCCACTAAACTCCGAGGGCCTCAGTTTTTGCCACAGTATGTTTTTTATAATACATGCATTTAACCATTAACTTTGTATACTTTAATATTTTAATGTTTTTTCGTTGCCTGATGATGATGACTTCGTGTTATGGCTGGTATTATTATAGCAGAAATTACTAATAACTTTGTTAAAAAATAAAAATAATACATTTATATTTATTTAAATAAAACTTGTGGCTTTTGAATTAAGATCTATATGATGTCTATAGTATTTATTATTTTTCTTTCGTTAATACATGTCGAATAGTTAACATTTTATTAAAAATGTTTAGTTTTTTCTATTTCATCTTTTTATTATTAAAGTCATCATATTTCTTATAATTAAATTGGTATTACATATTTGATTAATTATGTCTAACAATCCTGTAAACCATGTTCGCAAACAATTGTATATTTTCAAACATTAGGTATTTAAAATAATATTGTTGTACACTTTTTGTACAAATTTTTATTCAAGAAATAGATTTTGTTGTATAGTTTGAAATCGTATCTTCCCACTTCGCTGATTCCACTTTACCGTCTCCCACTTTGCCGATGACCGTTGATTTTGTTATAAACTTACCAGTGATGTGCGTTGCTTGTATCTATGTACACTTGCTCGTGACATCACTACTATTTGAAGCAAAAATAAAATAAAAATGCCAAAAAAATGTATACAATTTTATTTATTTGTTAACATTTATTTATACAAACAGACAAAATTTTCTTTCAGAAAAGGTGCAACTATTGATTTTGGGAGCAATATTTATAATAGAAAATACATTTTAAAAAAATTTAAAATAATTAAATTGCTAGTGCCGTAATATTGGTTTTATTTTACGTTTTTTTCAGTTTTTCCCAATTATCACGAAAAACCCTCGAAAAATAAAAAAAATATTATCTTACCAAATAGATCCGAAATGCAACGAAAATGTTCTTTTGTCATTAATTCAAAATCGATTTGAAACAGTTTTGGTTGAAATAAAAAATCATTCATTAAAGCTGACTATTTGATTAATTTGTACAATTCGTGTATATTATTATGTACGAGTAATATGATTTGGTAAAAATGCATATATATTACATGGATAAATAATAAAAGCATTAAAATATTAAAATACAATAGAAATATGTGTATTCTAATTCAAATGAAATTTTTATTATGCATAATGCATGTTAATATGTTATACATTTATATAATATACATTGCTGAAAAACACCGAATAAACCGATTTAAACTATTTAACTACCTATTGGATAACTTTATATTAATGATAATAATATCAACAACAATAATACTACCGTCTGCCAATTTAAAATAATAACGTAACCGATTCATGGGTCGGCGAAGTGGGAAGATTTTTAATTCCTATTAAAACCAGTTTAATAGCCGGCATAATTGGTTGTCAGCAAAATAGGAGTCGGCGACGTGGGAACGAACCTTTGAAGTAGGTATATGAACAAGTGGTTTTTTTTTTTTTTTTTAAATCACATAGGTAGGTAATAAAAATAACTATTACGTGTTGAATCAATATTGTTATAGTTTATATACTCCGATGGTTTATCCGGAATCCCGATATGCACCGAAAGCAATGGCTCATAGGTTTATCATTATTATGACTAGGAGGGGTTATTGAATAAAAATAAATCAGAAAGAAATCGATGTTGGCGGAAACAATGGACGTCCAACATGTTAAAATCCGAGACGCATTTCGGGTGAGATTTTTCGGTTAGGTTAGGTTAGGTTATCGCAGGTAGGCTATATAGTTTTACTCATATAACGGTGTTAATAATTTGACACCCAAGATTCGGCTCTTACTTCAATGTTTATTTTTGTAAATACATCGGTCAAAACGATTATTGAAGGTACATAGAAAAAAAAAAAAAAAACAATCCAAATAATTTGAAAATCCATCACTATCGTGGGTAACTAGCCATTTCCGATTTTTTCAGTATTGTTTTTATATTAATTTCATTATTGTTTTAGCGTTGTTCTTAGTGCGAATGAGTATTGAATAATTATGCGATACAAATCGAAATACGTTGCGCCTGCAGGCGATCTAATTATAATAGGTATTAACGTAGACGCTGTTTTTCACATTTTCTACTTTCGTAAATTTCGAAAAAATATTATTCCGCGGTATTACGCGCAGCGACGCGAGCCAATTGAACGGTACATAATTTTTTTCTCGGTAGCCGATTTAAATTGCAGGTCGGTCGACCGGGGAATCGGCCCGAAATCGGCAGCCGATTGGACGGGTCGCCGAATTTTCGAGACCGGACTTTGCGGTACCCCGCGGTAACAACAATGTTACGAGCGCGCGGTAACCGCGGAACGGACCGGTCTCGACGCTCCCGCGGGGGAAACCGTACGAAAACCGCGCGCGTCCGAGTCTCCCGTCCCGCCGTACAGTTTTGCGCTTATACGCCTGCGACAACAATGGCACGGCGGCGTCACGACCGCGAGCACGGGGCCCGTTACGAATTACGACAACAGCTGAAAAATATTATAATATTATTATTTGTTTTTCCGTCGTCGTCGTCTTCGTGCCCGAGAGTGCGCTAGAAAAACGACAACAACGACGAGCAGCCGCGTGCCTATAATATTACGTAGCCCGCGCGCGTGCACGTATGCAGGGGAAGGGGGAGGGGAGAGGGTTCGCGCCGCGTCTGTGGTCATCTCGAACGCCGGAACGCGTGCAGTCAGTCCGAACTCGGTGGACCGATCGGTCGCGTCGTCGTTGTTCGTCGTTCTCTCCGTCGTTGTCGCCGCTCCCGTCGCCGTCGTCACGCGTTATCGAATAAAAATTAATAACAATACTATCGTTATTATTAGCGTGTTACGAGTGTCCAATCGCGCCCGTTTCGCGCGCGAACGTGTTCGCACTCCCCCGGCCGTCGATGCGGCGGTCCGCGTCGCGGTGCTGAATCGCGCGGCGTACCAACTCCCCCCTCCCCCGAGTAGCCGCCGGGGGCCACCGTCATGGACCGCAACGCGCGGCCGCCGGCCACCACGGTCAGCACCATAGCGGTCCGGAGCGGCGCCACCAGGATCGTCATAGCCCTGTTACAGGTACGCCCCTGACCACACACTCGCCGGTCGCCGCGGTTAATGTTATTTTCTTGTCGCACCCTGACCCACTCCCACTCGCCTCCGCTCCGAGTTTTATCGGTCGGACCGATCGCCGAGTGCCCCTCGGGTCGCGTCAGCGACAGCACCGCCCCGCCAAAAGAGCAAAAAAAGAAAAACAGAAGAGACATACCGCGGCGGTCGCCTGTTGTGCAATCATAATATCACCGCGTAACCGTTGTTCGGACACGAGCAACCGGTCGTCGCGGGTATCAACGGCGCGTCCGCGTGTGCCGTAGTTTTGGGGGCGCGGGGATGGTGGATCGACACGATTTCCGTACGAGACCGTACCGACCAGAGCCCGCCGCCGACGTTACAGAATCTCCCCGCGCGTGTCTCTCGGCGGCCGTGGCGGTGGGTGGTGCGAACCCCCGAACATCCCCATCCCCACCTCCCACCCCACACTACTCCCGGTGAATACGCGGCCGACGAGCGTTGTGTACGGCAACGCAGACGCGTCGATGTATTGTCGGCGAATTCGTCGTTTCGTCGACGGTTTACGGCCGTCCGTAATGTTGGCGAACCGCGGCCGGGCGCGATTAATTAATACGGATAAATACGGCGTTTCAACGCGTCTAGGCGCGTCGCCGTGGCCGCGTTTATCTCGGGTTGGCCGTTTTCGTTTTCCTTCTCTCGTTGCCGACGCCGGCGAATAATACGAATTTATCGCAACGGTACTGTTCGCGCGCCGTCGCATATCTGTTTTCTTTCCGTTGTTATCAACGCCGGTAATATACTCGCGGTATTTGATTTTTTTTTTTTTTTCCATAGTCCGCAGCGGTCGGCTGTTGCGCGTGCCCGGCGCGGGAATATTTTTTTAATCGCAGAGCGGACATTTTTTTGTTTTTTTTTGTTATTCCGAAGAATTTTTACGCGACATAGAGTATTATTTCGCTAGAGAATACGCCGCGGTCGAATAACAAATCCATGTCCGTCGACTCGTGCCCCGCGCTCAGAGACGGCGATTTCGGGAACGATAAGGGGGTGCATCAGTTACGATTACGAATAAACAATTTTTCGTTATACATCTTGATTTCGTGTCTTTTTTTAAGCTGCAAAAAGATGATCGGTGAACATTCGAATTTTGTCTTCAGGAATCGGACCGTTCGCGGCTTAAAATTATCTTGAAATAATTCGAAAACTGAGTCAATTATCTGCGATTTATATTTGATTTGTGAAGATCGAACTTTCAATGAATGATGAAATTCTCCCCTTTGGCTTTGATAATGTTCATCTTGTTTCCACGAAGTTTCGATTTTATTCGTTTTTTCGAAAACATCCGTGAAGCAACCAATATTTTTATTCGATATCGTTTCGCGTTTGAAAGCTCACCACTACAGCTCACACGAATTGCCCCTCCCTCCGGAAGGACCGAAATGGGGGGGGGGGGGTGGTACCGAGTCGTCTGCCCGGGGTACCGGCCGACCGCGGAAAATATCCGAGGATCCGGAACCTCTCGTGCGCGTATACGTGTAAAAATAGGTCCGCGCGACTCCACGGCCCGCGAAATCCTCTATAGGACGTGGGATTCCCCGTATACGCCTTTTTTTTTTTCTTCTTTTTTTTCGTCGTCCAGCCGGCGTACCCGTTCTTACCCGGACGGTTTTCTCCGCGGCATTCCGTCCGCATCAACGCGCAGTAATTATGTGGCGTCAAAGGGGTTTTGCGGGTACTGGGCCGCGCGCGTTACGTTACGGGCATTGTCTCCGTCACGTGGCCGCGTCCGACGAATTTCTCGAGGAATGCTGCCCCGGCTCGACGATTCCTATTTTGGGCATGGCGGAAATGAAAGTCAATGAAATATCATTAGTATCGCCGTGCTGCCGGTCGGTCGGTCGGTCGGTCATTGCGGATGGAAACGGCGGCGGCGGCGGCGGCGACGACGGTATAGTGACGGACGGCTAGCCGGCAACAATAATACCGCGGTGTTCTTTCGAGTTCCGAGAAAAAAAAAAAAAAAAAATGCGATTTCATAATAAAATTTTTATTTTCGAAATGTGTCCCGTTTAGTGTTATTATTAGTTTCGGTCGAAACGAAAACGCAAAAAAGATACGGGCGTACTTCGCACGGTGGGAATACGGTAGGGGGGAAATTTAATTTATATATGTGCGAAACGGTAGTAGCCATTGCTAACGAATAAACGATTCTGACCGGAGTTCGGTTCATAGCGTTGCTTTGTCAACAATATTTGATGTGTCATATTATGGTAAAATAATTGCATATTATGCGTTATAAATTTTCTTGAATAATATTTGTTCAATATAATTGTACCTATTCTCTCGTTTTTCCTATGTCTTTTGCCGGGTTTCGCCATTTATTATGAACACAGCTGGGAAAATCAAAAAATTGTCTTTCTAAAGCATCACCCCAGTTAGATTTCCTTTCGGAAAAAGTGCTATAATTAAAAATCGGAGCGAAATCGATGGTAGAAAAGTTGTCCGCAGAAAAAAAATTTAACATCATTGTAATACCAATATATTCTTCGCTCTGCTCAGAGTCTAAAAAAAGAAATTGTTCGATTTTCGTTTTCACCGAATGTATTTCTTCGTAAACTATATGCAGTTTCAGGACCGATTTAGAGTTATCCGCAGGTGACCACGATGAGGCGATTGATTTTTTTTTCTTCTGTAATTCGGTATATTTCGTTTCATTTTCGCGGTGCCGTAGATATTCAGTACACATTAATATTGTCAGTCTGTGAAGTCTTGTAACACTTCTATATCAAATGGGCACTATCCCGAGTTCCGACATGACGGTTATACACTTACCAATGTGCTATAATAGTTATAATTATAGCCGTTCTCAAACAATATAATAGTATAGGTATAGAAATAGATTCGGCGGAAACTTTTTTTCATTTTGGCGAAGAAACTATGCGTAGCTGTGCTCGCTTAGTATTTCATTCGTCGTTTATCACCTATTAACTGAATTACCCTGATATTCCCGGACTTTCAGAAAAAAAAAAATAAATAAGTAAAATAAATAAATCAAATTTAACGTATGTCCCCGTTTTCGCCCGTATCCCCTATACGTGTCTGTGATAACGAAATTAAATAATAATAAATGGTGTTTTTTTATCCGTGTCACTATCAAGGTAATCCAAAAATCAATCATAAAAAAAAAAATTATCGATTTGTTCACTTTAAAATATTAAAAAGTGTGTTTCACAATTCCGAGATAAAACTGTTTTTTGAATGTCCGTTTAGCGAAGATTTGTATAGCGCACGGGCATATACAGACACGTGGAATTTTCGTTTTCTACGTAAGACCGTTTTACGGTTAAAACGATTTTCCTACATCGATCCATTATAATTATGTTATATTATTATAATGACCCACTGGGTATAGTTATATTTGTTCGGATGATGCATTTATCGCGTGTAACTCGAGTGTAGTGTTCCTAGCGTGAGATTGAATTTTGCATGCCGCCCATATAATTTGTTGGCATGAGATGTTCCGTATTTTTAGAATACGGAATATATCCAGAGGCAAACAGCAGGAGTTCGTTTGCCATTGCCCGGTCGTTTCCACTGCGAATAATAAACGCGATAAAAAAAAATAAAAAAATAAATTTATATTATACATATAAATAGAAGAAATCAACATCGCGCTATCATGCACTGCGCCGCGCGGTACATCTATGGGCTATCTCGAAAATAAATAACCCTTCTGCGAGTGGATATTTTCGGATTTTATACTGAAAAAACGCGGTCGTATTCGTACTAGTAGCCATAATATAATATTTCGTCGGTTTTTCGATATTTTCCGCGCGATTATCGAATTTGCTCACCACCGCCTTGGCGGTAAATCTCGAAAATTCAAAATTTGTAACTACATTAAATCCTGGTCCACACACGACGATATAGTTGTTGCCACGCGATAATCAGCGCATTTTTGATCACTCTCACTGCCATTAAAAAAAAAATTATTTTCTATAATGAACATGCAGTGTAAACAAAACTTACTCTACTGTGATTTCCATTACTTGATCTACTATCTATAGCCGTCGGACAAATTATTGTTTTCAGTCATTGTGTATAATAGTGACACACTAATATATCGCTGTGTCGTTGAATAATATTCGAAATCGCAATTCGCTTATACTGAAAACTGTACGAAATCGACTATTTCCACAGGACTGAAGACATTTTTCCAATCGGTAACCGCACGCATTAATAATTTTTCGTTTTTTTTTTCCAAAACAAATTTGAAACTTACAATACGGTCGATGTATAAGAATAACTTTACAAACCGGTAAAAAATACACAAGATATATTATTACTACGATGTGTGTGTGTGTGTGTGTGTGTGTGCATACAAGCTGAAATAGGTACTGCAAATGAAAAAAAAAAAAAATAAAAATACACTTTGTACGGTAGAATTTATACAACTGTCATATTACCATTCGCATGTAATATATAATAAACCGTATACACTGTCGCGCGGGAGACATGACACACATATTATCGTCACTGTGACCCGGGAAATTTAAAAAAAAAAAAAAAAGAAATAAATAAATAAATAAAAAATTACATATATATATTTAAGTAATATATTATTATGTCTATCGCGTAATACACCGAGAGTGTGAAATTAATTTGAACTTGACATTTTCATACTCGTATACACTTGCAATTTACATCTGTAATACAACATTTGTACGGTATTATACACTTTGTAATAACTAATTATTAATATTTTTCGCGGGAATTTAAATTTTACAACGTTACAGTTGATTAAAACACTAAATACTGCGGTAAAAATAAAAATGTTATTGAAATTACACGTCATTTAACATATTGCAGTGGGCTTTCCCTATATACTTTCTTGGGTAAGTTATTTTACGAATTTAAAACGTTTTGTTTTTATTTCTTACAAAGAATGCACAATATCGGAAAAAAAACCAATGAATACTAAAACGTTGTTTCTTCCCTCAGGAAACATTTTTTTGTTTAGCGAAAACACCCCGAATATTGTATCTCTACTTTAAAAGATGCGGATTGTTTGGCTACAGATATACTTTAAATTTTTTTTTTTAAAAATTCCTGACAGTTTCTAAAAAAATTGGGGAAAAAAAAACAAACAACAAAATTAATAAACTTAGTATTTATTTTTGTCGATTTCTGGGTTATATTGACCGTTACGATACGGGAGCAAATACATTTTGATACTTTACCAGTTTACCGAGCTCCATTAAAAATTCTATGCTTCGATCGCGATGATTTCAGTACAATAATGTAACGTAATTAACTTATAAACCAACCTAACCTGTATAAAACGGAAACTACTTCGACCAACTCGACTGCAGTATATAATATGACCGCAATAACTTTCAAAATTTCCACCAACAACGGCGGCCTACCCATGAAGTATATTTAGTATTTACGTTTAACGGTCGGTTTTAGATTTTGAGTTTAACGAAGAATGTATTGGTTTTACAAAGATGTTCATTTTTTTGTTTATTTTTTTTTTATGTGAACACTTTTTCTACCAGAAAGCTTACTCCGATTATCAAGTATAGGACTTTTTCTGAAAGAAAATGTTTTCTGAATGGTACTTTAATATTCGAGATAACGAGGAAAACCAGCTTCTTAAGGTTTAAAAATATTGAATAAGGTTTTTATCTATTTTTTGTTATTATTAAGTTTAAATTATTTTAATATTTTTTTAAACAATTATTGTTGTCATGGAAATGCACATTATTGTAATAATTTTACCATAATATTACATATATATATTGTTGACAAAGCAACACTATCAACTGAACTCCGCTCAGAATCGTTTTATCGTTAGCAATGGTTTATCGTTGCTTACAAATATACATTCAATTCCCGTCTGCGTCCTACCCTCCCAATTACCCACTTACAACAGTGGCTGCACCCACGTGAGAAGTATGTCCGTCATTTTTTTTTTTGTTTCTCCTACAATTCAGTATACCCAACTACGTAATATATTATGACGTTATCGAATGTATCGATTTTGGAACGCGTCCGACATCCGAATTATTATTATTATTAGCTACCTATACGTTTCAATTTATCGGAAATAATAGGTCGTATTCTATTATTATTATTTTAAAATTTTCTAAACACGTTCCGTGAACCCGCGGTTAAACCTACGCATTTTGAACGGGAAACAGAAAAAAAAAAAAAAACAATAGACTATTACGGGTAACACGAATAATATAAATTCTCCGATTGTGTATACGCGCTGTGGGTATACCGTAATAATATTGTTATTATATTGTAAATGACGTGTGTCGCGTATATCCGATTTTTGATAATATTTCTCGAGGCCGCGTACACCTGATTGGTATACGGCGTACATTACTCGACGAATTTTTTATTATTTTTTTTTTTTTTTCTAAATATCGTCGTTATACTATTACCCGCAATGCTCGCGATGAAACAACAAGTATTATGCCCGTGTTTTACGTTGATACGCCCCATAATACAACATCACTTAGCGTGCGTATTATGCATGTTGCCGTACGGATGCGCGTTACCCGTGTATTTTAATACAATCGTACGAAAAGACGTCGTCGACTCATCGTGGACGGGAACCCGTAAAGTAAACCCGGAATCTTAAAACCTGTACTGTAGAAATCCGGAGAGTATAAATCTGGACTGTTAAAATTTGGACCGCGGAAACCTAGAATTTAAAATTACAAAACCTGAACGGTGCAAATCCGGACAGTATACAATTGGACGGTACAAATCTGGAAAGAACATATCCGTTTTCCGAGCCGAGAAATTCGGGAAATTCCGGGCAAAAGTATTTGAAATTCGACTTATCCGACACATAAATAGGTATGTCGAGTGTTGAATCGTTAAAAAAAAAAGCACTAATGTGTACCCACGAGTATGATGACGTTATAATATTTCCGAGTCGGCGAAAAAAAGTTTTTTGTGGATATATCGGTAAAAATTACGTAAAATTTACGACACCTCAAAAAAAAAAATAAAAAATAAAAAACATTGACACAGACATACAACTATATCTAGGTATTATAATATTATATTCGTTTTGACTTTAAAATATATTTTTTTCATAATATTTATTACGTTCTATGTGGGCATCTAATAACCGCAATGTGTAGAAAAAAAAAAAATCATGAATATTTTTTGTTTTTTATTTCCAATTATAGCCGTACGTCCGTCGTAACGGTTTTTAACCGAGATGTTTAATAAAACGGCTATAGCGCGAAAATCCGAATGTTGTAAATCTATACGCGGCGAACGCTTTTATTTTTTTTTTTACGTAAGGATTTTGAACGAATATGATATTTTTTCGACCAAAGTTCTTTTTCACCAATCACATTGAAAAAATCGTAATTGCACGTAGAAAAAACTGCGCACTCGCAGACATATTAACGACACACTGAACGATTAAAGATCGACTGGCGATAATTTCTCACACGCAAATCGCATCGCTCGTTTGATAAAAGTTGACCACAACGGCCGCCACTATACAGTATATTGCGCTCTTAATGTGCATTTACAATTCGGAAAATTGTGTGTACTGTTGTGACAAAGAGTTGCGTTGCAGTCGTAATCGTTATAAATAATGAATTATAAATGTGCGCCGGGTATAAATTTTATTCAAATTTTTTTCGGTTGAGATGATGTCATAATATAATATCTCCGCATTATGCGTGTTGCAGTATTGTCCGCTTAACTAACGTACGGCATTGCCAAAATTACGTTACTCGGGTCTTAAACTGTAGCGTTTAAATTGAAATTGGAGTTTAATCATAAACAACACAATTTTAAGAATTTAAGTTATTTAAAAAAAAAATTAAAAAATTTTAAACTCTTATGTCAGACATTTTTTTTTTTTTAAACTACATACAATACATTTTGGAAAGTATAATATTATGTATAATTTGTTGTATAAGATAAGTTTATTTTATTTTTTAGAAAATAATTTACAATAACACAAAGACAAAAAACAATCAACATTAATAAAACTATTGTTATACTTATAAATATATATAATATATATATTATATACCTACTGGCGTTTTCGTCCGGCGATGTCCTGGCCGATTTTTTTGTTGTTTATTCTATCCGTATCACCAAGGTAACCAACGAATAAACAAAAATAAATAAATAAACAATTATAGATATTCGTATCAAAAATAAGGGGTGAGTTTTCAAAACTCCTTTCTTACCGGATGCCCAAGTCATAATTACTTTGTGTATGCTAAATTTCGGCCCGAACCTTCCAGTGGTTTGGGCTGTGCGGAGATGAACCAGTCGGGACATGTCATTTTAAACCTTATGTTTACCTATGTATTGAAACGAATTAAATTTTTTAAATAATAATAATTCGAATCTACAGGGGTTTCGAAAAAAAAAGAAAACAATATCGAATTTATTAAAATAATAATCACCGTTATTATTTTTTCAATTATAAAATTAGTATGCAAGACGCAAATGACGGGTAAATTATAAATTTTCGTCTTTAAATCATAATGAATTGAAATTGATAATCGCTGTAAGTAGGTGTGTAGGTACATCGCGCGTTATGTACGCGTCACTGCATTATGTACGAGTACATACTTACATCACGAGCAAAAAAAAAAATATTTGTTTACACATGTAATATTAGTTTATCGTTATTTTTATTTGCGTTTATTTAATATTTTCGTGCACATAAAGTATATTATCGAAACTATTATACAACTGCAATCATTTGCGATAGGTGCAGGTTCAGGTACGTTTAATGTGTAAATTTAAAATTAAAAAAAAAAAAATAACTTAAACAGGTAACGAAATACACTTATATCAATTGAAAACAGTTTTGTATTGAACGTTGTTAAAAAAAAAAATTGTTAAATATCGTACTGCGTGTGAAACATAATACGAATAAAATACCATACTTTTATACCCATACCTAATATAGACTTATATTTTCATTTGAAATGTATAAGCATAAAAAAAAAAAAAAATTTAATTTTGTCAAGAAAAAAAAACCATTAATGCGGTCTTTTACCGTACACTACGGTTCTATTTATTTCATATCCATACAAATATTATAATTATTGCGAAAGTAATTCTGTTTGTCTGTTACTATTTCACGCCTAATCCTCTGAACCCAATGGAATTCAACAAGGTTTACAACATGGTTTTCAACAAGGAGATGAATCGCATCCTGAGGCTATTTTTTTTATCTAAAAATAAAAAAAAAAACCTAAAGGAGGTATAAATGAAATTCGTTTAGTTTAGTTATTATATGTTATCTAGATAAATAATTTTTATCTCATCTTGACAGTTTTATAGTTATCTTTGTACAAAACTATTGATTACCATAATAATATCGTTTTCATTTTTTTTAGATTTTGAGAATAAATTTTTTTCCCGGAAGTAGGTACTTTATTTGCAATTCACAACCTCCTAGATCTTTTTTTCTCAAAAATCACTCTCTCGTTTAGTAAAATTTCTCTATTTTTTTTTTCACTTCAGTACTATAAAAGGATGGGGAAATTGTTCGGTGGTACGTTATTATAAAATATTTTCTAGATTCCTCACTTGATAACAAATTATGATATATTAGTTATATTTTTGTTGATTTTTGGGTTATCATAGGTATTATATAAAAGGGTACAAAACCTGACTAATACTATAATACAATCTTATTTAACTGTTACTATTTACTTAACTAACCGTACTCGTATTTTTCATTGCGATGATTTATCGTTGCTTTTGGACGTTTCGTTATAATATTATGTAAAATAAATCGCCCGATATATATCCAATACGTTACAAACTTTTTGCCTATACAATAATATAATAGTAGCCTATCCATTGTGTTTCGCATAAACAAATGTTTGATTTTGATTATTCGTATGTATGTTTTAGTCCGCACGAGCGCGTAACAAATTACATCCGATTTGTTTTGAACTGTATTTTTTATTATTTTTTTTTTTTTTTATTGTAAACTGTCTATTTACACGGCCAATGAATCATGTTATCATATTGTAAACAAATAATGTATATTATGACGAACCCAACAATATCCGTACCCAATTTGAAATGTAGAACATAGAGTTTATTAGTGTATTATATACCTATATACTTAAATTTATTGGCTTGCTGCCAGTATCGGCCTGTCCGTGGCCGGGGCCTCCAGTCGTGTTTGTGTCTGGGGCACTCTACAGGCCGCACGATTTATATAAATATCGTCATTTAACTGTACCGATTGTCTTTTGCACGTGCCAGGCCATTTAGTGGCGGTGGCCAGACCCGCACCCCATGCCGCAGTGTTCTATAATAATAAATAAAATAAATAGCCCAGTCTCTTGTTTCCGACAGATCGCTGACGCCGATTCAGAGAAAATCACTTATATTGTACAAATATCCAATAATATTGTGAAAGTAAACCATTGAATGGTATATTATAATTTTATTTATTTTTTTTTGCAAATATAAAGAGAAAAAAACCGATATAATATTGTCCGTATGGAAATCGACGGTAAAAAAAAAAAAAAATAATAATAATAAAATATTCGACTGGACGTCTCTAAAGACCACGTATAGATAGGTATTGAGTGTTTAATAAAAAAAAAAAAAAAAAAAAAAAAAAAAAAACACAAAACCGGTTGAAACGGTATCTGTACAAAACAATCGTCTGCGCGCGAAGACGACGATAACGGCGAGACGTCCCGGCTAGGAAATTGGCCAATCGTTCAAGTGTATCGAACGGGGTATAATATAATAACAATAATGATAATATTATAACAACCCATTAATATAATATTATTTTCATTTACACCATAATATTGCAATGAAATAATACGATACGCTTTATGCTATTTTACACGCGAGAATAGATACAAGTGTATTGGATTTCGCGTTTGCCGCAGTATCATAAAAATATTACATCGACGATCGGATTAAAATCACTATTGTTAATTCGATATAATATAGAGGGGGGAGGAGAGGGTGTAATTTTATTTGACACAAACGTGATAGTTGCATTTCTTGGGAGTCGCGGTCACACGACGAGATGGTTAAACGTGATGGCAGTGATGACAACCGCGTTGTTTATATTACGAATTCGCGATTACGGAAAACGAACGATGCCGAATCCCTTGATCATCAAATTTTTAATCAATTCAAATTGTGCTTGCGCTATGTTTATTAGAATTTAATGGCTAAATAGTTTTTTTTTTAACAACAACACTAAGATAATAATGCTATTAATATCGAGTGTGCTATCACGGTGTTTACACGCCATAACGCTGGTGACACAGGGTAATATACACTGATACTCGAATTTGTTTAATATAAATCGGCGTCACTTTAATCTTATATACGAATACGAAAAAAATACAATTTCATTGTCTACATTTGAATTAGTTTGTTTATTTACATATAGTTGGTTTCGATATATTTTTTTTTTACTCAAATCACAATGATTTCGTTTTGCGTGATTATGATTTTGTTTTAGTTTCGGAAGCTTACACTTTCGAAAATAACCCATTGTATATAAATCGCCACATTAACCTTAATACCTACGTAATACGCTACGTGTTGATATTATAGCGAAAAGAAATAAAATCTAAAAAAAATCACGTGGGCCACATCGGATTATACCGATAGACCGTTTGGTTGTATTTTTTATTTTTTTCATCCTAATGATAATCAAATCCCAAATTCACCATTAAGGAAGCACGCAAACGAAAAAAATACCTTCGTACCTAAACCTACTGCCAGTCCAAAACGACCGGCCTCGGTTATTGTCACGACTAATGCTATTTTTTATCGCGTCCGGTTTGTACTGTTATAATTGTACGCGAAAATTACCGCAATATTTCATCAATTTGATAATATTTTGTAATACGTATGCGCGCGTGATTATAGATATTATTCGCGATATTGTAAACGAGGTATGAAAAAAAAATCCGAATAGTTCTACGAATTGTAAATTATTAAAAAATGTCTTACACGTTTTCGATTATTCGAAGCGAAGAATGCGTACGACGTATACATAGATATGATGTGTGCGTGTTTTTTTCCAAATAGGTAATTTCCGATATTCCTTATCATATAAGCGCCAACCGGCACACTCGGTAGAAAGACACGAGGGAGCAAAAAAACATTATAATTGTCTATGTACAATTTTGCAGAAATCATTTGTAAAATTCTGTATAGTCTCCATATTGTGGTTTAAAAGTAGTCAAAAAGGTTGGGAACCTCAGGTTTACACGTAAGTATAGTAGTGTAGTTGTAGTATTTATATTTGGTTATCTAATTTAATATTTTTCTGCAAAAACGTAAAAAACGACGAAAGTGCAAAACGATACTGACGAATCGTCATGTTCCCTTCTCCCTAAATACCGGCATTGTTCGTTATCATAGTTAAAATGGGAAAAACCGAAGAAAAACCGTCGGGAAATCGGAGAAAATTTGTCGATTTCAGTCGTTTAATCGATTTGGTTTTTTATTTGTAATCCAAGAGGATAAAATCGTAGAGACATGCAATTTTCACCAAAATGTTACCTTACATTTTTTTTCGGTTCACGTGGATAAAAAAACTATTTCCAAACGATTTTCGGAAATTGTATGTTATTATAGAATTTAAATACATATAACACACGACTGTACAGTTGAACGCCCGCGCTTTTGCTTAAGGCTGTCGGAGCAGGCCAATATTTAGTACGAACACATGCCTCGCAGGTAACTAAACTCTCACGCCTCGTAGAATAGTTAGATTTCGATGTTTTTTATTTATTTGAAAAAGGAAGAATTTTATAGTTTACGTCGAACCCCGATTTTTAACATTAACATTCCTAAAAGCAGTATTTTCGTCCGTAAAAACGGCTGTACCCTTACCCTGTGCTATTAATTGGATATACCGAGCAATACATGTAAATAAAAGTCTCGCCTTTGAGACGGCCGTTAAAACGTTAAAAATAATCGGCAGATTTTAGAAAAATCTGAGACAATTCGGTTAACCGGCTCCGGGACAGCCGGTTTCGCCGACTTCGAATACCGCGTGCATTGTGCATAGTATCCTATATCCTATACGCGATCGTGAACTGTGGCGTATATTAACACAGCAGCTGCTGGCAATTATTACGGGCGGAAAAAAAAAAAAAAAGGAATTGTATTTCCAAAAACCGGCAGGAAATGTATAACTGGTACAACTATCGTGGGATGACCAATTCGAGCGCCGCGAGACAACGCGGAGTCACGTAATATTTTTTTTTATTATTTTTTTTTTTGTTTGTTTCGCGGAGACATTATTAATTCACCAAACATCGACACCGGATGCTTCGTTACACGCCGCGTGTCGATCCGAGAGACTTCTATTCGCAATAACGTTGTACAGACAACTTCTTCTCGGACCGTAAGTAAATATCATACACGTCACGGGCACTGCGGTTCTCTATGATTCTCGTTGGTACGTCGAAGAAGGATTTTTTTTTTTTTATTCACTGTCCGCAAGAATAGTTCTAATTTATCACAAACGGGGAAGATGCAAAATGATTATTGTTATTATTATTATAATTTTTTTTTAACGAAACTATTCACGCTTTACACTACGCGCGTCTATATGTTATTATAATATTGTTGTTACAACGCGCGCGATGAAAACTGCATATGGAAATATTATTGGGTATACGTTTAATATATACACACGTACTAATAACGAGCGAAGTGTCATTTCGTCGTATACAGCTGTAACATTCGTGTATATATATATATACTTTTGCGGGACGGGAAAAGATTTTGTAGTTCGTTAATATTACACACATACAGGGTGTCCCACGATGATCTGACATTTGATTTTTGTTCTATATTCAATATTTTTAATGTACTTTTTTTTTTTTTTTTTTTTAATAATTAGTACGCCTCTGCGCTATACAGTTAATATATTTAGACCGTACCCATAAACGAATGTTTCAACCGCCAACAATTTTCTGAAATGTCTATTTTACAAAACGGCTATTTTGAATTTGTTTTTTTGAAAAAATTATAGTAAAAATGAAAATGCCTTTCATTTTATGCCCCGCCGCCTAAGCAATTCGTTTTAAATACATTAACTGTAGCGCAGAGGCCGATTACCGAATATTTAAAAAAAAATAAAAAAAAATATAGAACATATAGTTATTTCAAATGTCTGCAGATCATCGCGGGACATCCTGTGTATATGTATACAGCCGCATTATTATATATTGAGGTTATATTCACTATTCGTATGTATATAGGTACCTATACTTAAATCTGTATCGTATACGCGTTTATAGATATTGTATACATAATGCATGCGCGAACGCGCGGTTATTATACTCTTGTCTATTTGAACGCGACATTTAAATAAACAATACAAAAATAAAATATCGTACCCGAGTGTGATTGAAACGCAGTTTTTTTTTCTAGTGTTTTCCACTATACTTTGTATAATTTTTCTGAAGTTATAATTTGTTTTGTTTTGTTTTTTTTTTAAGTAATATAATCGTATTAATTAGGTATTCGAATCGTCTAATTGAACACTATGCAGGCGCGCAACAATTAGGGTGATTTCGACTTTTGTCGAAGATATATTTTTCGACGGTATATTATAACAGTATATTAGTTTAAAGAAAACGATTCTCCGTTATTGTTCGGTTGGGTTGCGAAAATCAGTTTAACCGATGCAATACAAAAATAATATACTTGTAGTATATCAGACAATTCGCTTCTAAAGAAATTTCGGCGCACCGATCAGATAAATCGGCGAAATAAAAATGTTTTGTTTTTTTGTTATTGCTCCTGTAACGATTTTAGAAAAATAGAGTTGTACGAGTTTGTATGTAATTATTACTCCGAGATTTTCAATTACCATCTGGTGTGTTTGAAATTATTATTTATCAAAGTCTCTATACACATTATTATTAGTTATTTATATTAGTAATAATACCCATAGAACGAAATCTAATACATATTATTAAAAATTATTTTCGTCGTACGGATTTTTCGATATATCTGTCTAATAACAAATTAAATTAAAGGTGTTCATTGAGCTCTAAAATAATGTATGAAAAAAAAATATAGTAATAAAACACGATCAAATTACTTATTATTAGTTGCTGTATAATATATTATAATAAAAGTGGGAAAAAAAGAAAAATACTAATACATTATTCGTATACATTCGGAACAGGATGCATGAATAAAAAAAAATGTGGGAGTTCGTTACGATTGTCGTAGGACGCCGAAATAGATCACTATAGTATTAAATGTGTGTACGTTTGTGTGTGTGTGTGTGTGTGTGTGTGTGAGAATGTGATCTCGATAAATGAGACCATTACAGACTTACAGTATAACATAAACAACAAACGTAATATTACATTATACAAAAATAGTAAAATGATAAACGTCGGGTCGTACAAGTGTATAGAGCGTACCGATTGCAAATCTCGAGTAAATCGAATTATTGTCCTGACCCAACTGTATAATATTATACGGTTTGTCATAAAATATTGTCTACACTTTGCATACTGTCTAACATTATCGAACGTTTGTTTCGCTATAGGAACCTATTATAGATTCGTACCAAAACGGTTCGAACATTTTTGCGAATTCGGTGAGTTTTATTATGTACGTATAATGAAATCGTCGGAATCGAGGGGCGGGGTATATTTTAATAATACTTTGATTTTTACGATATCTAAGACATTAAAAAAAAAAAGACGATTGAGGGGGGAACCCCCATAAATCCGCGCCGCGTATATACCCTGTATTTTAATATGGAAACAACGAATTTTAGAAAGTGAAAACTGACGATAAATACGAGTATATATATATATATATACAATAATAATTTAAATCTATTATGCAAAACGTGTAGGTCTAATGCGTGTATAAATAATATAATATTATAATAGTCTCGTATACGATTTTGCCGTTATTTTTTAAACCGTCGTGTATATATATAAAAAAAAAAAAAGATACAAATAATAATAATACTCGCAGGTATGTAGAGTGTAGCCGTAGCCGTAGAGCACGAACATATGGTCGATTGTGTTGTTCTTTCGTTAATCTTTCAGACACAAAATATTATTATATTCTGAAAAAAACGTTCGTTATTAAAACGTTTTCAGGGGGGGGGGTTCAAATTACACGTTGCACTTGTGGGCTTAAAGCTTTCCAATACCCGAGCGTATCCTTAAGCGGAAATTCTATATAATTAAAACTAGGTCCAGGTTTTTTTGTTTTTTTTTTTTTTGTTTTTTTATTGTTCGCGTTTTAATATAATATTATGTAAAAGATGGCACGGTATGTTATACAGTGTATACATCATGTACAATACGGGGAATAATATACCGTATAATGCAGTACACCACCTATATTATAGTACCTATAAACCGCGCGGAGCAGCGCCCAAGATCATTGGCACATCGAACGCGTGTTCGTTGAATATATTAAAACCGAGAGATATTCCTCGGCCCGTATATGCCCCGTTAAATTTGTAATTTAAAACGTTTTTTTTTTTTCCTATGTTTTTTTTTTTTTTTTATCTCACCGCGTAAGCGTTCGGGTGTACGCGCGCTGTAATTTACTATCCGCACGACGATCGAAACGAGTAAAATATTATTCGTACAGTTATTATTATAACGTTCGAGTTACAGCGGCCGACAATAAACGACGTTTGTTCCGCGAACGTTATTAGACATTTATATTGTTATTACACTCGCGCGTCTTGTCCTCGACACTATCGCGTTATAACGCTGATGATAAATCGCATAAATTTTCGATTAATTTACATAAAATTACGACGGTACTAAATGTTATAATGTATTATGCAGTTTATGAAAAAAATAAAAAAAAATATATATATATATGTATAATAATATTAAATTAATGGGGGTACCTACTGCAGCTAAAGAAAAACTAATTACTCGGAGTAAACGATAAAATAATTAAGTTTTTTTATTTTCTTCGCGATCGAGTGAAAAAAGATTTAACATAAAACCAAGCACCCGTCTCTATAATGTACGCGTGTAACGTACGAAAATTTCGCCAAGACACTGTATAATGTAAACGATTTCCCAGTTGACGGAATGCGGGTTCGGGTACTCGTTTTCAAAACGAAATACTACTATGTTTGTTTTACGATTACGATATTATGTTACACGGTCAGTGTACGTATATATATACACATATACGTATTATTATAACGCTGTCCGCTATAGTTTTTTTTTAAGTCAAATAATAATAATTATTGTTATTATATAATAGTATCTGCAAGGTGATATAGGGTGATTCGCTTATCACGCGAGTCGACGGTCGTCGTATGCGCACAATGGACAATGGCCGTGCATTTGGTTTTTTTTTCGACCGTTATTACGTACGACCTACCGAGGTTCTGTTACTTTGATACGGTTCTTTCGTGTGTGTAAACAATTTTTCTGTCGGAAATCCGTCTCCAGTCCAAAACTTTACAGGGAATTTGTCATGTTACTGATGCGTTTCGAAGGTCGTTTTTCGATTTCCCTCGTTATTTTCTTAACAAACGGGAAAAACTGGAAATTCGCTGTACGCAGAAATTCTTGTCGAGTTCTGTGATTGTCTCGGCGGCAACAAGACAAAAATACGACTAATATGTTCCGTTCAGAATCGTTGTCCGTTATCAACGGTTCGTTTTTGCGTATACGCAGACATAAACCATTAGAATATATACGTCCTTCTTTCCTGCAACTTCCTTCTCAAAACAGTGGCACATCCATCCAAAATCCAATTTACTCGTCTCTTCGTACAGGCGACCGCTGGTCCGTGATAAAATAATCACTCTGTATATTGGCTGTATGTGTATGATAAGTACCAACAGCCATTCAGAAAGTAATCGGACACGGTTTAGTTTGATTCGTAGGTGCATTATAATAATTTTACAGACATACATTCATTATAATGTTTGACTTACAATGCCCGAACGGTTCGAAGCATAGCTAATGTGTGAGGCATCATTCATAATATTATTATGTATTACCTATTATATTTCGTATTAATTACACTTTCTTTTTAATTGACTTGTGTAATATAATTATTCATACAATGGACAGTGCGCGTTTTAATCAACGGTTCAGAACGTAATTTCGTATTTATTTATTTTTAATAACTTCGATAGTATAAATCAACATAGAGACTTTCAATTAGAATTTCAAATTGTTGACGTACCGAAAATAAAAATGAGCACGTGTGGGAATGTATTTACATATTTCTATGACAATAACAGCGTAATTATTACAGTCGATATACTCGTATGTTAATATTTTTATTTTTTTTTTAAACTTTCAAACTTAACTTATATGGTAAATTGTGTTTGCCGTTAGCCCAAATATATATTAACACGACGGTCGATTTTAGTTTCCGGTGTATAAAATCGATTTTATTTTGGTTTTTATAATCGATTTTACAAACGTTCAGTTACTTTTGATGACAGTTTTACTCTCCGAATTTTGTTTTTTTTTTCGTGCGTTTATTTAATTTAGTTTAATTTACAACAGTTTTGAATATTTTCATTCTCACTCGTCCGCCTTTGTCGGTGTGTACATATGCATAAATGTATCAAATTGTTTTAATCGCATTATTTGCAGTGTCGGCTCACCGGACGAGATAAGTGAGATGCTGCTTCAACTACGATTTTCTCGTTACAATGCGTATAAATATACGCAGGTTATTATAAATGCGATCTTTGAAAATTTCGTTCAATATTCAGTGTTGATCGTGTAAAACTACTAAATAATTTTAAGCTTCATTTCCGAATTCGCAGAACGAACTTTAGACAAATAAGACAATATTAATCGCCAGGCACGTAACCAGGGTAGGGATCCATGGGACCTGGAGCCATCCCTCCGAAATTTAAGTTTTTCAACAAAAAATCAGATTAACGGTACAATTATTATTAGTGTATAGTTGGTGGTCAATTTTGTGTTTGGATCCCGCTCTGAAAAATACAAAAATCCTGGCTACGTGCCTGTTAACCGCCCAGTTTTCTATAATATTGTTTCTGATCGTATACGTATTATTTGTTTTCCCGCGTATATTGTTAACACCTCTCTTCCGATATCTACGGTTTTTTTAAAATATTTGTCCCGTCGCCGCAGTTCACAATAAGCTCGCGAGTCGTCTGCACTGCCGTGCGCGCATATACCCAAACACAACAATACTTTTTTTATACTCGCGCTAACATACATATTATTACGGTCACCGGTCATCGCCGGAAATCCATAATGCGGTCGGTCGGTCGACCGGAGCCGTAAATCAAAAAAACCCAAGACAAGTAGAACAAATTAACGACGGGTTTGCGCGAGTTTACGCGTGTCGGTCTGGTCCATGTTTGGTAAAACTCTCCTCCGCCGCCGGCTGCGACCGCCACGCCACGAGGCGGCGGCGGTGGAGAAGTTTTCTTTAACGGTACTGTTCCGTAGTCGGCACGGCGGCTATACCGACGACGTCGCACGGTGCTCAGATGTTCACGTGACGGCGTGCGAATTGCGCGGTTAGTATCGATTCAAATAATAACAATTGCCGCGATAACGATACGTCATAACTACAGCCGTGTCAAGTGAAATCAGCATCCGGTGCCAGAAAACCGTATCGATGAGCAAAATGAAAATGGCTCAATCGGCCGTCCGTTGGGCGTTCACTCCTCATGCGTTTATTAAAAAACGATTCAGTTACAGAACATTGAAAATTTTCAATGGCGTCCGTGTAGTCATAGCGCCCAGTGCGCGGGGACCTTTCACACAGTGTCAGTTGAAAAGGGGGCGATAGGTGGATAGCTCTCCCCCGGGTCCGTTTTTCATTTATAATAAATAATTGAATGAGTATATTAATAATGGTAATGATTGTAAATTAAATTTTGAAATATTGGGGAAAGGTTATGGGCTCTCCAAACATTATTGCCCTATGATTTTTTTGTTTTTAATTTTTTCCCTTCCCCCCCCCCCCTAAAAGTCAGTTATAACCACCATTGTTCTCGTGCTCCCTAGGCTCGATCCTGCGTTATAATATTATCGTAATTATATTCATACACGATATTTTGAGTAAATTTCAAAAACGAAACTCCTAACGGTTTTCCCGTGTTTTTTGATCATTTTTTTTACTTACCGAGTATATCGAATAGAAGCATAATCAGTTTCATAAAAACGTGTTTTTTATTTTTTTCTCTCGGAGCAAACTTTTACGGTTTGTGTTAAGTGTCTAAGGGTGTTTTTGTATAGTTTTTAGGATATTAGAACCCGAGTCCTATTATACACATAGTACAAACGAATGAAGCGTTTCTCTTATGAAATATAATAACTTTAATTAGGTAAAATCCGATTACTATTCTGCTTGCTCATATGAGTATAATATTATAATATACACAGTTATAACTTATAGTAATAAAATATTTTATAATATATTATGCCGACTACGTATATAATATCGTTAAACACGCGACAATAAAGCGAAAAAAAAATAGTAAGTGCGTCAAAGACGAAAATACGACGCGACGCCGACGGGAGAGAGACAGAGCGAGAGAGAGAGAGAAGGAGAAAAAAAAATGAGAATTTTGTCACGTGTATACCCACCCACACTATAATCGCGTGTTGGTCCGTCGTGCACGCGGAAAGCCGATCCCTTTTTTCAAGGCGTCGGGTTTTCACGATATTTTCGCTAATGGAATCGACACGGTAATGCCGGCGAGGGGTCAGCATTCGCACGGAAATATTATACACGAATAATACGTCTCGTTTGTTTTCGTGTACATAGGTACCTACCAAGTGTATCGCTCGTGTTATTCGGTATTTGTAAGCGCAACACGTGGCCTATTACGAGGCCATCGTCCTCGAACGAAAAACATCCTCGCCCTGTTCTTGTTGTTTTGCATTTATACTATTATCGCGACAATAATTCTGGTTTGCATAAATCGTTTAAATACCTATCGCTCTGCGGTCTCTAGGAACGGTATAGTCGAATAAAAAAAAGGCTCCTTGGAGTGAGTGTTTTGGGACTAACTGGGGGGGAGGGGTAGATTTAAGGTTGTATACTTTCATACTCTTATAACAAAGAAGTTTACCTACTTTAAACTGTAGGATTATTTATTTTTCATTAAAAATGTAAATATTTTATAAAATTCATTTTCAGCCTTTTTGGTACCTATTACTAAATTTTAGATTTAATATTTTTTTAGCGAATACCACCTAAATGATAACGTAATTCATATTATTGTGATAATAATGCGAATCATTCTTAATCTTCCTCGTTGACATTAATCACTATTAAGACTTTATTAAAGATCTACTTTAATCATAACTTTCATGAAATTTCGTGGAGGTTAAACTCCTATCCCCCTTCTCCCCTTTGAACATGCGTCTGCGAGCGGTTAGTGTTTAAATTCTGAGCAGGACGAGAAAACGGTTAGTGTTGCCTGTACCTAATAAGATTCGCCTTTTCCAAAAACACGCTTTTTCGGTTATAGTAAAAACGTTCCTATAAAAATTTCACGTCACGCGTAAGCGTAAAGACACGCGGGTATTCCATCAGGTTTTGCGAAAAACTGATTACAAAAATGACGATTCGGAGGAACATGTCTATATGTGTACATAGTGTGCAGAGATCTGATTTTTTTTTTGGGGGTGGGGGGTCCCATAACACTTTGAAGCCTCGTTTTAAAATGTAAATTTCTAGTTGGCGTGATGGTCTACAGTGTCAAAAGTTGTATACTCATATAATATTATTACAAACGTCTTGTTTACACGTGTGCCAATATAGCGTTTCGTTATTTGTATACGTGAAACACGTGATGACGGATCGTCGCCTCATCGAGGCCATCGTTCAAGTCCCGCAAAGACGCTCTGTCACACTGTGTAATATATTTTATAGGTAAACAATATTACAATATAATCTATTTACACAAATCGTTTAAATATTAATATTCGCTGAAAATAGTTTCTATTATAATATTATAATAAACTCGGCATGGGTGTTACGGAGTAGTCAGCGCGAAGTGAAATTTTATTATAATAATAAATACTTGCGTAATATTATGATAAGTAAATATAACGTAGGCACAGCAAGGTGTTTCTTTCATGTTTGTTTTTTGTTTTGTTATTGTAATGAAAAATATGTTAAAGCTAACATAAAGCTACGACATATCACGTAACAAAATATATCGCTAACATACAATTGGCATTGAAGCATATATTTTAGCGATGAGTAAAAAAAAAAAACAGAACTGATACTGGGTGCGTCACTGTTGTAGGTGGCTAATTGGAAAAGTAAGATAAATAAAGAAATTATTCGATGTATATCTGTATTGTGTAAAAAAAATTATTATATATCGCAATATTTACGATTTTAATGAAAATTTGATTTTTAAACTATAACTATATGGTGAGCCGATATGAATTTTTTCCGTTATCCGATATGGTGATATTTGCAGGAACCGGTCTGCATAACTAATTTAAAATTTTGAAATTATTGAATCGGCCGTCTAAGATCCGTGTAATAGCTGTTTAGGATATATTATATTCGTGATTGCGATGCTGCACTGCTGCAATTATCGGACGCACAATTATTGACTTTATATACTTGCATTCAATTTCGCGCGTAATTGTTATTATAATGCCCGCTTGTACGTCCGAAATGACGGCGTACCTAAAAGAGATATTTTGTCGACCCTAAAAAAAAAAAAAACCAAGTGAAACCAAGTTTCGTCTAAACGCGTATTAGGCGATGTACCGACCATGTGCCACGAGGATCGTGCAACGAGTTGATTTCACTAAACGGTCGTTGGACCAAACGATACACGTCTAATGTAAAAAATGACGCGTTGTCATCCGTAAAAAGTTAATAATTGTAATCACCGCGGCACTGCACACACCGTTTCGAGCGAGCGTGAAACACATTTTTTCATTTCGAAAATTACGTATGTAAAAAGATATTCTACCTAATTCAAACGATAATAATTTATAACTTCCCACCTCCCCCATATCCCCGCAGTATGTATATATAGGTACTTATATACTATTAGATTACTTTTTATGTTTCTGTATACCGAAAAAAGATTTTGTATCCATTATTATATGTGTATTAGTGTATTTACATATAATATCGCTTTGTCAAATTTTACGATTAAAAAAAAAAAAAAAGTCTTTAGATCTGTTTCCAAATTTTCTATGATTTATTACTGTACTCGTATTTTTTATCATAAATAATATATATATTATACGTAATAAAATAGTATCGATAAATTATAACTGAAGTTTGAACGTTGTATAATATTACTGGGAAACTATAAAAAAAAAAGCACTAAAAATTAATTTATTTTTTATTTTTTGCTCTCTCTGTAGTTATACGCTGTATTTGATTTTTACAAGATTTGTATTTTATTCATTGACGGCTTAAACATAATGTTATAATAACAATATAGTTTTTTTAATTACCATTTCTCGTTATAAAAAAACGCTTTTCAAGACATTTGCAGTGACTTTGTGCTCGTTTATAATGTTTTATTGTTTTTTTTCCACTTCTGTGTCACACGCTAAATAGAAAAAAATTAAGCGAATGTCTATAACGTGGGAAATATACAATTGCAATTACATAACAAAATTTAAAATCTCTACGAATATTTTTAATTAAATGACATTAAAAAAGCAAACTTTAAAATAGTTAAAGAATTATTGTTTTCGTAAATGGTCTCGTTTTCTACGTATTTTTCGGTTTTGCTCAATTATTGAAAAAACTACAGAGAAAATAAAAAAACGACTTACTTACTCACCAACAAGATTAAAAATGCAACAAAAACTTTACTATTAGAGAAATAATGGCAAAAACATAACCAGTAAACATTTAAAATAATGAAATCGTTGCGTAGTTTGAAAACAATTTTAGTTTCTGTATTTTTTGGTTTTTCTTAATTGTTATGAAAAATGTATTAGATAAAAAAAAAGTTTTTGCTTTATAAATGGGTATATTTTATTAAAAGAAACAAACCGATTTCTTGTCATTTTTCAGTTGGAGCAAGATTTCTGATAAAAAACATCGTATATACAAATTATTTAAAATAATGCAATTTGTACCACCGCGTTGCGCGGTAAATATTTACCGTCTTACATTATCTTTCGGGTTTTTCCCAATTATTTTGAAAACCCCTTAGAAAACCAAAAAATTATCTCCACAACGCACCAAATAGAGAAACTTGTACTTCGGTGTAAAATTTCTGGCGGAAAAGTTGTTCACAGACAGAAAAAAAAATATCACATTATTGTAAAATCAATAGATTCCCTCGCTACGCTTCCAATCAAAAAAAAAAAAAAAATTTAAATTTAAACCCGTAACGTGATATAAATTTTCAAAACACTGGTAGATTTAATGTAGAAAAAAAAAAATAAACATATGTGTTAAGTCCCGAACCTTGTTTATAACACGTAAATCGTATAAAGTATACAGTTTTCCTGTTTAATGTGAATTAATATCTTCTAAAATCCTCGCTCATGCTATCAATATTATATTATAATTCTTTTACTCTCTCTACGGCTCATATCATTTAGCATTACTTTAGCGTTTTTCGTTGAATTTGCACTTATTTTAGTAATCGACGATTACACAGCACAAATTATCGTTATCGCATCCCAGATTTCGAGCATTCGACGGCGTTAGTTGCACATTAAAATTGATGTTGCGGATATCGAATCAAAATATACTTATATGACAAATCGACGAAAAGAAAAATAAAGTTGTTTACAGACAGAAAAAAAAAACACGCACATATCGTAGTAAAACCAATAGATCCGTCGCTATGTACGATCTGAATCTAAAATATGAACATTTTAAACTTCTACAGGCAGAATGGAAAAACAATTTTTTTTCCGCTTTGTGTTGTCGATAGGCGTTTTTTAAAATCGTTTAAAATCGTTAATGATACGGTTATAGTAGTACGTTATTACAGGTAGTTAATGTTGTGCCAGCTGCATTTATTTAACGAGTTAATATACGAATTTATTGCGTATTTATTTACGATTATTAATACTAAAATTTAGTGCTAACACTGAATAATATATAATATGAATTATTCAACTTGGACTCTTGGCGTGTATATTTATTTATTGTAATAATTGTGATAAAATTGAATATTGTAAATTCTATAATTATACATCTTCTGAAAAAAAAAAAAAATAATATGATTATTATTTATTATATTGTAGAATTATGGAAAATCCCGGTTTAACACCTGGGTACCAAATCATTTTTTTTTAATAATTACCATACTTCGCTCAACCATAAAAATAAAGAGATATTTTAAATAATTTCCATACTATATATTGTGTGTGTAGTATGTTAAGACAAACAGCTGTATTTTTAATCCCGTACAACTCGTACAAGTAATAAACGTAAAATAAATAGTTTATTATCAATAATCTAGATTAATAGGTACCTAACAAAAAAACAAAAAAAAAAAAAAAACGAGTTACCCATATTAATGAATATTAAATAACCATAATCGTTTATGTTAATAATAATCGAACACGCGTATATTTTTTTTAATAATAATAATTAAACTTATCTACGTAATTTTACACAGTGTTCCAGTAGGTATTACCTGTATTTAATGATATTTAATATTGACAATTAAAAAACGGATAATTGTTATAAATTATTGATTGATTTCTCATTTTTTATAATATTTTTATCTATAAATTGCTGATTTTATGTTTAATATTTTATAAATATAAATTACCGGTGATTTATTTTTAATAAAGGATACTTCCTTTTCAGTGAAAACCAAATTAAATACTAATAACCGTATTTTATTTTCATTTGTGCCACCTTTAGAATCAAAAAAAAAAAAAAAAAAATTTCTTTCTAAAAATACCAAAAGCTCCGTGTCGGCAACCCTTTAAGGGTTGAATATCGGGATAAAAAGTAGACCACCACGAAGTTTCTTTGGCTTTAAAAGTCAAATATGTAAAGTTTAATCAATAATAAAATAAAATTGTAAATTTTTACGACGGATAATAGACAAACAGAGATATAGACATAATTTTAATTTCGTGTATAAAATAAAACAAGTGCTGCGTACAAATCGTTTTCAATTTATCGATAATTTATTTCCTTGCGGAATGCATTAAATATACTTAAAAGTCATTCTTTTATCACGAACCAGCAATTTTCTCAGAAGATTTTAAGTGAACTTGATTTCTGTTTTTTATTTTAATCATTATGGAGTCGTTTAAGTTTTATTTTAATAATATTTTTTATGTTTTACTTCTAATTCTTGTATGTGGAATGAATATCCATTTCCTTTCAATATTATTCCTTATTTTCAATCACTGATTCATAGACACGGATATTTTGATATGCATAACATTAATGATATCAGATTTACCGTTCACTCGTTTTAACAATTAAAAGTTTAGACCTAAGGAATAGGAAACTGGGATAAATTGCATGTATATATTTTAAAATGATAAACTGTTAACATTTCTGTGGCATACATTTTAAACTGTTATTATAATCCTCCGAGAAAATTACTGGTTCATGATGAAAGAATTACTCTGTATAACATATTTTTGAACTTTTATTTTTGCAAAAATGTTTCAATAATATACGTGAAATGAAATTGAAAATATCGTTTTCTGTTTCAGTGCCGTGATGTTTTGGAACTCAAAGTACTGGAACTATGTCCGGAACTCACGTTACTTGGCGAAACGTTTGAAGAGGCTTCGGGTTTGCAGGCTGAACACGAGAGAGTTTTGGGAAAAATACAGGTTTGTATAATATTTTTTAAAAATCAATTATTTACCGCAGTGATATTTCAATGTATTGGTATACAACGTTTAATATTTTTAGAACGATATTGTCTATAGCTAGGCATTAGACGTTATGAAAAAAAGCAGATTTGAAAAAGAAAAAAAAAATCTATTATATTTACAGAGATTTCGACGTACGTTTAATTTTAGAACGATATTAAATGTGTGGATTAGACGCATGTGCGTGTTGCAATGTATAATATATTAGTACAAGTGAACGGTGCCAATAATTTTATTTCGAAACCATCAGATGGGCTTTTCACAGTTCTTTGATCGTTTTTTTTTTTTTTTTTGTTTCTTCGAGCTTTGCGTTTTATACATTTCTAATAATATTGTCAAACCCGTATTTATATAACATGAATGTCTAAATATTTTGCGATCATCCCTTGGTGCGAACAAATAAAAACCGTCATAGTTCTGTTTTTTGAACGCAACAGCATTATATGCGTATTACCGTTTCTCTTGGATAACTGCAAATTGTATTTCCCGAAATTTTAATTTTGATCGAATGCCGTTTTTTTTCGAATGGTTTACTTCCCAAATAGTACTTCAATGTTTCAGAAATTAAGCCAAATTACACAGGTTATTATTACACATTAGTATAAATACTATGAGGTCCCATTCATTAAAGACTCCACGTAATCCACGGTCTCATAAACTCACGCGTCTTTGAAAATCCAACTTTCCTTCTGATTGAATATTATTCGGGAACTATTTCGGTTGAGAAATATCGGGAAAAATGACGCCTTGTAAAAGGGCTGTTCGGAAAATTTGATTTTGAGGAAAATAAACAAAATAATGTTTTTTTTGATTTTCTATATAGTTTTCTTAATGATTTTTAAAAACCACGAAAAAACGTAAGAAAGACGGGAAATTTCACGACATCACTGGTTTTATTTTTTTCGATTTTGTTTTTTTGTTTCCTTAACATCATCAACATACAACTTAGTACTGTTAACTCTTAGAACTGATCGCTATTAACGTCTATTTGAATACATTATAAATATGAAGAGAACATTGAGATTAAGATGTAATTAATAATTAATAATATCAAATATATATATATATATATATTATATAATACATATCTATATAATTATAATATTGATGTGTAAATAAATCGATTAATATTATAATATAAACTGGGTCATGGATTACGTGAGTTGATAGTTTGAATGTGTAAAATAATAACTATAATTATATAGTTTCTGCAAATATTATGAATATTACGAGTTCGTTCGGATTTATTAAGAAAATTAAAAAAAATGTTGTCTGCGCGATTGGGTCCGTGTCAACAATAAACGTACCCTTATTAGATTCGGTTAAAATCACGTGCTTTTGATGACGCCACGGCGGTTCACAATAGTTTTATTATTACTGTCACATCATCGTTTTAAGTGGCGCACGAATATTAAATTATATCGTCAGACTTCATTAAAATAATAAAGTAATAATATATTATATTAATATCATAATAGTACGAGAATATTTATATATATAAGTGCGTTCATACCATTTATGGCGGTAACCGGCTTTGGTATTAGCCTTGACTTGATAATACGTATATTTATATAATATGCATCTTATTAGTATATTACAGACTCTGTGTACTTATTACATTCCGTTTACATATACAATAATAATATGAACACTGTTATGATGCTAATATGTAACACGCTGAAAAATAAACGTGTTTTTATTTTTCTAATATTACTATCATCATTATAGGAAAAACAGAATCCCGTCAATGAGCTACTGAAAAAAGCCGATCATCTGATAGCCACCCAAAACACGCAGCCCGAGGTGTACGCCGCCATGGCCGATTCGTTGGGATTAGCCTGGAAAGATGTGAACGACATTCTTCAAAAGAGGAGTTACTTGTTACACTTGAATGTCGAATACCACCGGTAAGGCGTCATTGCTGCGGTGTTTATACAAAATATAATGGTTAATAATGTAGGTCGAATTTTGTATCAAACATTTTGTTTTGTTTTTAAGGCAAGCCGAAGTGTTCATGGAACGAATCGACGCGTTGGAAACGCTCTGTCACAGTTACCTGCCGACCGACGTCGAATCGATCAAAAGTCATTTGGAACGCATTCAAGAAGTTCGAAAGTCTATACTAGAAGCTCTGATGGTCGCTTTGGGAAACGGTACGCAACTGTTGGATGTATTGAAAGATTTGCAAACCAAAGGAACCTTAGATTCGAGACCTGGGTATAATCATCATTCAGCTTCATTAGGTGAGATATTATAATTCCATGGTAATAATTAATACTTGTGTACTAGTCAATTTCAGAGTAATTTATTGGGTGTTCATAAATTCAATCCTACAACCAATCAAATTGTTTTCCTTGGATTATTAACTGTGCACAGAAAATATAATAAATACTAAATATTTTTTTGGTTCAATAACACATTTGAATGGTTATATTATTATGTTATAGCTGTGTCTCAAGTTGAACATTGGTTGGAAAAACTCCATGATAAACGTCATTCATTAGACATTGACTGCCACGAACGTAAAACAATGTTGGAAAAACGACTGACAATCTCTTTATTAGTTATCGATTTAAATTTATTGGAAAATATATTGTTCGAAAGACAAAGTTCTTTAGAAAAAATTAAAAATTATCTAGGAGATTCCAAATACGAATGTTCCAAGATTACAGAAGTCAACGTCAATCTGATAACCGAAGCTAAAGATATCAGAGACCAAGCGTTGAGGGTAGTAAAAGCTACCGAAAAACTGGTGTTAACGAAGGGTTACATGGAAGAAGATTATAAATTCAAAGCGTATAAATTATTAGAACTCGCAACGGAATACTTGGAAGATCTTAACAGTAGAGAACATTATTTAGATGCTGCTATAAAATTCTTCGATTCTGCCGAAAAAGTAATCAAATTTGACACATTAGTGAATATATTTTTTAAATAATTGTTTTTAATTAATTTTCGGTAGGTACTCCGAGCGTGGGAAACTATACTTCAGCATTCTTCCGACGAAAACTTGGCGTCCAAAAATACGTACGTAACGGAGACGGTAAAACGAACGGGCGCTTCGGTAATTCAAGAAGGAAATTTAATATTGAAAGAGGTCCCAAATGCAGAAGTGAGTTAATTTATTCATTATATTTGAATAACATCAAAATAATATCATTCATTTGGTTTTCAGGGCGTTAAACGGATGGTAGAAGAGTTGGAAAGGAAAAAACAATTAATACTGTCGATTGTCATGAAAGACCAAGATAGATATTTAGAATCTTCCGAAGCGGTCAACACGTTTTTGGAAAACTATAATAATGTAATAATATATTATTTTAACAAATTAACTTCCAATAATTAAATATAATGGACAGAGATGTTTATTTTAAAATATTGTGGTTTTCAATAGAGATGCATTTGTACAAGCAAATACATTATATGAATAATCATTATTTGATTTAAGTCTTTCTGGTTGTTCATTTAAAAGCAAATGGTGGAGATAGTTTTTAGTTTAGGAACTTTTCTTAGTTATTAAAGGTATATTACTTTTAGAATAATAATTACATGATTATAGCGTGACAAAAATCCATTGGTTAAATTTAAAGTATATAAACTGATTTAACATAATGTATCTTTAAAAACATAATTGAATAATTTTGATACTTCATCATATTATAGTTATTTCAGTTTATTAATAATTATGTTATTATACTATGTGATTATGTCTGATGTTTTGTGTTTTTTTTTTTTTTTTAGATATTTTCCTGGCTTGTAAGTTCAGCTGAATCATTTCTACACGATCATAACTTAATGGGCACAAATCTCGCGGAAGCCCGAGAATTTTTAACTGTTCACAAAAGTTTACAAAGAGATCTCAGGGTATGCCACTAAAATAACATAATTTAATTTATACAATAATTACAAATGTGGTATACACGCTACGTTTGAAGTAAAACTGAATACATTATCACATAATTTGATCTTTGTATTAGAAAAGTTATTATTATTTTTTTTATACAATTTGCTACAAATTCACACTACTATTTATATATAAAAAAGAATGTTTAGATTGTACCATAAATTAATATGAGTCTATACTCCTATTAGTGTATTAAGTTCAGGTATATTTTTTTTTTTTTTTTCAGAATCGAGGGATCGATATTAACGCTTTGGTGAACTCGACTAGTTTACCGCCGTTGACTTACGTCGACACCGATACAAGAGTAGACCTAGAAGGTAAATCGGTCATGTTAAAAGATCATTGGACATACTTGGATAGAATACTGGACTGGAGAATACAATTGGCCGAGTTGTACGTGAAATTTTATTCAGCGTGCGAAAATTTGAACATCGAATTTTCAAATATGGACACGATTGTCGGGAAAAACGTTGACGTATCCGATAAAATATTAGAATCTGCGCATAAGTATTGGACGAACATTTTGCAATTGTTTATTCAATTAAAGAACACCGGGGAAAAATATTTACATCTGAGTTCCAAAGTGAGTTTGTTGAATTTAAATATTATGTATTTTGTTTTATTTTAAATAAACGGTCTCCCATTGTTTATTATAAGTATTAGATAGACTAGATTAGAAAAAAAAATTTGTAATATTTTGTATTATAACAACTAGTAAAAATAAAAAAAATATTTTCAATGTTATTTTTTAAAAAAAAAAAAGTTTAATACCTTATAAAAACATGTATAGGCTATCTATGTACACGTGAGTAAAAGTTGTAGGCTAATAGCTCATAGCTAATAATTCATTTATACAGTAGTATTTATAGTTACTAAAACATTCAGTAAACATCAATCAAATTTTTTTTAAATAGGTACCTACTTTTAAATAATTTGTCGAATTAAATAATCTCTCTTGAAAAATATTTATTTATTAGCAATGCAATAGATTTTATAAATTAAATAATTTTTACCATTACTTTTTTATAATATTTTTTTTTTTTATACATATGCTTGTGATTTTCATATGAGATAGGTATCATAATTTTAATAATATAATATCATTATTATCATATTAAAAGTAACTATCTATTTACGAAAATATCATATCGAATTAACATCTATAGTTTATTACTTATAATAATTATTTAAAATTTAATCAGAGAAGACGCAAAGAACCTTCACTATTTCATCCATACTGAAAATACAATTTCTTTTTTAAATTCATCACAAGCAGTCGTCTTATATTAAATTTACATTCTAATATTCAGAATTGTATATATAAATATTTTTTTTAAAATTTAAAAGTTCGTTAAAAAAAAAGACTGCTATATTTCACACGATGGGTGGGCCACCCACCCATTATTACGATTAATTTTGCTAACGAAAAACAATTCTGAGCTGATTTCGGTTTTATATGTTTTAAAAGTCCGTAATATTTACGATTTCCGTCAAAATTTGATATTAAAATTCTAATAAAAAAAAAACTACATCAATCTCGACTTTTTCTTATTGGCCGCTACGTGCAACTTATAATTAACCTCCTATTAAATATTCAAGCATTTCTAATTGGTCTAAAAAATGTATCCACAAAGTAATAGTTACGTGAGAAACTCGCAAGATTTAAATTGTCTATAAATAGTTAAAAAATGGTTGAGACGTTTTGAACATTTTACAACGTTCAGCTAATAAAAATATTAGTTGTAGCTAATACAAAAATAAGTCTTCTGTCCAAATTTCAAGTCTCTAGGAATTTGTCTATAATATTTCAATATTTTTCACGGTTTTCCCGATTGTTATGAAAACTGCTTGGAAAATCAAAAAATTACCTTTCTAAAGTACCAAAGACGTACAATTTCCTTTCAGAAAAATTGCCATTTGAAAATTGGAGCAAGGTTTCTAGTAGAATTTTTGTACAAATAAAAAAAATAAGTAAAATTAAACAAATCGTAGTATATACTAGTACTCGTATATTCTAAAATCAATGGTATGAGTAAACTTGCATTTTATATTGAAGATAATCAATGTTATCAATGATTAATCATGTATTATCTCATAGGGAATTTTTTAGCGAATATCCACTGTATGTCTCAAGTGCCACAAGCAGATCTACTAAACTTTCCCCTTCACGTTCGGACTTTTCCCAGTATTTTTCCCACATAAAATATAATATTTTGTTACAAAATCTACTAATTCAATCGTTCATCGTTTATTTTCAAGCGAACACGCATCAAGCAAAATCTTATTTTGCTGTATGTGTTCCTTCAATGTTATTATAAACGATCGATACAACATATTATTATCATATTTGAAAAAAATGATGTATTATAATCCAATTTTATGCGTAAAATCTAATCGATTCGAACTTTTTGAAATAATTCGAATTTATACTATATTGTAGTAAAGTCATGCGTTTAAATAATATAAGTGACACTCAATGTATATCGTACCTATGTCATATATTTATGTTATATATTTAAATCGATTAAACGGATGTACAGTAGGTACTGTATTTTTGTGTACTTGCCAAAGATCAAATCTCGAAGTAGGAAACGTCATCCCACATAATAAACCGATCTGACGACACGCTTAAAAATATTATTAATTTTTAGTATTAATTTAACGATTACGCAATGCTATTGTTTTTATTTTAGACTCGTGGCGATTTATGCGTTATTTTTATTTTTATATATTTTTTTTTCTACCACAAATCTTATTCCAATCGATAAATTACGGAACTTTTTTGCTAAATTTTAAGTAGATCTTTTTCTTATTTTTTTTTTGCAATTTAAATACATTTATTGAGAAAAACCGGACAAATATTAAAGGTTTTAACATTTTGTTACTTTCAACGTTTACGGTTTTTGTTTTCTACTAGAAATCTTGTTCCGAATTATAAATGCAGATTCTTTTCTAAAAAAAAATGTTATTTAGTTTGTGTCGTTTCCTTAATGATTTGAAAAAATTGACAAAAACTTAAGGAAAGACTGAAAAGTTTCAGTAAATAATGGTTTAATTGTTATTATCAATATTTTTGTTGTAATTTAATTAAAAACATTTGCGGGTTTTGCATTTTGCATTAACATTTGCATTTTTAAATTTTAACAGATAAATTATATTAAAGTTTTCTAGACGCAGAAATATGTAGGTACTTTACATTTTCTATAGAAAACTATAGTTTTTAACGTAGTTTTTCTTTGGTATGTACTTTGTGGATCAATTGTTTGAGCCAACCGAAATGCATGAAAATTTAATACCAGGTTCATTATAAGTGGTATCTATATAGTGGTAAAAAAAAAAATAGTTTTATGTAGTAGGTTTTATTATACTCGTTTTTAGATCAAATTTTGATGAAAATCATAAATATTATTGCATTTCAAAACATGTATAACTGAAAATCGCTCAGAATCATATTTCGTAAACAATGGTTTATCGTTGCCTAACCTAACTTTATGTATTCTACTTTTTTAAATCCTCACTTATAATAGTAGTGCATATATCAGCAGTATCAGCTTTGTTTTCTTTAGTTAAACAATTGATAAAACGTGTTAAGTATATTCTATTACATAAGAAATATAATTTTTTGACATCTTGTGTATACGATTAATTGAAGTTGTTTAAGATTACTCAAGAATAATTATAGGACTTAAAATTGGGCTCAGCGTACGAGTTAAAAGTTAAAAATAAAGTAAAAATATAAAAATTATTTCCATCGCTGCTCAATTAAAAAAACAATTTTTTTTTTTTGTCATTTACGTCTTTTGGCAATGTCCGATATAACTAATTCGCACATTTGAGAATTGTCCAACACAAGTCCGCTAATCATGACTTGCAATTGGTTCATTACGATTATGTTAATACTACTTAATAGGCGAAGTTAATAATATAGTACGTTCGAAATGCAAGCGGAGAGAATAGACGATTTATTCCGACAGCTCTGCGGCGATTTGTCTGAAAACAATGGCTCGATCCCCTGCGATGATAACCCGCAGCAAATTTAAACGGGCGGAACACACTCTTGGGTCAGACTACCATTATAATACTATAGTTAGTAATATTATGTAGGGCGCAGTGATTTTTTTTTTTTATTCCCCCCGTAATATTTGTTCGCATAATATTCGATTCCTGTAAACGGCGGGTCACTCGACAGTGACGTTTTGATTGCGTATTTTTCGCCATTTTTTCACGTTAGCGTTGTTTTTTTGTTTCGAACCGCACTGACGCGTTATTGCGGCGAAAAGGCGTTTTTTTCCGTTGCCCCCTCGATCGATCGTTCTCATAACCGCAGCCGTTTCAATAATATTATCATCGATAAATCTCAACGAAACGCCCGGTCATATGCAGCGCGACACCCCGCGGTAGTGCGTGCGTACAGTATATAGTGCGGGGACCCGTCTACGGCGTGGCGACGGCCGCGGCGGAGTGTAATACACACACGTACGCAGCAGAAACGGTCGCGGATGGAGAGAGTTAGAGAGGCTAGTTGTTTTCATTATTATTATTATTCTCCTTATTTTTTCCGCTCTTCGCCGGGCCGCATATATTCTCGACTTTTGGGTTTTAATTAGCGTCGCGCGTCCGTTGGTGGGGTCCGACCGGCGCTGGCATGGTTCCTAATCGAGGGATGCGTCGCCCGCGTTAATATTGTAACGACCGCCGTCTGTTACAGTCGGAGGACGCTCATCTGGAACTAGACGCGGCACGGGAACGCGTGCAATCGCTGCTGGATTCGTTCGCGGACAGGAAAACGAGAACCGCTTCCGTCTGGGAGACTTGGCAGCGGGCGTCGTCCGAAAACAAGCTGGACCGAGTGCTCTGGTCAGAGACCATGTGCGAGAGCAGCAAGGTGAGTGTCGTATTATGCCTAATGTATACGCCGAACAACGCGGTGTTATTATTGCCGCGTGTTAGAAATCGAATATATTCTAATTTTAAGCGCGACGCGCACAATTGCGTCGCCGCGGAACCCGAAACTGCCGCGTATATTTCACATATGACGTACAGTAGCGTCCCGTCATAATAATACATCGGATACATCGTTAATCGCGGCTTTTCAATCACGAAAAACACGCAGTATGCGCGTGGTTCTCATCGGTTTTCACGTTTTGATATTGTTCCGAACGCGATTGATGGATTGCGCAGATTTTTCGGATACCTCGCTCGTTTGGTCGAAATGTTCAAATTCTCTACGGAATATTAATCCTTCGAGATTTCGACAATCCCATATTATAAATGTCCCGCAATGTCAGACAAATAATTACTAAAACGGCTCCACTGCAGTACAATTTGCGAATCGTGAATTGCTGTGTTTTACGAATGGACAGCCGCTTTGGTCCCGCGAGGGCTTTTGTCGAGTCGATTTTGCGACATAGTTTTCGATACGAGCTAATTCAATTTTTAAAACGCGCGCACTGGTACATTTACATTGTAGATTAATTCGTCATTACGTACGCTAACATACATACATATATATATAGATACGAAATTATATAGAAAAAATGTTCAAAAGTATACTTCAATTTTTAAACCTTTTTTTAACCCCCTCCCCATGACCAAAGTTATATTAAAACGTCGTACCGTATATATTCGGAAGTGTGGGATAATCACGATGCATCATCAATGTTTGGCGAGAAACTTTTTCGAATAACGTACATATATGAACACGAACAAAAACAAAACCTTACTCCACGACACCTGTGAACACACTAGGATTCAGATTATATTATAAAAACAGTAAAACAAAAAAAAGGAAGTACTATAGGTATTACAAAATAATAATGTTATTCGTATATTTTATATTTTACGTTACGAATCTAAAATATTATTCGTAAACACCATTTTTCCAAAAGTCGTGTTAATATTTTTTAAATATATTTTTTTCAGAATAAATATTTTCTCATAAACATTTTCTCATTTCTATAAACATTCTCATCATTCCCTTGAGGTTTTTTTTTCAATGAAAATGATGCGTACGATTTCTTTTGTATTTTTTTTATTTTAATACATATTGAGTTTCTAAACTTTATTCGTAAAAATATATTGGGCGTGGTACATTTAAAGCATCATATAGCCACTTATATGTTAATAATTTGGTAACTATAGAGTAATTTTTTTCCATCATAATATTCAAGACTGTTGGAATACTCTCAATTACATCAAATATGAACATTTTAAGGACATGTCTGTGTAATAGAATTCAAATTTGGATTTTGTTTAGTCGTTGTATAATATTTAAATATCAATACTACTTTCAAAATGTTCGCAATAATATCAGTAAATATTTTGGAAGGCGAATATTGAACTAAATAAATAAAAAAAACCATTCTTATATTCGATCTATTTAGTATATTCATACATGAATAATAATAATTTTATATATGTTTTTTTAAATATATTTATATATTTTATTATGTTTTTAATACAATCGAATTAAATTTTGAAAATATTTCCACTTATCCACAAAATTAATACACTACGTAAAGTAACTTTGAAAAATGTATATTTATATATATACTTATGCAATTCAGACTTAAAAATAAAGGGTATAAAATTACACTAGCGTAAATTAAAAAAAAAAAACCATATGCTAAGCAATAAATGAATAAAATAAATTTAAAAGTTATAGGTGCTATTATTACCTATCAATTTCTAAACTAGTTTCTTGTGCGTAAATATGGTCTCGTTAAATCAATATATTGTTGGTGGTCTACATTTCTAACACTTCTTGTGAAAATGGGTGATAACGTTAACATATACGTAATATATTATATAGGTATTGTTAAAAATTAAGTAAACAACTTTAACGTCGTGCTGTCTTTCTGTTACAATGTTGTGTTTATTTATGTTATCATTTGCACTAATCTATGTATTAACTAAAAATAATTATTATAGCCCTGCTGTTTTTTTAGTGTATAGTATATAATGGATAGTAAATGTATGATAAACACAAATGTATTTTATTGAACGTCTGAGAAAGTTATACGGTTAGCGTTTTTGATTTATTTGATGATCAAGTCAAAATACTTAAAGCATACGAAATATATTTGCAATTAAGAAAATTTAATATATTTCTCTGTCGAATGTATTCAGAAACATGAGCGTCTTATGACGATAAAACATTTCCTCTGTGTTATAACTCGTATAATAACTTGACAACGGAAATCGTACAATATGTCTCCAGTTTTTGTTTCGCGAATATGTATAACATTATTATTAACCATTTAATTTTCATAGTTCACTCGGGAAACGGAAAATGATAATAATAAGTTACAATTTATTAATTAATCGTATAACCTTCATCAAAGTTTTTAAATATAAAAGAGTTTTATGGCGCGGTGGATCGATGCCAAAATTGATGGAGCTAAACACAACTTCGTCTATTCACGTCATACGCCGACGTGACACGCAATCTTGTCAAATTAAATTAATTATCTATTTTGCTCTTTAGATTATTATGACTATTATTATGATTATTACTATCCAAAATTATCGTATATTTTTGTAAATATAGACTGTTGATTGGGTTTCCAAATTGGAAGCTCAGTTGTATCCAGTATTAAAATCTGAACCGTCATCAGTTGATCGACACGTTTCAGAAGTTCGACAAAAGTTAAATAATGTATTACCGGAAGTTCAAAGAGCTCAAAATGAAATCGAATCTAGACTTAAAACAGCCGAAGAACTTATTGGAAAAGGTTAGTCGTAAACAAACTTTTAATTCTAAACAGAAAATTTCTAAAAGAAAAGTAATTGCATTATTTTTATTTTTAAGGAAATATCCAAGGTGATAATATTTCTATACCCCCAAGACTAAAAGAACTTCACATCCGTTTAGTTGGAATCACTACAGAGTATCAGAATCTTTTGGATATGTTTTTGTCATTCTTCAATTCATTACAAGAAGTATACAATTTACAGTGATCTAAATATTATTATTATAACATTAGGTACATTAATTTTTGTTTGTTTTTTAGTTTCACAATATTGTAAAAGAAGCAGAGCAGAACAGGCCTGTCGATATATCTAACCTTCAATTGAACGAAATTGAAGGACTTCTTAGGAATCACAATAAATCACGACAAACCGTTTTGGAAAATTTTAAAACTGTTTACGCTGAAAATATTCGTTTAATGGATAAAATCAAACAACAGGTATATTTTCGAAAAACAATAATCATCAGATACTGCAAATAATTTTAATTTAATTAATAATCATTGTTCGGCTGTTATAGGAACCTCAAAAATCTGGAGAACAAGATATGTACGTTGTCCGTTATTTGATGGAAAACGAAAGAAATCGTTGGGATCAATCATGTGAATTGTATTGTCAAAAAATCGAGCAACAACAACAACTAAGTCAGTTCGACAACGATCTTATTCAGATCAACAACAATTTGAACGATCTTTCGCAGCAATTAGCGTCCACGCGAGGACAATATGGTGCAAATTTAACATCTGCCAAGTCCGCTTCACTCGCCTTTCATTATTTCGAAAAAACTATACTAGTTAGTGATATTTTATTATAAAATAAAAACACGGTTGAAGTGTTTTTTTACTATGTGACTAATAATAAATTTATATTTATAGCTTCTAGAACAACGTATTGACACTTTTATTAACGCTGCTAATTCATTGATGAACTTTGATCATACCAAGTCTGAGCACATCAAACAAGAACTGAATAAACTGAAATCAAGATGGGATACTTTCCAAGAGCAAGTCTTAGAAAGCCGTGAACATATTGATCTTTGTGTTCAATATTTTACTCTAATTAACGAAGTAATCAATTAAATATAATGAATCATATCCAATCATTAATACGTATATATATTGTTAATCATATATTAATAGGCTCAAGAGTGGTTTCACGAAGGCAGTAAACTTCTTATGAACATTGCTCGAAAATCAACTGAAGTCAAAACAAGTGAAGAAGCCACTGCGTTATTGAATGAAATTGAGATATTTTTGAAACCGGGAGATATTAAACAAGAAGAAAGACTAAAAAATATACATGATCTTAGTGTCCAGCTTTATGGAAAGATTGATAAGGTGCCACAAGTAGTTACAGAAAATAAAGAACTTCTGGATTCGTTTACTTCGATTGCCAAAGAATTGAAGTCCTTTGACGATAAACTTAAATCTATGGAAAAAAATGAAAGTCATTATGAAGTCAACCAAATAATTACCAAAACGCACGAAGAAATAATGACGTCAACCATAGTGACTAATGTACTTATAAATATAATATATATATATATATATAAACTTTTTGAAATAAATAATTATATATTTTACATATTAATAAAATTATTTTTACCATAGGATGTGTTAGCAAACGAGCATAATGTTTCATCGTCCAAAAAAATAAAACTCGATGAAATCATCAAACCTAAACCCATTATTATTGTTCCGCTAAAGGATAACACGGTAGACGAAGGAAAAAAATTTACATTTGAATGCAGGTAAAATAATACGTAGATATTTTGGTATAAATTCAAAATAATCAACCTAGTAGTTATATAATTTATTAAAACGCTATGCATATTATATTAAATATCTATTTATCGAATTTAGCGTGGAAGGCGAGCCCGCAAAAGTTTCATGGTATAAGGACAATATTTCCATTGACAATAATCCGGACTATCAGACGTCTAATATTAATAATCAATATAGACTAACAATTGAGGAAACGTTTGTGGAGGATTCGGCAAAATTTACTTGTCGAGTCGAAAACGATTCTGGCTCCAGTGAAACGAGCGCATATCTATCAGTGAAAGGTATAATTGTGTATGAATATTCAATATAATATTTTTTTTTTAAACTAAATATTTTCAAAATAGAATGCGAACCCGAACACCAAATCAGTCCGTCGGTATTTACGCAAATATTATCAGATTTGGCGGTAAAAGAAGGCGGACCTTGTTCGTTGTTTTGCAAGGCGGAAGGCAATCCTTTACCGACAGTGCAGTGGTATAAAGACGAAGTTTGTATTGATAACAATCCGGAATACCAAATCACGTACAATAACGGCGAGGCCCTGTTAAAAATCGAACACACAAATACATCGCATAGCGGAAAGTACATTTGTGTTGCGACCAACAGACTCGGTTCAGATTCTACCACATCGAAATTATTCGTTGACGGTGAGTATATATACATACATATAAATAAAAAACAAAAATTACATGGCATTCAAACTAATTTCAAATCGAATATCTAGCTCTGGAAGTACCTAAAGCGGGTCCGACGTTTGTCGTACCTTTGTCCAACGTGATGGCCAGGGCCGGCCAAAAGTTGAAATTAGAATGCGAAGTCGAAACGAACGAAGCGCCGACATTGATTTGGTTCCATAACGGGAAAATCATGAAAGAAATAAAAGATTTCAAGGTGGATTCATTATTTTGTATACAATAATTACAAATCGAAGGAAACCGTTGTGTTATCAAAGTTGTCGTGTTTGCATTTTGTTTAGGTTTCCGAAAATCGAGGGAAAATTAATCTGATCATCCCGGAAGCGTATCTAAAAGACGCGGGTACATATAGTTTAACTATCAAAACGGATTACGGCGAAGCGACGAGCAGCTGTCAAGTGTCGGTGAAAGGTATACTGCCGAACGAGACCTCCGATTCTGAAATCGCAAGCGATCTGGAACCGATAAAACCGTCGATCCCCGTGCCTTTAAAAGAACAAATCGCTCTTGAGGGCGCCAGTGTTCATTTGAAATGTGTGATCGTCGGACAACCCGAACCCGAAGTAATGGACAAATAAATTAAAATAGATTATTCGAAATGTGCGTAAAATGAAAATAATCGTCGTCCGTTAGGTTATCTGGTATCACGACGGGAGACCCGTCAAAGAATCGAAAGACATCCAACTGTTGTTCCAAGGGGACCAGTGTTCGCTAGTGATCAAAGAGGCGTTCGTCGAAGATTCGGGAGAATACAGAGTGGTCGCCATCAACTCGGCCGGGGAAGCTAGTAGCACGTGCACGTTGAGTATCGAGCCTAAACCAGGTGCGTACGGGTTTGATTAAAACGTGAAAATGTAATATTATAATAGCTCGTTTGTTATTTAAAAAACTCCGATGGTAATTTATTGTTTTCAGTGCCCGACATAGACGAACTAGTGATCCCGCCAAAGTTCACCAAACTATTGTCCGACGTATTGGTGAGAGAAGGCGATTCCATCACATTGGAGTGTAACGCCGAGGGTCGTCCCAAACCGGATTTCAAATGGATTCGAAACACCGTGGAAATCAAACCCGACCATAGAATAACAGTAATGGCGCGCTTAAAATCACATACTATACATGAAACGTAATGATAACTGTTGGTGATAATTTGACGACACGTCCTGTAATATATTTCAGTTGAGTACGGACGAAGACGGCACCGCGATCCTTCAAATACACAGCGCTCTGCCTACGGACAAAGGACAATACACCGCGGTAGCCGTGAACAAAGCGGGCGAAGCCAAGTGTTTTTCCCACGTCATCGTAAAAGCCATTTCGACTTTCGAAACGGCCGTCAAAAACCCCGTGACCGACAAAGTTCACTTTGAAGAAAAGTTGGAAACGCCGACTTTCGTCGAGACGTTTTCTTCAGACGCGGACGTGTATACAGGCGAAACTGTCAAATTCGAGTGTATCGTTGTCGGCAAACCCACACCGAAGGTAAAACCGGATACAGTTACATGTTGTATTATTATTATTGTCTGCGGTCGAACTAGGCGCGGCTTAGGGAACAAGGGTGGTAGTCGGGGATTTTTTTTTTCAATTCACACGACGGTTTGACGCATGGGCGGATAGGCCAGTTTTGGCCTGCCGGGATATCTTTAAACGGGCCCCTACACGCATTTTTGCGTGTCGGAGGTCAATTATTGAATGTACACTCGTTAGGAGAAGAAGAAAAGTTAACGCAGTCAGTCCTAGCGTCCGCGGAGAAATTTCGCACTGCCGAAAAAACGGACTACTGTTATTATATTATTATTACGTGATGTGGTTAAAAAATTGATCGTCCGTCGCACGCGCTATTGTTAACAGGTCCGTTGGTTGTTCGACGGGAAACCGGTGAGCGGCAAATCGTTTTTGGTGTCCACCAGCGGTGACCGTCAGGTGCTCACCATACCCGAAGCCGGTGCCGAACACGGCGGAACAGTCGAATGCGTTGCCGAAAACGAAGCGGGCAAGTGCAGCTGCGCGTCCGCGCTCAAAATAAAAGGTCGGCTTACATGTATACGAGTATATTACTAACGTACCTAATAATAATATTATCGTCTTCTGTGTCGTGAAATAAGACGCGCCGACCGATTCCCGTTGTAATCGGTGCTGAAATCCCCGCGCACACGCGACTATAATTACGGCGTATCCGCCGGAAAAAGGATCTCGAGGGGACAAACAAATAGGGGGGGTTGTTTGTTTTTTTTTCTCCCGGGTATTTTCGGTGCGAACGTCCATAATTGTTTATTCGCCGGTTACGCGGAGAGTAATTAAAAAAAATTAAAAAAAAATCCGGTCCGGGCATAGCGTTACGCGTATTTACACACACACACACACACACACACACGCCTGTACGATAATAATCGCAGTATTATTAGGTGGCGGATTACCGCGTGTGCACAGGTCGAAAATATTTAATTGCACGAGTCGTTTCGAAGGCATTACTCGGGCGAGCCGCACCAAACGATAGTTGCCCCCGCCGCCGCCGCCGCCGCCGCCGCTTCGGATAATAATACGGGCGACGGGTATCCGAAACTATTCTCGTCGCACGCGTTAGTCGAAAGACGTCGTGAGTAACGGCGCGCTAAAAATACACCTAGGCGTTTATTTCGTTTCCGACGTACCGCATTCTCGTCGTACAGTAGGTACACATCATCGTACGCGCACGCCATCACTGACATTTTATACTTGTGCAGCGCTCTGCTCGTTTTTATAGGGGAAAAAAAAAGTGAACTAATATTTTCACTTCGATTATTTCCCCGTCCCTCCCCTCGATTATTCTCGGCGATTTATCGATTTACACGCGAATATTATTGTCCGTTCAAAGAATCCGGAGCAGTGCCGTTAACCGCCATGGCCAACAACATCAACAAAAACAACAACAGCGGCAGCTTCGGCAACAACGCCGCAGATACGAAACACACGATATCCGAAGTTTACGAATCGAGTTCCAAGTTCGAGTCGAAACAATCGACGTTCATGTCGTCGCAGACTGTCGGTGACAACGCTCCCAAGTTCAAATTGGACTCGTTCAGTTTGCAATCGGAAAAAGAAAGCCGACAGTTCGGAGATAACGCTCCTATTCAGGTATGCTCTAAACTTATTATTTTTTTTTTTCAAATATTCATTTATTGTCAGTGAAAATCGGAACATTATGTTTAGTCCGAATCGTTGCGGACGGAAGAATACCACAACGTGGACGGACGAAAAAGTCAACACGTTACCGATTTGAGTTCTACAAACGTGTCTGAAGAACATCAAACATCCTTTTTCGAGCGGGGCCTGTACAACCAAGGGCTCATCAAAGACAATTCTCAAAAATCAATAGTCGACAAAAATATCACCAAACACATCCGGAAGCAGACGGCACCGCGTTTCGTGTCGGCTCCGCAAGGGAAAATCGCAGAACAAGGCGAGGACGTATTTCTGGACGCGATCATTGACAGTTATCCGCCGTCCGATATTACGTGGAGTAAAAACGGCGTAGAATTGATTCCCGACGGCGATAAGTTGAAAATTACCGGCGAGGTAAATAAAACGCGGCTGGACATTAAAAGTTTGGCCGTAGAGGACGGAGGTCATTATACGTGTAAGGCTACGAATACAGCCGGGGGCACGAGCTGTACGACCGACATTATTGTTAAAAGTACGCGAATTGATTCGATAGTTTTACAAAATGTAAAACGACAACGAAAACTATTATCATCGTATATATAAATTTTTTTTTTCTTTCTAGAAAACGTTTTTCCGCCTGTTATGTGCCGAAGACTTTTGCCGAACACGGTTGCCGATGGCGAGCGGGTCGTTTTAGAAATCGAAGTGGCCGGAACCCCGGAACCCGCGGTGAGTTGGTTTAAAAACAATCAGCCGTTAGTGTTCCCGTCCAGTTTGTATAGGTTACGGCAACAAGGGAGCTGTAGCGCGGTGATAATCGAAAAAGGTGAAAACACGTTTCCGTCATAACAGTTTTATTTCGATTCGAATCCAAACACTTGATGTACTGAAATCGTTGTGCGTATTACAGCTACTTCGGAACACGCCGGGGAGTACAAAGTCGTGGCGAAAAACGAAGGCGGAGAAGCGGTGAGTTGTGCCGATTTACGAGTAGTCCAGCCCCTACCCGACATCGGAGTGAATATGCTGCCGACGTTCGTTCCGAGTGACAATTCAGATAGAGTGAACGTGGTGAGTTGTGTTATTGTCGTTATTTCACCCCCATCGTGCCAGTAATCGAATTCATTTTAAAACGCATAAAATAAAATAATTAGGTAAAACTTCGAGGACCACGGAATATAGTTCCGTAATATCATGACATATACCATTACGCATCAAATATAGATACCTACCTAGCAACAACTGATAGCACCAAGTGTCTGAATATTATAAACAGACGAATGACAAATTAATTAAATGATTAAAACCTTACCAACTGCAGGAGGAGACATGAAATTAAATATAATTTGTAAAATATTTAAACGCGAGTTATTTTAATTTACATTCACTTGCTAAAAGTAACTGGGCATTACTTTCGAAATTCTATTCAGTCATCACGTTATGGCGTAAATAAAGTTCGCGCACGTGTGTCTTGAGATTTTGGTAACTCTATACTGTGTATAAATACGGAAGGAGCAAAGTCGTCTAGCCCAGAATAATTTTTATCGTCGTAAAATAATTTATTGCAATATTGAACTATTATACCCTGGGAACTCCTCTTGTACATATTTTATTTGATAGTGAATTTGAATATTATAGGACATATCAGTTTTGATTGCATCAAAAACGTCGTTAAAATTGCCTACACTCAATCCCTTTAATACTTCTTAAACACTATTCATACTGTTTAATGACAAAACAAATGTGTGAAAACTATAAAAACAAATTTCACAATTATTTATATTTGCCCTTTTGTCTTTTAAATAAATACACCACGTTGTCGGGATTTATCAACTATTTTGGATCCGAAATTTTTGTCGATAGACCACACATTATTTTAAATACTGACAATATTTACTAAACATAATAAAATCCATAAATATAGATTAAATATTTGCGATAATTTTTTTTTTTTTTTAAGTTTATAAATGTTTATAAATATATAGGATTACTACAAAAGTATTGTACCGACAAGTCAACCAAAACAATTGAACATAACCAGCAAAATAGAAGAGAAATCTCATTTCTCCAAATCAGTCTTTGTTAAAGAATCAATTAATAGCAGTAAAGATGTAACTATGACTGTTAATCGCGCCGAAGCAAATGAATTTGATTTAAATTCTAACAGTTCCAATACTAATTTTGAAACAAACGAAAAACAAATATCCGTTCAAAACGAAAATATAGAAGACGGATCGATAACGAAAAAAAGTGCACTTCAGTTTTTCAAAAACGTCATAGAAGATAATAATAAAACTGAAAAATCTGTCGAAAAATCGATTAATTCTAATATAGCGTCATCAGCCAGAACATACCAAACCGAAAGTCCTATAGAAAAAATTAACAATTTGAGTAGTTTTTCATCCGTAGAAACTTATAATATCGAAGAAAACGTATCAAACAGCTCATTTAAACAATTAAATGATTCGAAACTCGTTTTGGAACCCGGTCCACCACCTACATTTGATTACATGCCAAGAGCACAATCTGTAAAAAAAGATCAAATGACCGAACGGTTGAAAAGACTATCAACCAATCAAAAACTACTGTCGCCGGAGCAAATTCCTTCTGGTGCCGTTAGAATATTTCCCGATGTCACGTCCGAGACGAAACAAGAGGTCATAGAAGAAACTTCCGTGAAAAAAGAAGTGATTAAAACTGGTTTTTCCAATAATACATTAAAACAAACACAATATGTAGACACATCGAATGTATCAGTGTCGCATAATGAACCCCATACTCCACTATTAAGACCTCAAGCTGATATAGAAGTACGACCAGGATCACCAAGACCGTCTGCCGAAGCTATATCTATGGAAAAACTCTGGACCAAAGCACATCATTCTCAACATGTTCAAAAAATTCCGGTGTCGTCTTCACCGGTGCAGACCAAAACGTATTCATCGACGGAAAGCCAATCGTTTGTTTCTGAAACTATTGAAAAAAATGGCGAACTAGTAAAAAACGAGAGCCGAAAAGAGAAACAAGGTAGTTTAAATATTGACGACGGTGTTAAAAAAGTTTCAGAATCGTTTTCTGAAATTTCTGTTGGACCGACACAACACGTCGAGCCACCACATTATTCTGAAATATCTGTCTGTCCGACAAAACACGTCGAACCACCGAAGGGTGAAATCAAGCGCCCAGTTTCGGCAAATGTTTTTAATGAAATAACATCTAAAGATTTATTTTCAGGGAATAATATTCAAACGCGACAATTTTCTGAAGAATTATCGCAAATTAAAAAGGGTTCGTCATTCGATGTCCCATCTAATGTATCCGAAAGTGTAGAAAAAAATAGTTTTGTAATAAAGTCCGAATGTAAATCGGAGAGTAATCAATCTTTCGACAAAAATATAACGAAGACGTCTCAAATTTTACCGGAACGCCCAATAGGTCTGGTCAGACACGTTGAGCCACCCAAAAATAACAAAACCGTTTCTAATTTTACTCGCGCTCACAGTGAAGAAACAGTCAAAGAAAAACAATGGAAATCTCAATCGCCTGTGGTTTTTAAAGGACCTGCAACTCAAAATAAAACGTATTCTTCGTTTGAAGCTCATTCGAGTTTTTCGAAAAGTCTAGAAAAGGACGGAGTGTTAGTAGAATCCGAACACAAAGAAGAAGGCGGTCGGATGATTGACGACGGCACTCAGAGAGTATACGATTCGTTTGCTGAACGTTCGAAATTACCGACACAAATCATGGATCTGTCAAAAAACGCCAATAAATCGAACTCTATAAAGACCATGCAAAAAATGTTCGAGCAAAATGGATCGTCGTTAGTTACTGTGTCTAATATCCCATCGCACGTCAGACCCTACAGTAGAATGAAATCCAGAACAAGCGATAGTGATTTCGAAAGCGAAGCGGAACTATCTAAATACAACACTGAACAAAAAGTCTCTGAAAGTTTCAGTAGTTGCGAAACGAAAATGTACTCATCTAAAACGCAATTGCAAGAATTTCAAAGCTCTTCGACGGTAATACAAAGTCCGGTCAAGGAAAGCGGTTATGCAGCCGACACGGACGAACCGAGAAGCTTCCAGAGCGACGCGATGACCAGCCATCAGACGTCTCTGGCCAAGAGAAACTTGGGGTTTCAACAAAGCTCTTTAATAAAGAAGGTTCGATGCGTGTTTGAATGATGATAGATTTGATTAACAGAGTGCGGTGTTTTATTTCTAAAAATATATATATATATGTTTTTTAATGTATGTATATATATATATATATATAAAAAAATCTATCAGTTATTATAGAGTATTGTGTGTGCACTTTTGTTTGTTGCTGTTGATTTAATAGATGTTTTACACTCCGTATTAATACACAATAACATAATATTATTGTTATGTCAGTATATTAATAATAAAAACGTATTCGATTTTATGCAGTACATATCGAAACGCTTTTTTCTTTTTTTTTTCTAAACAGTTTATAACATGTTAATGTCGATGTCGTTAATGAGTTTTAGTCGTTTTCCAGGCCGAATTTTTCGAAAACGATCGCCGTCAACATCGGCCCAACCCCCAATGGGCGAATCATCAAAACAATAACCATCAATTGCACAGGAGTCAAATAGTGCGCAGTCCCCTGAGGTTCGTCAAAGGCGAGTTTCGCGAGAGCGACTACGAGAGCGATTACGATTGCCGAATCCAACCGATTTGGCGGCCTTACGATTCGGAATCGGAAGAGCCGGTGTACAAGCCGGTCAGGCCCAGTTTCAAAACGCCCGCCGCCAAGCAGACCGCCGCCGTGGAGACGCAGCGTTACCAGCAGCAGCAACACCAACAGCACTACCAGCAGCAGCAGCAGCAGTACCAGCAGCAGCAGCAGCAGTACCAGCAGCAACAGCAGTACCAGCAACAGCGCTACCAGCAACCGTTGCGCACTACGCCCGTGCAACTGAAGGAGATAACCCGGCCGGCGTTCGATTTGAAACCCGGTTCGCCGCCCGAGATCGGTTACGCTCCTTCGCCGGACGTGCACAGATCGGTGAGCTTCGTCGAGTCCGAGCGCAACGAGAGCGTGCAGCGGACCACGCATTTCTTGTCGTCGAACGGCCACAACGGTAACGCGTCGGGCAACAACCTGCAGCAGCAAGATTACGGCGACGGCGCGCTGGAACGGAAAGCCGAGGCGATACGGTTGCAGAGAGTGGACGAGATGAGAAAGAGGTTCGAACAGAAATCGCTAGTTCCCGCCGGCGGATCCGTTTCGGTCCAGTCGGTGTCGTCGCGATCGGTATCGTCTTCCGCACAAGGTATCCCGCATAGTATACGGGCAATTATGTAGATTATTTTACGCTTGAGCATTGGACTATTGGACATAATATGAAATAGTAATACAATCGGGGGAAAAAAAATCGGCTTTGCGCATACATTACAATAATACATAATATTTTGAATTACATTATTTTACGTCGATAGAGCAATACCTGTATAATACTGTTATCATTATTTATTGTATACGATCAGGTGCTACTAACCAAACCGATATCTCGGCGACCGGGATACCGTATTTCAAACACGATTTCGGATATGAATTCGGCGTAGCGTATCCCGTGAAAACGAGAGACGGTCAAACGGCCGACCCGGCGGACAGCGTTAGCATTCCGGTGGCGCACGAATTTTCCCAGACCGTTCAAAACCGCCGGACATCCGAAATGTCTGCCGTTAACAGCGCGCGCCGAGAAAACGTTTTCGGGTCAACCACAGGTGAAGGAACAACAGGATAATAATGCTACGATATTATTTGACTCGGCTCTCTCTCTCTCTCTCTCTCTCTATCTATCTCTCTTTCTCTTCTCGATTGCGGCACTTCAAACTTTACACGCGCCGCCGTTCGATAATACGCGTGTGCGATGCCACGCCCCGTCGTCGACTAAATCGCCCGGCTCGTGAAATCGCGTTTTCCGCGTCCGTTTCGCGCTGTTGGTTTCGACATCAGGCCCGGACCCAGAGGCATGCGCGCGAACGCATTCTGTAAGTCGGTCTTGTTCCGGTGTTTTAATTATTGCGAGCCGAACACGACGACGACGTCGTTCAAGTGGTCATATTTCACGTGTCCGTAACTCGCTTGGAAATTAAAACACCGGAACGAAACTCGTACAAACGCAGACCGTGTTCGTACCTTGGCGATCTCCGAGGATCGGCGGGCGCGCCTCGACGTCGAAACCGACGCAGCGAAACGGACGAAGAGCGTAAATAAACCGCGATTTCGCGAATTGGGCAATTTCGCCGGTACAGGGCGTGACACACGGTGTACAATGCACACTATGTACGCTTTGGTATATACGGTAGAAACCGTTCTTAACCAGCGCCCTATCCCCCCCCCATCCCGAACAGAACGCGCGGAAATTGTAATTTTAAAATTTTTATTTGAGAGGACGTGGTTGTACCCGCATCTACACTGTCTCAGTCCAACTACCGGGCGCGACACGCGAAAACAGAGTGTACGCGGAATAAGGGAAAAGCTTGTTTAATTTCGATTTTAGAGTAAAAGTACTGAGCTACGAAATGTATAGAGAACGGTATTCTGGAGGGAACGCCATGGGTATTTTTTGAATTAAAAAATTACAGTGACTATGAAAACCCTACGACGACTTCGTTCCCTCCAAAATCAAGTTCTCTATACATTTCATATAAAACGTAATTTTTTTTTTTGCTCTAAAATCGAAATCAAGCTGGTTTTACTTACTTCGGCGTAAGCATTGTTTTCGCACGTTACCCCGGTAGTGGGACTGAGACAATAAATGCGTATATAACGTCCTCTTAACGATATCCGGTACTATCCGCGTACGGTTTGTTTTACATTTAATTAACCCCGACAACATTTCGAACTGATAATCGCTACGTCGTCGATTGCAAACAGTTTCTACTGTATATACCTATCTCTTCTGTATAATACCGTAATTAATTTCAATATCTTCCGAGTGTAAAGTTTCGTTTTGAACACATAATGTTGTTGTTGTGTATCATGTATTGTGTTAAGTTTTCGATATTGTTATATTATAATAATAATAATTATTGCGTATAGTGTAATATGTATTTTCATTACTAATATACGCAGAAAACAATACCGCTTAGATAGTCTGAGTGTGTGCATAGCGACGAGACCGCCAATACAATCTACCGCTTTTCACTGTATCTTGGTAAAACGTCTTCTTTTGTAAGTAAACGTACGCTGCAAGTTGTATAATGATTCTATATTACCGTCGTTTTATTGATTTTTTTTTTCCGTTTTAAACCCACTGCTTCTACTAAATTGCACGCGGAGTTATCGTTTGACGTGCACAATGTTGTTTTACGTTATTATGCAGGTGTCCCGCGGGACACGAAGATATACCGATTACAATATCTCCGGAGATAATAAAGATAATAAAATTCTATTTTGTTTTCATATTACTCGCAAGTCATATGGACTACAAAGATTTATATTGCAATTCATTTTTCGATGCTTTAACAAAAAACTTATTAAAAAATAACTTTTTATTTTTATTAAATTCGTTATTTTTAATAATTTTTCGAAGTTCAGAGAAAAGTACCTGTAATTGTGCAGCAGGTTATATAATCGCATTCTCTAATTGATTATTGTTATTATAATTAATACGATTCTTTGAGCTTTAAAAAAAAAACAATATTAAAAATCACAAATTTAATGAAAATAAAAAGTTCATACGTCAAAATGTTCAGAAGAATAAACTATATACAATGGCTGTCTTCAACTTTTTTTTAAAAATAATAAAATAAAGTAATTTTTTTAAAGTTTTTACCGAAACATAAAAAAATAATTGCTGCATAAATACGTGTAGTCCTTATCCAAGTGATTACAGTGATTAATGTAACAAAAAATAAAAAAAAAAACAGAATTTGATTATTTTATTAAAATAAACTCCAAGCGGCTTTTGGGGCAATATACAGAGTAATAAAAGTTACAATTTTGTGATAAATAATGTAAGATACATAAAAAAAAAAACAATTTCAATAACGTATAAAACTAATTTTACAATTAGATTAAAGAGAACCACCTATAATTAAAATTATAATGTGAGGTATTGAAGCAGGCCAGGATGCGAGAGATATTGCAGTGGGTGTATCTTCGTGTGGGACACCCTTTATAGAACAGACTAGCTTTGCACGCTGAAAAACTGTCGATTGTTATCGGTATATTGAAACGTACGATAATATGTTAACGTGTCGATTTTCAGATGGACCCGTTACTAGCCCCGTTTACCAAAAAGAACTGAACGCCGCCGCCGTCGTCGATCACTCGGACCCTTCGCATAGTTTACCGTTCTTCGTGACCGTAAGTATTTGCGACCGCATTGTTATGTATTTGATGTTTTGAGGAGGTCTCGCCGACAACTCGCAATTCTCGCGAAAATAGTAACAAATCGCTGTAGGTATATATCTTTTGGAGATGAAACACCTACGTTATATTATAAAACGAATTATCTAGAAGGAGACCGATATTTCGAAGGGAACCCCCTCGTGTTACTATGAACGCGAAATACCACTGAGCCAAAACAAAATAGCGACTGGCGTATTTTAATAATATTAAGTCCAGCGAATATGCGCGAGTAACATTTATTCGCAAAAGAATTTGAATATGTTTTTGAGTTAAAATCGCCTACGCGGAATCATCCCCTTGCCAAGAATACCGGGCGTACCGACTAGATTTGTTTTACTGTGAACAGACAAAACAATCGCGATATAGTTATTCCTTATATATAGGGCTCGGAACTTATTGCACTTAAAATCCACAAAAAACCCGCTTGAAAACGTCAAAAAAGCATTAAAAAAAAAAAAAAAAAAAAGCAAAAATGGTAGAAGGGTTTAAATGTTCTTCTCTCGAACGGTTTTAACATATTAAATACAGTTTTCTAACGCTACACAAATTATTAACCCAAAATTATTTTTTTATAATACGCACAATTTAATTAAATTTAATTGTTTGTTAATCATCTGTGTCGTGTTTGAAAATTATATCGAATAATTTAGAGTCGTTAGACGGGGGGCCTTTAAACCCTTCTACCATACTTCGGTCTAACGATAATTGCTTTAAGTGCTTTTTTGACGTTTTTTAAGTACTTTTTTGTGAATTTTAAGTGCAATAAGTCCCGAGATCTACTTATAAATGACAATAATATTATTGTCGGTGTCGGTACGTTTTTATCGTTATTGGTATTATCTCTAAAATCACTTCGAAGGGCACTTGCATACGTTCGTTCGAAAATTAAGAACTCGAATGCGTTTGTGAAGTTAGAATTGACTGTTGATTGCGCCCCCGGCAGAACACCGAACTAGATTTGTTAACGGACCGAACAACAATTACAATAATAATACAGTCGTTCCATGCAAATTGTAAACGGCAATAATATTATCGTTGCAGCCGTTGAAAGACATAGCCGTAGTCAGCGGTAAGACCGCCAGATTCGAGTGCATAGCGCAAGGCGAGCCCATCGATGACGTCATGTGGTCGTGCAACGGACACGTGTTGGAGAACTCGGACTGTTACCAGACGCAGTACAGGAACGGCGTGTGCAGACTGACAATACCAAAAGCGTACAAATGTGAGTCGGGTCTGGCCCGGGTAGACGAACGTCTGCAGCAATATTATTAATAACAATAACAATATTATCATTAAGCCGTTTCGAAAATTATTATTATCGTACCGTGTCGTTTTCAGTCAATGCCGGGTCATACGTGTGCACCGTTTCCAATCGCCTGGGATCCAGCAGCACATCGGCCAACCTACAGGTGTCAGGTGAGTCTCGCACGTTCATTCAACACTAAAATTCATGTATGGGCTTGTTCTTCTTTCACTTCACAAAAAAAAAAAAATAAATAAAATTATATTACACTTCTGATCGGTGCGGTTTATATTATTCTAAATAAATTTTAGTTTTTAACATAATATAATATATTATAATATACAATAATTTTGTTTTTGTAGAATACGATATTATATATTATACTTACGTTAAGGTTTCTTAACCCGAATATCACATTATTATTATATTATTATCATCATCAAAGTACAATTTATTGTTGTTTAGAATGTATAGTGTTGTTGTCTAACTACAAAAATGTCAAATATATATTTTAATAATAATATTATCTTAAGTATAATCTATAGATAATATATTAATTATATTTGTTTAGTTAATTTTTTTTTTTTTTTTTTGAAAAATTGTAACAATAATGATGTGTCTACAAATTTATCACCGCAGTAATAATAATGATAATAATATTATTGTTTTGTGTAACAACGTTAAAAAGTTTCAATAAACTTTTTAAAACGGTTATGGTTTCTTCTTTCTCCTATCTGTCTATCTATACGCTCTCGTAATCTATCTACGCCTTACGCTTACAGCATAAGATAATGAAAACATGGACGGGACATGCCAGCTCGTCATCGGCGAAAACCGTAGTCGCCCGTAGTTTTCATGTACATATCACAATCAGTGCTTGACTTGGGAAAAAAGTAGCTGAGGTACTTTTAAAAGCTACTTTACCGCGGGTAATTCCCACACCTCCTTATTGTTATGGTCTACTAAGAAGCATTAATACAAAACCATCAAACACGTATCATAACCAAACAGAACAATGTAATAATATTGTTAATTTGTTTTACTTGTCTTTTTTAAAACAGTCATTCAATACAATATTACAAACTTATTTTCATATAAATTAATAATTTTTCATTTTTGGACATCTTAAAAGATTTCATAAATGAGAATATTGATCACTGGGTTAAACGAGATAATAGAATGTTGTTCAATGATAATACTATAATAGATGAGCGGTTACTGATTAACTGATTTTATAGATAACGAATGACTACTTATTAGTTATCATGCATCAGATACGAAATATCAATAGATTTTGTAAATATTAGAATATTTTGCATGGTTTATGTAACACAAACATTCAAGTTGAACAATTTTACAAAAATAGGTAAGCTTAAATAATAACCCGTCCCGTGCGTTGTTATCCTTTTAAAAAAAAGAAGTAGGAGTACGCTATAATATCCAAAAAAAATCGTCTGAGGTACTCAGTTCCCCCGCGTGACCCCCTCTCAAACCAAGCACTGAATAATACGGTCTCTGCACTTGTTGTTAGTATCTACTTGTGTGATTGTCGCGATTTGTACGCCAAAAACGAAAACAAACGCGTCTTGTTGTCGGCCGAGGACCGCGAAAACAGTGGCCTCGGTTGGCGATGTCCCGTCCAGGTCTTTAATTATCAATAACGGGTAACAGCAAGTACCGTAACATAATATGATTACCTACCTATAGTCATATATTATACGGTTCTGTTGAAAATCAAACTGTTTGACGTTTGTCCGTTTAAAAGCACGTTTATTTTTGTAATAACACGTTTGCTGTTTATCATCGTATAATTGTGAATGGATTTGGTATATTATTGTAACAAACACGTATCCTAAAAAAAAAAAAAACCAATCATTCATATCACCTGTACAATAATAGTCACCATCATCTTAATGTTATTATATACAATAATATTCATACTGCACGGTAACTATTGTAATATTGTATTATCGGTGTAACGGCGTCATCCCGCGTTGTCATTGATTATGGAGCCGGTGCATACTATAGTAAAGTGTACTACGAATGCAACAGATAAAACGCTTAAAAACAGTATGCCCGGTATACGGTTTATTTTTATGACAAAAAAAAAAAAACACCAAAATATTACTTTTAAGTTACACGTGCGGCGAAATTATACGTTATTCGTTTATTAAAGTGCTATTTCGTGTTTATTAAAACCACGGACGGACGGTCGTGGCAGCGTGGCGCACAGAGAAAAAATATATACGTTTTTTTTTTTTTTTATTTACTTATATGTTTTCTTTAACGTGAAACATTAATTTACTTTCCGTTATGTACATCTCACTTGTTAGTTGTTTTGATACACGATGTTACGTTTCATCCTTAAACGACTTTGAAAATTATAACGTAGGTATTATAACATGCGAATCGCTAAGTACAGATAGGGCATGCGTCCAAATTTTAAAATTTATCAAGAAAGACTAAAATAAAAAACTTTAATAGGTATCTTTGAAATAATAATAAAAAAAAAAAAACCCGAAAAACAAATCCAGTGTTAATTACTGTAATGTTGAAGTGTTATATATCGTCTTGGTGTTTTTCAAAATATTATAAAACTCTATAGGCGCTTAAGGTGTTTTTTGTCTTTGTCGAAATTTTTTTTAAAAATTCGGACGTGCGCGCTTTCTGTATTTAGCGATTCACGTGTAATAATATTAGGCGCATAAATAATATTATATTTTCAACCCATATGATAAAAAATGATATTTTTACACTTGTATAATATCTAATATTATTATACAAAATAATATGTGATTTTATAATTCTGAGAAACGAGAATCGGTAGCCTAGTGAAAATTGAACAATATGTAAACTGAAAATTGACCGATTCCAGCCGCTCGTGAATGCGTTTTGTTTTTCAAGGGATGTAGGATGACATCTGGTTGTTTATACTGCTACGTCTTCTCATCGCGACGAGAAACGTATGTCCGGAAATCGCTCCCTCCGGAGTAGTGTCATTATATCGGTGAAGAGTAAAAACGGTTCGTAATATTATTATGCGAACATTTCGTTTCAATAATATTTATAATTAAAACGTCTGAAAAATGTATTGGAATGATATTTAAAAATTAAACACATTTTCAAATAAACTATAACCTTAAGCGTCCTGCTCGCGGTTTTTTACGAATCGTTAACAATATTACTGATAACAGATTGTTAGCATTTACGAGTATAATTGAATCATTTTGACAATTCTTAAGAAAAAGTTTTAATGTCTATATTAAGGGTTAATTAATTAGTTTCGCTCAGACGTCCGATATCGGTTTTTTTTTGTTGGAAAGAGGAAAATTTTCTCTAAGGTACACTGAACTTCGATTTTCGACTATGCAGCCATAAATCTAAAAGAGTATAAGTTAAAAAATATAATAAGAAATAGGTTATATTTAAACTCTAATATTACTATATTACACTAATAAATCATTAATTAATACTAAATATTTATCATTCAATAATAATTAAATTTAAAAATCTACGAAATAGCGTGAAGTACAGATACCAATAGTTATATTTTATTAACTTACGGGTACTATGTAATACAAAAGCGAATGTTGTTTTTATTATTATTATTTATACCTATCAAAATTTAAGATTTAAGATTTAAAATTTAATGTTATTTGTAGGAAAACTTGTAATTATTTAGAAACGACAATGCTGACTAATTATTAGCAAGCATTGATACTCCGATGGAAAAAAAAAATTAAAAATTAAAATATTCGTCATTTTTTCAACTCTGAAATATTATAATTATAGCGAAAAATGGACGTATTTTTGTCCGCGAATTAAAATAACTCGAAACCTATTGAATAAATTCCAAATCGTTATTGATTCGCACAGACTGTCAAAGAAAAATAGGTACTATAAATTTGACAACATTTGAGTAGGTACTTGTGCGTTTATATTAGGTATATAATATTCGCGTTGGTACGTCATTAATAAAAGTATATACTTGGGTGTTATAAATTAATATTATTACCTAAGAATTTTATAAATTTTAGTGAAAAAAAAAAAAAAAAAAAAGAAATTTTTATTTTATTCGCGGAGATTAAGCCCTTAACCTCCGTCCTCCTAGTCGTTTCTATCTAACGGGATAGAGTTACTTTCCTATATTTATATTGGCAAGTATTCGGGACAATTATTTTTTTCTTTTTAATTGGATTTTTCAGATTGTTTTCGTTATTAAATTAACTAAATAGACAAGCTGGTATAAACGAAAATAATAATAAATAGTCACAATAGTTTACATTTTCTATCAACGGTCGGCCACCACCGGCCACCAGTTCGATCTAAATAACTACGAGTAAAATACGATTGTAATTTTTTTTTTTTTTTTATATAATTGTTTGAAAAATGTTTATAATGATGGATTTTAATTGAAACGCGTGTCGAACGTAAAATATAACTATTGTGGGGCGAGAAATTTCGTTAGTATTTTCGTAATAACATATTACGCGAAAGTAATATCGTGTAATGACAAAAGTGTAACGAAATTATTGTGTATTCCGAGTGAAATTAGGACGTGCGTTATACACTCTTGTTGCATTCGTACTCGCTCAGTATAAATCCGTTTATATTTTTAGACGTGCGTCGTTTTTCGTTTTACACCCACAACCACACGACACGTTATATTTCACATTCCTGAATAAATTATTATTATTATAAATCCGGCCACTTTACGCGCGGAACGGTTTATTATATTTTATTTCCATAGTCACAGGGTGGAAAAATTATTATCATTATTATTATTTTTAAATATTATTTATAGACGGTTTATTTTTTTTTTTTTACATATATTAGCACGCCCGACAATAATAACAATAATAATAACAGTAAATAATTTATGTACTATTCGGACGGTTGCCGCGTTACCGTCGTTAAAACGATTTTGCCATTTTGACGGGAAAATTATTACAAACGCGTATAGGTGTGTTTTTTTAAAAGTATTTAAGGATATTCGAAAGATTCGGGCGTCGTTGCGCAACAACCTAATAATAAGCAATGGCGTATCGAGTCCCTGACAATTTTTCACGAAACCGTCGCGTTTACGTGTCATTATTTAAATTTTTAGTACAAGCACAATGTCCTGTAAACCAAGTATGTAACCGCAGACGGACGGGGTGGGGCGATATTTCAAAAAAATTGATATTCAAAATCGGAATCTTGATATTGGACTTGCGGAATGGTTTGTCCGAGATTTCGACTGGAATTTAAAGATAGGTAGGCGCCTGAATTTGTCTTAAATTAAAAGAAAACAAAGTTTAGTATTTTGTACATCGTAACTGTGTACTGCTCGTGGGTTGGTCACTGTTGTAGGTGGTAAATTGGAAAAAGTAGGATATACTAAATTGAATTAAAGTGATTTAATTTATATCTGCAGTACGCAACGTGTTAAGTCATTGATAATAACGAAAAACGATTCTGAGAGAAGTTAAATTAACCGTGTTTGAATAAACTTAAATCTGGAAATCGTAATCATTTTAGTCGTTTTTTTTTTTTATCTAAAATTGTTTATCATTTTTATGTAGCCAATAAATCTGTACTTACATAAATCGGAAAAAGGTACGGGAAATACTGTGATTTTTTTACAATCTTTATTTCATCATAATTTAACCTTAAAATTGGAAAATCTAGATTTTTTTATATTATTATAGGGCTATAACTCCATCAGGATAACTTAGGACTATTTTTGAGAAGCCAAAAGAAAACTAAAAAAACTAGAAAATTTCAATTGCTTTAACCTACCTGAAAATTGACTATGTATATGTATTCGGTGAATGTTTCAGGTTTTTAAGATAATTAATCTATAATATTAATATATTACATCAAAAGAATAAAATCAGAAAAACAGAAACCACTGTTAAGTAAATATTCCCATTTTTGCCACAAAGAAAATCAAAAAAGAACCTCCTCAATGCCAGTGTCGTATTTAGAAAGATCTAGGTGAGCGTCACATTCAAGGGAGCGCCATAATGTTTTAAGACATGGTAAAATAGTAGGTTTTTTTTTTTAAACATGAACCAAATTCCACAGTTTAAACTCGCTCAGCAGAATGCAATACTGTAATTATGTTTTAGAGCTCAAAGTATACAGTATAAAACGTGTCATATTCCAGTTCGATGTAAAAAAAAAATGTTCTTACGGTAAGGAGCTAACGAGTAGTGCTACAGAGCGCTAAATAAGTATGTCTAGTGAAAGTAGTTGTACGTCTGCTCAAAACACCAATTATAAAACATTTTATACCAGAAATTACCCCTAATGTTGATGATCGGAGCAAAATTTCTGGTACAATAAAAGTTTACAGACAGGTAAACCATTATCACAATATCGTAGTAAAACCATTCATCGCTATGCTCAGTATCTAAAATAGTGTTTCTGAAAATCTTGAATAAAATCATTGAAATTTGCAAAAAAAAAAGAAGAACATACTTCTCACGTGGGTGCAACCACTGTTGTAGGTGGGAAGTTTGGAAAGTAGGATACAGAAGGGAATTTAATGTAACGTTCGCTAACAAAAAAAACAAGTCTGAGCGGACTTCAATTGATAGTGATGCTTTGTCTACAATATATTATATGTTATATTAAAGTATAATGCATAGTATTGAAGACAACTAATTACCTAGAAAACACATATTTTTTTGTGTGTGTAGTAAAAATATTTTACTATTTTACAATTTCATATTTATGATTGGTTTATAATGAAATAAATAAATTATAAATGAATGAATAAAATAGTATTAAAATAAGTTATAAATTACATCAGACGAGATGTTGATTGTAACTAGTTTTAATGTGATTTTCAATTAATTCACAATTAGTTAGCCAATTGCTTTTCCAAATGTTTACAATTTTTTGTGTAGTAAGTAAGGCGAAACTTTATTCTTATCCTTAAAAAAATAATTGTATACAATATAGTTTAATTTGAAAAGTACCTATTTACCTACCTTTTTCAACAATGTGCGACAACAATAATTGTTTAAAAAATATTAAAATAATACAAAATAAATAAAAACGGTTCCCAATGACAACCTTGTATTTAATCTTTCAATCTTTTTTAACTTAATAAAGAACGAGGTTTCCTCATCATGTCGAATATTAATGAGAATTTCAAAAAATTACCTCTCTAAAGTACCAACCAGAGAACTTTTATTTTCAGAAAAGGTGCTATACTTGATAATTTTATTGGAATAAGTTTTCTGGTAGAAAAAGTGCGCATATGGAAAAAATAAACATCATTGTAAAACCAATACATTTCTCGCTCCGCTCAGTATCAAAAAAAAAAAAAAAGCATCTTATTATAAATCTTATAATTATACTGATTTATATTTTGATACATTTTGGATACAGAATTTTACAGCGAGAAATGCACATTTTATTTTTTCGGCTTTATAATTACGCACTGTGTGTTTTGGAATATTTCAGAGAAAATTAATATCTCACGAATAAGTTGGGGTTGTTTTTTTTGAAACTTTCTCCGTTTTACAAAATGTTAAAGACTCGCACGTTTTGTTATCATCTGCAATTATAATTAGGTAGAAATACAACACTAATATCGTGAAGAACCGTTTTGAATATTACTACAAGAACGGTCTGACTCATTGTAGTAAACCCATTCGGTATTACGACACGATTTTTAATAATAAATGTGCAATAATAATAATAATCGGTAATTTATACCAGCACTGTCTCGGTGAGCTAGTTGAGTGCCAAATTTCGGCGCTTGCGGTGTCATATTTTGGCGTTCTTTTTAATTTTTTTTTTTTTATTCAGTTTTCAAAAACCGCCAATTTCCGTATTGAATATTATTCATTATTGTCAAAGTCGACGCTTTTCTATTTTTATCGGCTGGCTTTATAAAAGTACCTTTACGTATTTCGATGACATTACACATTATTTATAAACTTCAATAATAATATTTGTAAAACGAACGGTACTTCCTATGTATGAACGTATATATATATATATTTTTCATCTAAAGTTCTATACGCTAAGCGGTTTTATAATTAGACCGATGAGTTATGCCGGTTTTGGCATTGTTATATTAAATTTATATATTTTAAAATCTATTTCAGTTGCGTGCAAAATCTTTTATTATTTATTTTGTTTTTTGCTAAAGGTAAATATTTTTCTCGCGAAAGTGAACGCCAGACAATGTTTGTCTTCATCATCAACCGTCAGATCGGTAATTGTGTCGCGATGATGACGAAAATTAGTTTTTTTTTTTGGTGTTTAACGAAACAGCTAATGCGTTTGATTCTGGTATATATAATTAAATTTACTCGATTCGATATAGAATTTCCCCCGAAATCACATTGCGCTATATAGAAATTTTAAAAGTTAGGTTATACTTCTGCAGTATGTTGTTGTTGGAGGCGTTTGTTTTAGCTTTGAAAAATCTTATCAGGGCTATAGACCTACCTAATTGAGCTATTAGTGAATGATCTTTCGCAGTATAACATGCATTGCGTTAGTGTCAAGGCTGTGCCTTTTGTGGGGTTTTAACTTCAAAACCCCTATCATGGAGTTTTGTGGGAGGTAGTATAGTAATGTAATATTGCATAGTATTGGTTAGTTTTGCAAAAAATATTTTTGTACTTCAACATAGATGTGGGAAAATGTGCGCTAGTGGCGAAGCACGAATATTTACGAGTGTTTTTTTTACTTTATCCCCCGCATTCATGTATTAGATACAGCGTTGAATAAGGCCAACACGAGGCATCGAAAATAAACGTTAACGCAAGTAAACACTAATGGAGGCAATGACTCCACGGGGCCAATTGCGCGGTTCTTCCATGAAAACAGAAAACGCAAGACGTCACGAACCGATCGGCGGACTTCAATGTCGGACGGATGAATTAAGACGATTCGTTCGTTCTGCAGTATCTACTGGACAATATTTCAAGCTGAGTGGATAAATTAGGCGTAATGATTCAATAAAACCACAAAAAAAAAAAATTCCCGTATCGCGAGCAGCTATACGATCGTAACGTCGTCGTCCACAACACTTTTGGGGGCTACGTTTAAATATTAAGCCAACCGATTCGCGAATTTGCAAATCACGTTCGCCGTTTCCGCGGAAGAAATGCTTTGACGACGCGTTACCGTGGTACTTATAGTGAACACGGTTTAATAACGTGTATTTTGATAAGACGTACTGTTAAATAATAACTGCAGGTGAAATTTTATTGAGTTTTACCCAAACGGGCTGTACTACACATGTAGAGTTACAATAAAATGTAAATTTCAAATTGATAATAAATGCAGTAATCCGTTATCGGGCGACAAAGTTCATGAAATGTATTATATTTTATCGATAAACGATTTTCGATGTGGCGGACGGGGTCTGGGGACATCATAAACGTGAAACGACGCGTTAATATGCAGTAAGTATTTGCCGTTTTAACAAAATAGAAAAAAAAAATAATAATTATCTCGTCCGAGCCAAATCATCGCGATCCGCGTTTAGTATAACCGGTAATTCCGTTGGACCCGCGAGTCCGACAGAATAATATTATTTCAACGTTATTCGCAATAGAACACGAAGAAGTTGACTACGGTCCAAAAACAAAAAAAGAAGAAGACGTGTGCCGTTTTGTGAATAATCTCGAACTTTTATCGTTTTCTAAAAAGCGCATCGTCGTCTCACGCGGTCATAGCGGTGCCCACGCCCACGCCTCGCGACTATTCAAGTCGCCGCGGCCAGCTCGTCCGTCCAACACGAACGCAATTTTATAAATACAAATCAAATATGGAATATCGGTTTCGTGATACTATGACGCGAGGTTCACGTTCGGCACAAACAAATAATATTGATTCTAAACAATATCTGTACAAACAGCGCGACACATAGAAGAAAATACTACCGCCACAATACGACACGACACGTCACGCCGTACAAAAAGAAAGACGATCGTGATTTTTTTTTTTTGCCGTAACTTTTTTCAAAAAACATAATGTGTTTTTGGCTTCATGAACGCGAAAACCAGATTTTGATTTTTGGTTTTTCTCGGTTATACAAGCCGAATTGCCGTCCCGAAATACTGTATTTGAACATTTTATCCGCAGAATTATCGCGCTCATCAGATCTTTTTTTAGTTTTTATTATTTTTTTTTTTTTTTTGAGATTTTTGTCGACTCCCGATGGGCTACTCGCGGGGAAAAACACCGCCCGCCGACTTATTACTGCGTTCGGAATCGTTTCTCCGTTCACGACGAATATCATCGTGCACAAAGTAAATAACCCCGCGCGTACGCCGCCTCGCCCAGAGCAGCGTCGACGTTTTTTTTCCTCTCCTCCACCTCCCCCACCCCCGTTACCGAACCAATAAATTACATCTTCGTCAAAACATTACTGTCGGCCACGGAACAGGCGTATATTATTATCGTACATCATCCGACACGCGCGATATGTCGAACCGTTAACGTCGTCTATCCGGCCGTCGAATCTCATCGTTATAAATTTATAGTATCGTATTATATTTAGACGCGTCGCAGAGTCGGTATACGGGCACCGCGCGTCTAGACGCCGCCGGACACGGAATTTAACCGAATTGCTGCAGAGGGCGGCGGCGGCGGCGGATGCGTTCACTTGTCTGTGGGTCCTGACGGAAATCGAACGGTGTTATTATATTATTATTATTACGCGTCGCGACAAAAACACGCGGATATAAAAAATGATAAAAAAAAAAAAAAAAAAAAAAAAACCGTCGCCGGCAAACCGAAAAATTGGCACCGTCTCGCGGCCGCCGGTCTCTTTGGCAACGGGTCGGCGGTCGACCACCACTCCGGCTGCGGCTGCGGCCACTACGCGCGATAAACCGCTCGAAAAATCGCCGGCAAAGCCGGTCTAATAATAACGTCCTTGTCGACGCGAACGCGACTTTTACTGCTCTCTCACTCGTTCTCTCTCGCCCTCTCACCACCCCCCCCCCTCCAACCGCCACCGCGGTCCGCGTTCGACGGGTACACAATGAATAATATCGCAAGACGCGGCGGCGATTGTGTTACGATTACGGTAGCCGGCGCGTTACCGTTACGATATCGCGGCGGTCCCGTTTTATCGGAATAATATTATCGAATCGCGTTGTTCGCGCGGCCGGCAACGTCAGCAACATAAACGACGGGCGATGTTTCCCCGTCAAAAGGGCCGTCTGTCGAATTTTATCGCATTTTTCCGGCGAACGAAAAACGACCGTTTCGCGAACGGCCGGCTAAACGTCGTTTTTGACGACCCCCGCCCATTTTGAACACGGGTTTGGATAGAGAACATTTTTCTAGAATTTTTGATACGCCCAACACCAATATCGGGTCTGCCGTTTACGAGTAATAACAGTTTTAAAGTTCAGACCGGAGGAGTAGGGAAAGGTAATTCACTTAAAATCCTCTGGGATAATTGCTGGTTCACGATAAAATGATCACCCAGTATAGGAATAAATGGATTATTGAACGTCGCGCATACGCCCTCTTAATAAATCAGTGTTGGTTTAATTGTAATATTCTAAAAGAGCGGCTGGATATTTCGACATTACCAATTTAATTTTCTGTATTTAAATACGCCGTTTTAAAGAAACACCATTGATGCTATTGTCAGTGGCAATAGTCTTGCGCTGGGGAGAGGGTGGAAAAATGATGACGTTAATTTTTCCTAATAATCAAACGCATACATTAAGTAAGTGCTAATATATAAGCAATAAAACGAAAAAAATCGTTACAAATTCCGTAGCGGTTAATTCGTATCATTGATATATAATATACATAAATAATGCAATTTAAGTGCAGGTTTACGACGAAAATTCAAGCTTCCTTTTGTCATTATTCGATAATTCAACCGGTACTTTACGATTTATTGACGATTATTATTTACATCGTTTTTTTTTTTTTTGTTCAAACTCGGAGTGTACCGATAGAGCTATATTTATTTTTTTTTTACTAAAACGCGTTTGTTTTTTTCTCGGGAAAACGCATTTTTCGGATTAGTAAATATGTTTCGATTTTTTCACGCCGCACCATAAAAGATGCTGATTTTTCGTTTCGTCGGTACTTGAAACACTTTTTGAAATGTTCATGAGTTTACCCCTGTTTTTTTTTTCGGTTTTTTCTCGGAAAACACTTTTTCGGTTGGTAAAATACGCTTTAATAATTATTTGTATCGTATTTTTAATGACGTAGATTTGACGTCCGTCGGCCATACTTTATTCGATAAAAATCCATATAGATTCTCAAGAAAATTGACGAATTTACTACATGCGTTTTATTAGACGATTAAGAATAACTGCTGCAGATACCGGAACCACGAAATTCCGGTCTTGTTGACCCATTCTGTTGTATTAGCAGAGTTTCCAATACCGTAAATAAAAAAAATAATTTTCACATAACTCGACGACGACGTTCAATGCCGTTTTTTTTTTTTTTTAGAAAAAACTGCAGTACGTGCGTTCTAAAAATAGTTTATTTCGTGTTTTATGATCACGTCACGCTTGTTGATGTTTGTAAGTACATATTATTATGTTTTTACGATTTATACATGTTACAATATTGTGGAAACCTAATGGACAGTAAAACAGTATTTATTTGTAAAGTAAAGCAAATATTAGGATGAAATATATTCTTAAATATGCGTGAATATGCTTAAAAAATGACGCGATACTCGTATGTCCGTGAAAATAATATAAAATAATATATTAATGAAAATTTCCCGATCTAAATATTATCCCTGTACGTCATAATATATGTTTTGGAAGGTCAGGGAAAACATATTTTATGTCGGCTATGGCTGAAACTGCCGTCGGTTGTGCCATTGTTGTAATAGGCGGAAAGTTAGGAAGATAAGATACCCGTTGATACACAGAGTATGTATTAAATGTATACGTGAACGTTTATTGGGGCTCGTTGTCGCATCATTGTAAACGGAAAATGTTTTTTTAGCGTATTTCGGTTAAACGTGTTTTGAAATGCCGTGATTATTACGGTTTTTGTTTTTTCACCATCGAGTACAACTCTGATTAAAGCGAAATTCGTGTACAATTTACCAGCATTTATGGACATTTTGCTCGCCTAAAACAATTATATACTTACACACGTAATCGATTAAAAATACACGAAAAGGTCAAATGTCTATAAACAGCTCAAAAATCGCCAGAATGTTTTGAATCTTGACCACCTAGAAAATTCTAATATAAAATATGAAAATATCAGGTCTCTACGGTATTTTTGAACCGAAAGAAAACAGAAATAATGAAACAATTAATGCCCTAAACTTTCCCGGTTTTCCTACGTTATCCTTGTTTTCCCTAAAAATTAGAAAAACTACACGGAAAAAAAAATAAAATAAAGCCACACATCATTGAATGAAAACCTATACATTTCTCGCTGCACTCCAAATTTTAAAAACCAAGTGAAAAAACTTCGGTTTTTTTTTTGTCCTACTTCCGTGATCTTCCGGACCGATAAATATACCAAATTTTAATATTGTTGCAAACTCAGCGCCGAGAAAAATGTCTACGATGATGTTTTGAGATCTGTTTTCGATGTCAGTTTTTCTATTTTCCGCCTTTCTCAGTGTTGTTTATTTCGTGGTTTATTTGTCCGGGTGCTACGTGATAAGTGACGGCTTAATAATATTTTGTATCAATCTTTATGCGTGGGCAATGTGCATTTATAAGCAGAGTGATCGCGGACGATTATTAACGTCAAGTCACGAACAACAGCTCCCGGATCATATGTATATTTTTTTTTTATTCAGTCTTGTTATTTCACGGTAATGTTTTCGTAAATCTACGGGTTTTCATTATTAAAATTTTTTCTTTACGTCATCACGTGTCTTTGTATATATTTTTTTTTATTTTCTACCGAGAGATGAAAATTCGTATTTATTTTTCTCTAAACTGTTTCATTAATTTTAATTATTTATAAATATATACGGTGTCGTAGAGCGTACGTTTTATTAATAAAGATGAGCAATAGTTTCCTAAAGTCGATTTGACATTATTGCCGCAGAAATTTATATACTCGTACATGTAATTATGAATTATATATTTTAAAATCACGACGTCGAATTGAATAAAAAAAAATATATAATGAGTCGAGAGCCTATTCAAATTTTTTAAAAAAAATTCAAAGTTTAAAATATAAAACGATTTTTGTACAGGATAGTTAAAATGATAATAATATTATCGTTTTTTAATCAGTTTAATGAGTAATGCGTAATGATCGAGTAGTACTGACCGTATAATTTTTTTTTTTTTTTTTTAAACACTTTTCTTTATCGCGTTAAATAAGACGCAATTCGATTGAAATATTAGAAGGAATAAAATTAGTAATTCTTAGCGCGTTGTCAATACGAGTGACTATTTTGCGGGATATAATAAAATAGATAAGTGTGATGTGGTATAATATGTATTACACACGGGCCAACAACAAAAAAACGAATCGTTGATTTTAATGTTTTAAATCCGTTAGTCATTCTTACTACCGTGATTTGTATTGTTATTATTATTATTTGGTTTACACGTACGGTAATACGCTTTTTATGTGTTCGATTTTAGGAATCATTAATTGTTTTGGGGAAAAAAACAATAAGACGAATAGTGAACGATATTATTAATGTGTTTTTCTGCACCGTGGCGCCGCCACGGTACAAACATAATAATAATAATAATATTATTATACATTTCACAGTAGCTGATGTCAATATACATATGATATGTTTATTTTAGTGGGTATACTTGCGGCATATAGCGCGAACGAAAAATTATTTCATGTTTAAACGATTATAACTCATTAATGCTGCAGTGGGCAGTGGGTACAACTAAACTGGTATGGGCCTAACTATTGGACTAGTATTTTTAATAATTCGACGTCCTCGGGCGATACAAATTTAATGTTAACCTTCCTCCCGCCCCTCAGAATCAAAAGAAAAAAAGGGCTGGTATTGTTGAAGGGTGTGCCACTGTTGTGGGCGAGAATTCGGAAAAGTAAGATGTGTAAATTAATTAAATTTTTATTTTGTACGCAAACGAAAAACGATTCAGAGCAAAGATTTTCACTACTGTAGTATAGATAAAATCTAATGTACAACATATGATGAACTTCGTGTTTAATTTTCGAGAAGTTTTTTTGGGCCCAAGCAATTGTATTCCCGTAAAACCAAATAAAAATTAAAAATGCCTCTAAATAGCTCGAAAACCGCCAGAATGTCTTGAAAATTTAATCACGTCCAGTAAGTGCTGATATTGGGTATTCTGTGAACATTTCAGTTATCTACAATAGTTCAATTATAGTTATTAGTAATTATAATCACTCTTTTAATTATAACAAATCTGTTCCACGCCTTTTCCCGGGTTTCTATAATTATTAAGAAAATTCCTAGGAATATAAAAAATATGACCGGATTTCTGGTAGGAAAGTTGTTTACAGACAGAAAAAAAAATACACATCTTAGTGAAACCAATATACATATTGAGTGCTTCGTTGCGCACAGGATCCAAAACAAACTTCTGGTCTAGAATAAAATTAAATTCAGGGAAATAAGAGCTCAATAAAGATTCGGATTACAAATAAGTAGTGGAATCATTTCAAACTTTTTCCTCGTCGGCTTCGTCGCTGAATAAATTTAATTTCTTATGACCAGTGATTTACGATTTGCTAATTATTATGTCGTAATACGACTGTCGTATACGGTTGAATTTATAGTTAACTTTATTTTTTTCTTGAATATAAAATATATGACTTGTTTAAAAATTGTACACGCATTTTAAATTTAAAAAAAACAACTACAACGCTATTTTACAGTTCTTACATTAGTACAGCTATTACAGCACTTCAAGTACAAATACTTGGGTTTTTAATGAAATCAAATGTCTTCTTAGAATATTTGATATTGATGTATCACGGGCTGGTACGTATGATGTTAAAAAGAAAAAACTAAAGTAGCACATTAAAAATACCTGAAACGACTAAAACTTTAATTGTATTTCAATATTTCGATGTAATCTATTCGCTTTTTTCGCCCAAAATTCAATACATCAAAACGATTCTACAGAAAATTTACATTTTTGCATAAAAAAATTAAAAGCTTGATAAAAAATAAATCGCCCTTGTGCCATTTACAATGTTATTCATAATATATAATACATAATTATTTCTTGACTTCGGGTTTCATGCCAGCGGTTAATTATTAGATCGGCAAGGATAAAATATCAGTGAGTAAGAATTGAAACATTTTATTCTCGCCTACATACGAGTAGTCTAAAATAACTATAATATCATACGGAAACTTAGACCGGGTGGCAAGTACAAATTTGTACGAAATTATTGTAAAATGAATATAACTAAAAGTAAAAATCATTTTTCAAATTTGGTTAACACCGTTAAATTAAGTTTTTACTGACGTCATTTTTTATGAATATGGTATAAGTTAAGGTTTACTATGTCCGGATTATAATTTCTTCACATTAAAATAATGCATTTTTCGTAAAATTTATTTAAAATCAGTAATTTAAACTTAAAATACCCAATAAAGTTAAACATGTTTAAATTTTAAATTTTTTTATTAAAATTTTAAACAAAACGTCGCAGTATTTTTTTGCAACAATCTAAGGTAAGTTTTTTATTTTTATATTTCGGTCGGGAATATACTAGAGTGATTAAAATGAAAAACCAGTTTTACGGGATTCAAATCATTGACTACAGAGAATTTAATATCTCTGTTTAACGAACATTTATAAATAGTGGAAACCTTCGAATTCGGGAACCGACACCAAACCTATAACCTTACCTAACCAACTTTGAATAGTGAAGAATACTTTGGTGGCCGAGAGTGTCGGAAATTCAAAGGTTTCACCGTATAGTCTAAGTAATTTCAAAAAATATGTTCTCATCGTTATAATAACATGTTCACCAAATGTCTTAAAAAAACAAAGCTGTTTTTAATAATAATTGAGAATGCACCCAATTATTATGTTGAGTATACGTACGCGTCTCCATTAATAAACTTAATTGTTGTTGTCCTGTAGTAGGCTGTGCTTGTTGTGGCGGATATTTTTGTTTTGATTTTTTTAAACGATACGAAATTATGAACTTAAAAAAAAAATACATAATAATACATAAACGACCGTCAAAATAATATTGATAATATTGTTGTGTGTTTTGATTTTACAGATAATGAATCAATAGTAAATTCGTACGTCGAAAATTCTGTCGTAGAGAGCAATATTGTAATCGAATGTAAATCTAGCGACTATTATAGTAAGTAAAATAATGTCATAAGTATAATTTTTTATTAGATTTACATATGAATTTTCTTCTTTTTTTTTAACAATATTATAATAATACCTGTTACGTGACGAAATCATTAATGAATCGTTGAATATAACGTATTGTGTTTTAGAACGATTAGAATTATTGTCAATATTATACGAATACCTACTCATTAATTTATGAATGTACACAATATTCTGCAATTCAATGTGCATTGCAATACTATTTACACTAAACGCTGTACAAATTAATATATAAATAGGGCGAAAACAATAAAATTCTGAGAATTTTTCATTTGATTGGAATGTTATTTAGTATACCCATATACACGTTGAACATGTTTTATGTGTTTTTTCTTTCTTTTTTCTTTTTTTAACGTGAATTCCGGTGTCCATCACAACAATATCGAGAGAAAAAACAATTTCGACCAAAAATAAAACGTCTCACGAGCCGTCGTGCCGCTGTCTTTTTTTAACCGCGTCGTAATCTGTTTTGGTCGCTGGGGGGTTCGTTTTTTTTATTGTTGTTATATGTATAATATGTGTAACCATATTTCAGTCTATGATACACCAATGCGCCGTACTAAATATATATATATATATATAAGTATTCCACTTTCTCCTCATATAGTGTATTTATAGTGTACGACAATCGATTGATAATAATTATTATGCCATTCGAGTGTTAAACGGTCTGCGAAAATCATCCATGTATTCATTTTTTGTATTTAAAATTACGGCTTGATTTATATTTCAAGCGCTGGAGGTAATAATTTACCGAATTTATTTGATTGGTAAATAAAAAGAAAAAAAAAAAAACAAATAACTCGCCAGAAAATTAATTACATTTGGTAACAAAATATTGATATCAATATACGTCGTGTGGCCGTTTTTGAAGTTGGAAAGAGACAATATGACGTTGGGTATACAAAAAGTACCGAATTCCTTACTAGGATAAGATAACGAAATTACTGTGCGTAACAAAGTTCATAGAATCCCAGAGATTGCAATATTTCGGGAGCGCAATTCGCGGGGAAAAGGAAAACGGAATAAGGTGAACAGGAGGAGACTCTGTAAACGTTGGCTATAGGACGGCATTAAAAAAAGAACCGGTGAAACTGTGAATTATTGATTGGAAATAATGTATTAGAGACATGCAGTAGGAAGCCGTGGTGACAGCACATCGGAGCATTCCCTTAAAACAGTTTCACGGGCAGATAGACCAAACCTTTCGATTAACTATTGGATTTGGTTCGATCATTTACCGTTCAAGCAAAATCTTACTCAATGAACACTATAGGCCGGAACAGAATACTGGCTATTGGACTTTACTGCGTGTCTATTCAGATAAACAAAACCTGCGTAAAAAAAAAAAAAATGCTCTGGAGCATCATTTAAGGCTCTTGGTGTGCTGTTAAGTTAGAAAAGAAGAATAAATTAAAACAATAATGATTTTTAGTTATTATTAGGCATTAAATGCGTGCGGTGGCGGCGAATTTCGAATTAGATGCGTTTTACGATGATAAACATAATATTATTCCCCATGTCATATTATATTATTAGAGTCAAGCCCGTGACGTACGTATAATCTTAAAATATGGTTATTTTTCCCCCGTAATAATTGTCAAACGTATATATTTTTTAAATACGAATAGCGTTGAATAAAACCAATAAATCACCGAACGAGAATAGAACCGCTAAGTAGCTTTAATTTTTTTTTTTTTTTCATAACTATGTTTATCGAAAACAACTAATAATAGTACAATGAATAATTCAACAGATTATAAGGGCTAATTATTATGTATTTTATCTTTTTTTTTTTATCGACTCGATTTTATGATAATTCGTGAAAATGATTACACGTTTATTGTATTATAATAATCAATACAATATAGGTAGATATATTTATTAATAGACGGAATCATTACCACCGACCGAAGGACTAAACAAGATATAATAAATAAAGGTCTATAAAAAAAAACCCTTCTATTTGTGATTTGTTGTGATTAGGTATATTCTTTATTGCAGCCGACATCGTATTTATCTAGTATAATCGGCATATTCATGGTAAATTTTAAAAATAAAAATATTACTAATAGAAAATTTTCTTTTAGAAAGAAATCAAAATAGATTTTATCAAATTTTCTGATAACACTATGAAGTTTGTAAAAATAATAAAAATGCCTTAAAAACCTTATAATGCGCTTAACATTAAAAAAAAAAAAGCTCTAAAAGAGAAAAAAGTTCTAAAAATGCAAAATAAAAATGTCGTGTTTTAATTGTTTGATATATGAAACGAATTTTGTGCTTGGAAATTATTTGCTTAAGGACATTCAGAAAAAAATGTAATTTGCATTATAATACGTACCTATAATCTCAATTTATTCTAACATATTATTATTGTAAAAAAAAAAAAAAAAATAAAAATACGTTTATGTTTGACAATCATTGCAAATTCGCAACGATTACATTTAATGTCAATATCATAAACATTATTATCTTCTTCTGCTTTTCCGCCTTCAACTATTTAGAGTCGGTCATATTCGTCCTAAACTTCCACTTGACCCGATCTCCCACATCGTTCTCATAGACATTGTTTGTTAGTAATATTTTTTTCGAGATTTTTTTTTAAATAATTTATAAACAATCGTTAACAACCAGTTTTAGATTCTTTCCGATAAATGCACGATAGAGCCAACATATATTTAAAAAACTATTTATGTTGTTCTCCGAAAAAATTTACTTCGGATTGTACAAATCACTTCAAATTTCGGTTTATGACTTTATATACTTACTTATATAGTGTATATTTACCGTATAAATAGGAGATCGAAAAGAAATCCGTTTTTCGAATTTCCTTGTGTAAACTGTGAGAATAACAAAAAAAAAAAAAGACTGACATACTTCGCACGATGGGCGGGCAATTGTTGTTGGTGAGAAATTGAGAAGGTAGGAAAATATGTATATATATTGTTATTTTTGATCACAAAGTACGTTTCATGAATCTCCTGTTAAATTACCAAGCATTCTTGTTTGGTTAAACAATTGTATCCACGTGAAAAACTCGCAAAATTAAAAAGTAAAAACGCTCATAAATAGTTCTTAAGTGGTTAAAATGTTTTGAAAATTTTACCACGTCTTGAAAAGACAAATATAGGTTTTCTGTTGAAATTTCAAGTCTCTATAAATTTTTTTAACTGTATCATAACAAAAACTAAATTGCAAAAAATACGGTAAATAAGGATAAATAAGGTAAATAATAAGGCACGATTGTTCATTTTTCGTTTTGGTTTTGCCAGGAAAACAAAATTATTCTGTTTACACTTTAAGAATGTAGATCGCGTGACGTATATCGTTTTCAAAAGTTACCAACTGTTGACGTAAAATATAAAATTTAATGATAATTTTTATATCAAATTATTTTCTCGTGTGTCCTTTATTTTTTTCGATACCACGTATACTATATTATATTTATTTGAATTTCTTTCGCATACATATTTGATTTCTTCTTTTTTTTTTTCTAATCAAGTACCTATTTATTCAATATTTTTGCAACTATTATTTTCAATTCGCGCGCAATTATTATTGTAACGTATACACACACGATTTTAGAATACTAACGCTTGTTTCACTATCGCGTAAACGATGAATAACTGCGGTTATTATTTTTAGAATATTAATCATTCAAATTTGTACATAGGTAGGTATAGTTTTTTTTTTTTCTTTGTGTAAGACACGCTGCGCTACAATAATAAGCGATGTCCTATAACGTTTTCCCCTTGGTCATAATATATTATCACTTTCAAGTTCACCGTTCTAACCCCACGTTTCTTAATAATAATAATAAAATAAAATAAAACACGGCCCACATAGATAGTCGCCTGTAAGGGACCCTCTAATTTTACAGAGATCTAAATAAAGCACATTACTCGAACGTCGGTCTCCCACCACGACCACCGTCGTCGTCGTCGTTGCCGCCGCCGCCGCCGTCGTCGGATCGTTCCAAGTTACCCGTACCGCATACTTAAGCGATTCAGTTACCACCAAGGCGAGTCCGAGAGAATATCGAGAAAAGAACAAAATATTTAAATAAAATTTTAAACAGGGAAAATATTTAATTTTTTTGGATATCGCGTACCTACAGTCGTGTTGTAAGCCGGTGCATACAAAATCGTTTTCTGTGTTGTTTCGCGACGATAATATTATTCGTCTGTTGTCGTTTGTGCCGGTCTGGTTTCCGAGAGCGCGCGCGCGCGCGTGTGTCTAGTGTATTCCGATCGACAATTCGCGCCGGGTAACACCACCTGTGCAGGATTTCGGTCCCTTTGTTGACGGACGAAAACCACGGTGTCACAGACACGATGAGCCGACAGCAGCAACAGCAGCAACAGATCACCACCTCCTCATCAGAACAGAGGAGCGTGACCCGTACCCAACAACAGGTCACCAGGCAAATCTTGCAAACGACACAGAGACAAGGTAGTACTATATGTATACACAATACCCGGTTACTGGTTATCGCGGTTTAACTGATGGTCAGCTGACCGCGAATCCGGCAATTCGTTGCCGCGACGTTTGTTGTTCGTCCGCGTCGCGATTCGCGTACCAACACCTATCGGGGTTTTCTCGCATTAGCCGCTGTACGTGCAGCCCGGATAGAACCCGATTTGAACACATTTCTCGATTAGGTACCTACCCCCCCTCACCCTTCCCTCTGTTAAAAACTATTCAATAGGACGCTTTAGAAACGATAAATTCAAAGTTAATTTCAATGTTAACGTTAAAACAATAGTCATATATTATTGAAATTTTGGACCGGTGTATTCAACTCGAGAAAAAAAAATGAAAATTCTACATAATGTAATATAATAGTACGTATAGTTCGATGAAACAACACGAAATACATAATTTATACTTTTGTCGGACACGTATAATTTAATAAATATTACTTAATGAATAAACAAACGGTTAAATAACTATACCACACCAGCGTCACC